TTTATCAATTTCACGCTGCGTATTTGAAGATCTGTCAGCACTATCCTTATCTCAGGGCAGATGTTTTTATTTTATTTGGCTTATATTCCTTACTAAGTGTAGTATTTCATCTCGATGTACTCCATCTTTGATATGATTTAAATCAAGTTCCTCGTCATTTATTCGCTTCGATAGTGAAGAAAGTGACCCAGAGGTTATTGAAAACAAAACTTTCGATTGACAAATTAGTCGGTATTCTCAACACACAGCAATTATAGGACTTGAACAGCGGAACTTTGTAACTAAACAAGAAATTATGTCTGTTTAATAGAATTAAAGAGACAGTATTACACTGAAACGAAGCAACTTACATTGAAGGAAATGTTTAATAAAGTAAACGAATAACCATATTAAGCTTTTTCTTTTTGTAAATTTTGATACCCTTTAAATAAATTATGGTTTCATATTTTTAATTTTGTAATTTCTGCATGCCATCTTACCAGATTTAAACTGATGATCTATAAACTGGAAAAATCGATAATCCGGAATCGCCGAAGTCCCGACGAGTCCGGATTAACGACTTTTGAATAAAAATAATGTCATATAAAAATGTCAAATTTTTATTTTTAAAAAATTATTACTACTGCATTGAGTCTGTTAAAAAAACAAAAAAACAAAACAAACTTTGTTTTTTAATATGCGAATAAAAATGCTTGTTTATTATGTGTTATGGTCATAATTTAATATTGCTGTTTTACATTAAAACATGGAATAGATCACTATTTGTGCAACAAATCATAAATAAACTACTAATTCTGATCATTAATGAAAATTATTTTTGCAGCTTGCTCGTTGCATTGACAGGTTGTCCCACTTTGCAGAAAAGTACAAAAATTTGCCTACCCTAGGATTTACTCACATGCAGTATGTATTGTACCTTTTAAGAATTCATGAATTCTTATTTTTTTTAGGTCTTGTGTTGATAAAGATAAAAGCAAATGCTTTTTTTAATTCAGCCTAATTAAAATCATCCAAAGAATTAACATCAAAGTTCTGAAATATATGAATGAAATTTTTCTGAGTCCTTAAAAGTTCTTTGTCACTGTCTTCAAATTTTAATTTGTATAAATTATTGAAATTGTTTATGTAGTATTAAATGACAGTAAAAATTAAGAATTTACTAAATTTATTTAATGCAATTTAAATCTTTACTGGTTTCTATGTTGTAGGATATTAATCTTTGATTAAGTGCAGCAGTATATTTAAAAAAAAAAAAAAAATGAATAATCAATATTTTCAAAATATTTGTCTACCTTAAGTTTTTATACTTTTTTTGGTCTTGGAAAAGTGTCATCTTGATTTTCTGTTTTATTGCTTTAGAATTGTCTTTTCTGTTTTGATTTTTGAGGTAACAAACTCTGTAATCTACAAAAATATATGCAGAGATGAAGGAAACTGTTGATCAAAAATTCAGAAGTTACAGTTTTGTTCATATCAAATGTTTCATAACATTATTGGGTACTTTTCCGTTTTGCCGGTGCAAATCTCGCCAAGCAGACTTTATTGGCGACAACATACAGTGTACACATAAAAAAGTGTTTACGAATGTTAGTTCTAAGAATTTTTTATTTTGAAGGCATAAACATTTTAATATCATTTAAAATTTTGCGAAAAGCCTATAAATAAAGATAATAATTTGTAAAAAGACATTAAGAATTTACTATGCTTTCATGGTTCAACATCCTAATTTGCCGGTTCATATCACGTGACCCCAAGTAATCTCATGTCACGTAAACTACGCTACAAAAATCTAATTCTGTCAGTAATTATCTACATTAATTTCAAGTTAAATCTTAATTTGGAATACAAGTTTAAATGCAAGAATTATTTCAATTCGTACGAATAGCTTACTGAGAAATTATGTAAAACTGCAGTGCTTTACTTCACTAGTGCATTCTGATTAGAATTGATGAATTTAACCCTTGACTTTGTCTTTTCTATATTTTCACCTTTGGATTAGCGGTGTGATAGCATCCTAATTGACTTAATTACTGTGAATGGCCTTAGGGCATAAAATTGAACTCTCTGGGTAAAAATTCTGTGTAACTGTATCCCAGTATTGAAAGAAACAATCAATCTGATAAGGAATGGTTGAGACTTGTTTTGAAAATGAGGTGTGAAAGGTTACTAGCGAAGATATTCCATTTGGCATCAGTTGTACCATTATTGGCGACTTTATCGCCTGCGCCATCAAAATGGAAAAGTACCCATTATTATTGTGCTGTCATGTTACATTTTATAAAAGTCGATTAAATAAGAAAAGTTCTTGTTCATGTATGCATATTTTTGTTGGATAGTATTTGAGAAAACCTGTTAAAACTTTTTATCACTCATTAAATATTATTCAAAAGAAATAACTTTTTCTGTTTATAGTAAAAAGCATGCATTTAGTACAGGAATTTTCATTAAAAGAAAATGTGTAATATGAAATTGGAAGGCTGAATTTTTTTCATGTGATTTATTTTTATTTCCTTTTTGAAAATGCATTCTACACATTTAAAAGAAAAAAAAAAAAAAAAAAGGTAATTTCTGATTATCCACATGACAGTAGCTAACCCACACACGTGCATACCACACACATGTTTGAGTATGCGTGAATATGCATGTTTCATATATCCTGAATGGTATTCGGTGGCTAAAAGAATGTCATTATCAGCCTCTGAGCCCTGGAATTACCAAACAAGAATTTTCTGCAGATTCATAAAATCGGTAATGCAACTTTTCATGGAGGTGCGAACAAAGGGGGAGATTACTAAATATTGTAATTTTAAGTTTTTAGAATAACAACATTTAATCTCGTGTAGATATTTCTACTTTTGCTGATAACAGAATAATTTTTAAAATGCTAATGTTTATTGTTTTCATAACACAGAAGTTATAATTATAAAGATACTACTTTTCCTCAACAATTTTTTTTTATTAATGTTCTGTTATATATTTTGTATGGGCTCTCTCATTTAGACACACCACTAGTATTGTAAAGATTTTCAAAATTTTTGGTCATTTGTATCTCAGAAACGATGCTGCGTATAGTTTAAATTATAAATACCTGGTAATATTAAAACAATTTTGGCAAATGTATTAAGTTTCGGGTGGGAAATTTTTGGCCGTTTAAGAACTTCGGAAAAAAAATTTTTTCCCCTTTTTTCCCCTGTGGTGTTAGTCATGGTCATTTGTACTTTTTATATTTTGATCTATTAACATGGGGCCTGCTGTTGCTGCAGTTGGTTTTGTGACTTTAGATTTGCCAAGTGATGAACAAGTGATTATTCTGTCTCTCAAATTGCCCTCATAAAAAAATTGCTTATTTGCACACCTGGTTACCATACACAGTAGAATTCTTTCTTTTCAAATATGCCGTTGACAACAGCCAAACCGTGCATATGCAATCCATAGACATACATTGGCTCCCAAAAGTGTTCATACACTTAAGATTTTCATTGAAATAGGGCTCTATCCATTAATTAAAAGTAAACTTTCTGAATGAGATTTTAATAAGATCTATAATCTATTCGTAACAAAATTTCGTGAAATATTTTTAAAATATAGCGAAACTTTATTTTTAAGAAATTAGTAATAAAAAAATGACAAACATTTTATCTCACAAAAAGTCTTCATACATTTAAAAAAAGTCTTGACATATTAATAAATGTTTTCATTTTTCATTAAATTAATATTTAGTAGGATATCCTTTAGCATACACAACAGCTTTTAAACGTCTGGGAATATATTTTACTAGTTTTTCTGTAATTTCTGTATCAATGTTCATCCATTTGTTCCTGTTTTGAGTTCGCTTATCATTTTGATGTCATGTTTTCATACTCTAACCTCCAGTTCTTTGCAGATGTGTTCTATGGTTTTAAATATGGTGACTGAGGTGGTGCTTTCAAAACCTGTGGACAATTATAAAGACACCACAAGCGAACGTTGAGAGCCATATCCTTAGGATTGTTATCATGATTAAAAAAAAGTTGTTTCCCATACCCAAATTTTGGACTGATAATTTTAAATTTTCTCTTAAAATACTATTTAAATAAAGAGAATGATTTATTATGCCATCAATAAATACCAAATTACCTAGTCTTGATGCTGCCATGCACCCCCCCCCACAAGAACACCTCCACCGCCATGCTTTAACTGTTTCAATTAAGTTATTAAAATGAAGTTCCTCATTTTTTCCTTCTCCATATACAGTTATTCGACCACCGGAACCAGAACCATGTTAAATATTAAATTTCCTTTCAAATCAGGTAAATAGGGCCATTATTCCAGTACGTTTCGGGTGTATTTATCATTGATTTTTCGATTCTCACTAACAAAAAACTGTTTTTCTCACTAACAAAAACCTTTTTACGGGCAGAACGCCCATGTAATCCAGCTTCTCCGAGAACTTGTTGAACAGTTTCAGGGAAAATTGAAGTAGAAAACTTTGCAATTGAATTCTGCATAAACTTTTACAGCACTCAAACGTAGGTTTTTCACAAATTTTTGAATAATAAATCTCTTATCACGTTTAGTTAACTTTCTCGGTCGACCTTTTCTTACCTTGTTTTCAATCCGATTTTCTTCTTTAAAGCATTTATCACATACTGCACTGTAGAGCCGGATAAATTAACTAATTTAGCAATATTTTGGATTGATTTACCACTACTATTTTGAAAAATTATCAATTTTCGAAAGCTGTTTGTAATTTCTTTACGACTGTGACCCATTTTTCAATAATAAATAGAATATTATGAAGTAAACAATAAAAAAATTAAAGCAGACGATTTTTTAAATGCCACCACAATGCAAAAATTAAAAAAAGTAACAAATGATAATTCTAATTTTGATTTTATCCAAAAAATATTTCAGTGTACAAAGACTTTTGTGAGATAAAATGTTTGTTATTTATTGATTATTAATTTTTTAAAAATAAAGTTTTGCTATATTTAAAAAATATTTCATATAATTTTGTTACAAATAGATTATAAATCTTATTATTAAAATCTCATTCAGAAAGTGTATTTTTAATTAATGGATAGAGCCCTATTTCAATGAAAATCATAAGTGTACGAACACTTTTGGGAGCCATTGTATGTGGAAGTACATGTGTTTTATATTGAACTGTTTTGCTGAATAGTAATCCCTTAGCTATAATAACATAAGTATCAGTCATTTAGATGTTTGCATTTTTCTCATAAATTTCTTGTTTTTTATAAAACGATTTTTTAGTTATTTATGAATAAAATGGTGCAAATGAATAGAAACATTTTTCACCAAGTCACAAGGTCACAAATGAGTTACCAACTTTTCATAGGCTTATTTATGGATATTTTTCACAAAGGAGGTTTGTGTTCAAATAGCCATGTCGTGAAATTTAAATGTAACTTGAATTGCATTTTGCAAACTAAAGCTTGCTTCAAATGTGTTGCTACACAAGAATTGATTGGAATAATTACATGAGAAGAGGTATGTGCGGATTCCTTGTTATCTCATCTTATCATTCAAATGATATAGATAAATCAATGATATAGATGATATATATGTTCTATATCATTTGATGCTATAGTTTTATAGCATCAAATGAAATAGATGATATAAAACTGTGGAACATGAAAGCTTATTTATAAAAGATGAAAAATAAAATGAACGCTATGTTTCTTTTCCTGAATGTAGTTTAGGAGAATGTTTAGTTGCTGCTGCTGTTCCCAATCATTCAGTCTTATCTTCTATCAAGCCAGGATGTGAAAAAAGAAATAAAAACCACAATATGCCAATATAGTTCTGAAAATGTGTGATATGGCTTTAATTGAAAAATGTTGAAAATTATTCTTTTCATCAGTATGTTCTTGAAATTTTTTCTGCAGAAGTAAAGTATGAGACAATGTAAAAATGCATTTATGTTAAATGCATGAGTAGAGCTCTGATTTGAGTTTTGTCTTTTGCTCGTGTTCATCTACTTTAAGTAACAAGTTCATCTACTTTAACTACATCACTACATCTACTTCAAATCTGTTCAGGATACAGATTTCAAATTTTTACATCAATATGCCAGTCAGAATATGTTGATGTAAAAAAATATAAAATGTGATAGAATGTTATGTAAGCTATTGGTTTATTCACTTTTCTAATGGCCAAAAGCCATTCTGAAGGGAGCAGATCAATATTGAAAATCTGCTCTTTCAGAATGGCTTTTGGCTTAGTATCAAAATAACCTTTATTAAACCTTAGACATATAAATCTTTGTCATCAACCATCTGCACGCACTTAAAGAGTAAGCTTCAGCAGCAGAGTGATATTTCAATTGATTGTTGGTTTATGCCATATAAATTCCACCAAATATGCAGTATTACTTGTGTAGGGTGGAGTCCTATTTTGGATCCAATAAAGACAGTTATGTTTTCTTTGCATAAGTTTTAGATGGTCAACACACTTTTATGGCCTGTGACAATGAAATTAAGCCAGATACGATAGCACTCTGTACTAATATCTGACTTAAGTGTTGTCATGTTGCTGCAGTAATACTTCCATCATCTCAGACAGCGGCTGAATAGTAAAGTCTCTGAACACTGGTAATTCGGTCCAAGATTCGAATCTTGCGAACACGCTGGCGTTGATGTACAGATATCTATATTAATTCTGTTGTCGCAGGATATGAAGACATGAAGTGTATGTTGTTAGTACTTGGAAAAAAGAGAGTATAGTAGATTTTGTCATTGATGGATGCACTAGAATGCCAAAAATTACTAAAAAGCACTAGATCTAGCATGAAAATACTAATAGTGGTTATCATGATGAATTTTTTAAAAATTTTGATATATATGTGTGTGTGAACTGCATTTTCTGGAATTATCAAATGCAATAATGGCTTAATAAAAGTATAATGTATGCATCTTCCTGTTATATGTAATCTAGTCACACAAATCTAAAAAGGAAATTTATATTTTCATGTATGCAATTTTAAATAAATTATTTTTCATTGATATGCAATTCTTTTCTTATAGACCAGCTCAGCTAACAACAGTTGGTAAAAGAACATGTCAGTGGATTTCTGATCTTTTAGATGATCTCATACATATGGAGAGAGTTCGAGATGATTTACGTTTTCGGGGTGTTAAAGGTACAACTGGAACTCAGGCTAGTTTCCTAACGATATTTGAAGGCAATCATGAAAAAGTAAGTAACATACGTAACTTGAAACAACTAATTATCTGTTAAATAGTTCATTTAAAATACACAGAAAGAAGGAAGTCTAAATTTATAATTTTTATATTCAGGTAAAAGAATTAGATAAATTAGTCACCCAAATGGCTGGTTTTAAAAGGTATTAGAATCATTTTATGTTTCACCTTTAAAAAAACAGAGCAACATGAAAATAATTTTTCATTCAATCTAACATTTTTATGTAATTTGCAGATCATACATTATTTGTGGGCAGACTTATAGCAGGAAAGTTGACTGCAATGTGATAAACTGCTTAGCAAGTCTTTCAGCTTCAGTTCACAAGGTATTTTTATTTTATTTTATTTATTAATTTTTTTATTTTTTATTTCTGATGTATATCAGTCTAATTATTCTGATGTCTATGTAATTTCAAAGTAAGCAGCAAGTCCAAAATAAGGACATGGTTCAGAAAAATTGTTGCAAATATTTAGTAGTTAAATTTTAAGTGAGCTTGTTAGAGCATAACTAATCATGCATAATATTGCATTCAATGAAGATCAAACATAGGTACAGAATAGTTCTAAAATTCACCAAATTGGAATTTTTTTTTTTTTTTTTTTTTTATATTTGTAGTACTATGGGAAAAGAAAATACGTAATTCAACAAACTGTGTGAATGTTCTGTAAAAGAGGAAGAAGAATAAAAATGTAGAAAGGAAAGTAACTGGAAAACAATAAATAATAATGAAAAAAATTATACACTGAGAACTATCAAATTACATCTTAAAACTAGAAAAATAATAAATTTTTATTGGAAACATTTTTATATTTTGAGACTGATTTTAATTTTATTATTATAGTTTAAATTAATATTCCTGAATAAATATTTGACTTTTTAAATTATTTTTATTACTAAAAAGAAAATTAATAATTAAAATGATTTTTTAGTATCAAATAAGTTTCAAATTAAAAAAATATTGATTTATTGCTGTCACTAAAATTATTGCTGGAAATATATTAAAAATGGATTTAATATAACTTAGATGTAGTGTACATGAAACAACTATTCTAAAGATGGAAGAATGGTTATTTCTATAATTATAGCATTGAGCTATTCATTTAAAATTTCATTTACTTCTGCTGGATTAAAATCTTGAAGCTGTTAAATACTATTATGTGTAATAAAAGGAAATGTGGTATATTTCAGAGGAATTCCTTCGTGTCTTGCCTACAAAACCATCTGAAAATGATCAGATATTTTTATATGTAAGATAAAATAATACAAGAAATTATTGTTACATCCAATTATAGGATTGGAATGTGTTAGGATTATCTACCTAAGGGTATGGATAAGCTTTCATGGAAAACTTTCTAAGGGATCTGGCTCTTATTTAGATTACATGTAGACCATGCATTTGCATGGATTGGAACGCAAGTTTATGTTCAGCATTGGAGCTACCAATATTCAGCAGTATTAGCCCTCTGGCATTGATAGATTCTAATTGTAAGCAATTCTGTCATAAAATGGGAATTCTTTTCAGTTAAGACAAACTGCAAGATTTATGAAACTTTTAACTGTGTTGTCATGCTTCAAAAGTAGTAACTCTGGTAATATGCACCCTGTGCAGCATAATTTTTTCTCCAGAGAATTTATGTAAGAATGAAGTAATTAGCTAAGAATTTGAGAAAGAGGACTGATAAATTTTTATTATTATTTAAAAAAAGGCACAAAATAGATTTAAAACCAGGAATAGAACTAATTAGCTACCACATCTGCACTAAAATAACAAATTGTTTTAAAGCTTATTATAAAAGGTAGCTAATTGAACCTTATACATTTTATATATAATTTTGTGTATTGTTGTCAAATAATTTTGTACTATTAAAAATACTCTGAATTATTTATATTTTAAAAATTCTACTTAATTAAACAAAAATTTTACCTTGGTATTAATTACAGGATCCTCATGGAAACTTACTTGTCTCCATATTTTTGACAAAAATTCAATATCTAAATAAAAATTGCTTTTATGTAATATAGTTCACTGATTTCTTTTAATGTTAAATTATGATTTGATTAAATTTATAATTACCTTTAGATCTGCACTGATATTCGCTTGCTTGCAAGTATGAAGGAAATAGAAGAACCATTTGAAAAAACACAAATTGGATCAAGTGCTATGGCATATAAACGTAATCCAATGCGAAGTGAGCGTTGCTGCGCTTTGGCGAAAATTCCAATGGGTTTTGCAGTAAATGCTCATATTACAGCTTCTAATCAGTGGTTTGAGCGTACCTTAGATGATAGTGCCAACAGGTTTGTTATATTATCATTTTTATGAAATATTACATTTTTCATTTTTCAAAGAGATTTAGTCCTTTGACGCACGCGATATTATTTTTATAATTTTTTTTAACTAAAAATTCTAGAAATTGAATATTATGATCCTAGAGATAAATAATATATGAATTAAAAAAAATCTACTCTTGCCCATTGTTCTGTGGGTGGTGGTCGCACTGTGAAATCACCGCGCGACTAGGACTTTGAAACTTAACTGATGTAGTAGGGGGAAAAACTTACCATTCCACGTTTCCATTAAATGATGAAATTTACAGATTTAAAAAAAAAATGTATGTAAGAATTGCATTAGATATAATTTTTTTACATTATTTACAAAGTAAATCGTCAGAAAAAATTTTAAAAAATAAACATTTATGTAATTTTTCTATAGCACTGAAAATATAAATACCTACATAATAAAGACATTTGGATAAATGGATTAAACAACTCAATAAAATAATAATAAAAAGAACTTTTTTTTTTTTTTTTTTTTTTTTTTTTTTTTTAAAGTTCAAAGAACAAATTTTTTTTTGTGACACTGTTCAAAGCATGTTTTGTTGTCTCTTTCGTACATGCATAGACCCACATTGAACGTTTCGCACATACATGTTGTTCTATGAGGTTTCTTCATTGTGCTATAAAATGTACACTGCCTGGATTTAAATTTCACCGGTATATGTCCAGCATTATTTAGTTTCTTTTCATCTGGCACATGAAATTTGTGGTTTTTTATGTTAAGGGGGGGCTTGGTCCTTTTGGCTTTGTACGGATCGTTCGTTTCTCATTCATACTTATTTTATTCGTATTTTGTCCCAAAATATTCAGAAAATAGTTTTAATTTAAATAAAACTTTTACACAATTTCTATTTTCAATTATAGCAAAGTATATTTACATTAAATTTAAACCACAGGGAATAATTTATAAAATCACAATACTAGCTTGGGGAGCAAGTGTGTTGATGTCAGAGAAAAGTATTTGGAAAAGAAAGACCTTTTTACTGGGCAGGTGCATGTATTGTTTTGTAATAAAATAACTGTGGTTTCAAAGCGCTTTATCTATATCCGGGTAAAAATAAACATTCCTATTTGAAAAGCAAGCAAACGCCAGTGGTTTCAAGCCGCAACCACCTAGCCTGTAGAGGATTCAGCCTCTAGTAGGCCACCTAGCCTCTAGAGGTATTGTGACACAATGCTCTAGTGGCGCAGTGGTCGCGCCCTGAAAACCACATAGCAAATGCCATACATGTAAAGGTTTTTTTTTATATATGCAGTTTAATTACTGCAATTTTTTATTGTTTATGATAGAAATCATGATGTGTGATGACTAACTTTTGAAATTTAAAGTTGTTTATATTAATAAAAGGAAGTTATTTTGTCTCATCAAAAATGAATTTTAAAAGGCATCTGATCTGAAGTATTAATACCTAAAACATATATGATTCTACAGTCATTTTGTTTTATTTAGATGTAAAAGATCAGTAATCAATTAATTTTCACTCAAAAATTTCGGAAAAAAGAGGAGAAAAAAAATTCGGAAAATGGGGGTTTCAAGGCGCGTCAAAGGGTTAAAGCAGTTAAATGCTCTAGTATTCCATACAAACAGTGTGTTTAATAGATAAAGTCATAATATATAATGACAAAATATATCATTGTTTTGTTTATTACACATTTATTTATAATCAAAGTATTACAAAATGAATACATAATTAACTGAGTGCAGAAAATCGTTTTATCACAGAATGTGTTCAATATGTCTATCATTTTGCTACACAGTTGTGACATGACTTCAGCACGTCTTCCAAAACTGCAAGACACAGTTGCACAATAAAGCATTGAGTTGTGCTTTCAGGCTTCCTTGCAAAAGAAGTTAGTTAAAAGAAATCACATGGATTAATATACAGGCTATGTTTAGAGGGGTTTAGAAAACTGATGTGGCATTGCATTGTATTAACCACTTAATAGTTTTACTTGAGCAATGTTCGGTGGCTCCGAAAGGAGACTTCCTTAATTTACCCATACACTACTCAGGCAGTATATTTTTCTACACCAATCCACTGATTTGCTCGGCCTTTTTCACTTTTTGCAATGTTTCTAATAAATGTCTCTAATGGTTCTGAAGAGACTGGACTGTAAAACCAATTCCAGGACAGGTTTTACTGCTTTTCGTTTAGGCTTTGTGTGTTGCTCAAAAAGGAATAATAACAGAAAGTGTGTCAAAAAAGAAACCAAATTTTTTTTAGTTATGATATTGGGTTCTGCTTTTCTCCATGTTTTAAAACATATCATAAGCTCAGTTTTGAAAAGAAATAAAAATGTAAGTGTTTAAAAAATTTTCCTCCTAACATTTATCATCAATAAAGTGTTTTTTCCAGTTCCTCACCTTCTTCAGAAAAAAGCCAGCTTTAAGTAAAAATGCTGTATTTTTGCTGTAATGAAAAATTATCTTAAATTAATTAAAATGCAATACTTGAAACAGTTTTGACTGCTGATGTGAATTCGTGTAATTGATTTGAATGCAAAATTGTTTATAAAAAATATGCTTATTTTTGGCCACAATATGGCAGAAAAATGAAACTGGAAAGTGGTTAAATATCTTGTACAGGAAATCAAGAATATTTTTAGTGTGTGAGTGGGCTCCATCTTGCATGAACTATTGAGTGTTTAAAGGGAGATGTTGTCATTTTTAGGTGTGCAGACTCTTAATGGGTGCTTTCTCCAACATAGAGCCAGTGTCTGCAAATTTCTGACAGTTTGTGAATGGTCTATTTGCACGAAACCAATCTTATACCAAAATGTGAAAGAAAATGTCTTTATGTCATGACCAACTTTTTCATTTCTTCAAAAAACAACAGCTTTCACATTCTATTTAGAACACTATCAGTCGTTATCCACCATCTTGTAAACTGCTGTTTTGTAACAAATTAGAATCCAGTGCTGATTTCTGCATCTATCAGATTTTCTATAAACAAAGCACCTGAATACATGTTTTTACCATTCAAAACATAATGGGATGACTGAATGGTATGACACTTCATTCACCCTCCTGTGTATATATGCACCAATTTTATAGTTAGTAAATGACTGAAACTCAAGAACAAGGAAAACTTAAACTTAAGAATTTAAAACTTATTTTAATTTTAAACTTAAGAACAAGGAAAGAACTATATTTAAATCTTTTCATTGAATTCTCAAAAGCTGTTTACTTTATGTTGCTTTAATCAACAATTTTTCAGAATTTATATTTTAAGTTCACTTTTAACACTAATGCCTTTTAATTAAACCTTCAGATATTTCTTTTTACACATTACTGTAAAAAATAATTGTGGATCATTTTTAATGCTTTAGAATAGGGGGTCTTCAACCCATCACATCCAATGGCCACATCAATAAGTTCATAAAGAACTGTGAGCCATACATCTGTGAGATAAGTAGCATAGACAGAAAATTTATGATAGAGAGAAAAGTTTACAAGACTGCAGTTAATTTTAAGGTGAAAGATGAGGTTATAAATTTTCATAATGTACTCTATTTTATGTTTTTTTCTTAAAAAAGATGGCAGAAAAATGAAACTGGACAGAGAACTGTGGAAGTTAACTGTGAAGGTGACATATAGTACATACAGATGTTATGATTCCATTGACAATTAATAAAACTAATTTCTGACAGGAAGGAAGTCACTTCAGTCTTAATGAGAAACTTTGCAATTTTTTGTGTTATTAAAGCTTTGATACACGATAGAATCTGTCTTTTCAAAATTCGTAAAGTGTTCTCCAAATGCTGATCTATCAGATGTGTTCTTGTTTTTGATTTTGTGTTCTTCATTTGACTGTTCACATATGTAGATATTGCCAAAGCTAGAAAACACAAACAATGCTTGTTTACATATTCTTGAGTACTTGACTTTGGACACATACTTCTGAATAAATTCAATTAATGTAGAATTTTCAAGAAACTTCCATTTTACTGCCGAGTCATACTGCAAATCTACAAATTCTAGTTGAAGTTCAGGTGCAACACTTTGGATGTCTACCGAAAATATCAAGGAGAACATTCTCACAGAATCCATGCTCAGATTTGAGTAAAAGCAATTTATTTAAGTAAATCTGTGATATCATTATAGGAAAGCTATTAAAATTATATTTGAAGGTACTAAAATCAGATACAGAAATGAAAATACTTTTGTAGTTTTGTTTGTACAAAAGTCAATACTTTTGTAGTCAGAAATGAAAATACTTTTGTAGTTTTATGATATTTTGCTCTACATATTAAATTTGTCATTTTTAATTTGACATTAACCTTAACTAAATAAAACATCATTTTCTTTAAGTAGATAAAAAGTAATATGATTTACCATACCATCTTAAAAAAATATGAAACTTTTATTATTTTTTCAAACCAATTTGGATAGTATGAGAAATCTAATAAAAATTGTAATATTTATGAATCTAATTTAAAATTTACTTCCCGTATGTAGTTTTTTTTTTATATTAGGTTTAATATAGTTTTTATGTTGGGCTATAAAAACAGTCAGAAAGTAAGTATAATTCAGGATTAAAATATGCTACACATTAAATAGATTGAAAATAGTAATTTCTTTTCTAAATCTTTCTTTTTCATTAGGTTTAATACAGTTGCTACAGAGAGTAAAATAATCAGTCATATAGTATGTATGATTCAGAATTAAAATTTGCTATACATGAAATAAATTGAAAACAGTAACTCTTATTGTTCTTTACTATAAAACACGATTTCTTAAACTTTTTTGTCGTGATCCCTTTTTATCACTGAGATTTATTTCATGACCCCATAATATTTACAGAAATTTTGTGGAACCCCATAAGTAACGGGTAGCCATAATTAAACTGACAGTGCTCACATTGTTCTGTAGCATGATCTATTTGCGAGAATGACGCCACATTTTGTAGGAAGATTAAACAAGACGGGGGACGAAGGATTCCGTGAAAAAACAAATTAGTTCCAAAAGTCACCGCTAGGGGAATATTTGGCTCTGTGTAATAGAAAATAGTGTCAACAAATGCAAATTAATACGGAATAAAATTACCTTTTATTATGCACATTTTCTGATTTAGTTCAAGTGCAATATGGCAACACTTTTAAAAAAGTATAAAATCCACATAAACACCGATAAAGTCTCGTGATCTGCAATATCACGTATGCTGAGCAGAAGAAGTTCTTTATTCAAATTTCATGTTACATCCATTCGCACAGTGCCAGCTGCTTGGGTTTTAAAAGGCAATGTGTTACGTTTCGAATCAATTGGATTGAAAGTTTATGTGCAATATCTCCTTCTTTAGTCGAGCGTGCATTACTGGTAAAATTCTTTTACCTCAACCAGTGCAACGCATCAGCCGCTCTTCGTGCTTTTAGAACGCACAAAGAAATGCATAAAGGTAACTGTCCTGTGTCAGTTAATGGGCTAAAAGCATTGGTTGCGACGTTTGAGAAAACAGGTTCTCTGAAGGTTCAGTCAGGCAGAGGACGAAAACCTGTACCATAGGATACAGTCGAAGCAGTTGCCACAGCGATTGTCGACAGAGGTCCAGACAATATTGCTGCCACCTCTAGCACTCATGGAGTAGTTTGGAATATGGATATGTCTTACAGTACGGTATGGAAAATCTTACGAAATATTATCAACTTCTATCCGTACAAGATCAGCCGTGTACAGGAGTTACTGTACCCTAACCATGATAAGCGATTGACTTTTGTTCTCACCTTTCTTGCCAGAATGGAGGTGGATGATGCTTGGCCATGGAAATCTTATGAGGAGATGAGGCCCCCTTTTACCTATGGAACTGTGAATACCCAACTGCCGAATTTGGGATGACACCACCACATGAAATCGCAGTAATTTCCTTACATTCACCAAGGTAACTGTTTGGTGTGGGTTCACATTGGAATTTATCGTAGGTTCCATTCTTCTATGAGAACTTTACCACCCCGACAGGACCGGAAACCTTTTCTGTTAACGGATAGAAATACCACATGTTGAACAGCTTTGTCATTTGGCACTTCAACAAAGACAATGCCTGAGGGAAATCATTTTCATGCAAGATGGAGCCCCTCCACTCGTTGCTGTATGGGTGCAACAGATGCTACGACAGAAATTCACAACAGAAAGAGTCATTAGGCACTACTTTCCAACTGCATGGCCACCTCGGTCGCCTGATCTTACCCCATGTGACTTCTGGCTATGGGGTTACCTTAAGTCCAAGGTCTATCAAGGAGTGGTCCAGGACCTGGCTATGTTGAAGGATAACATATCGCGGATTGTATGCGAGATTCCTGCAGACATGTTACTTTCTGCTGTTGTGCAAACTGTGCACAGAATGCAATATGTGGTCCACAACAACGGCAGCCACATTGAACCTCATTTGAATGCAAAATAAAAGGTAATTTCCGTATTGATTTGCATTTGTTAACACTCTATTTTCTATTACACAGCGCCAAATATTCCCCAGGGTTCGTAGCGGTCCTTACAAGTGCTTATAAGTCCTTATATTTGAAAATAAAATATAAAGGCCCTTATAGGTGCTTACTTTTTCTTTAAAGCCCTTATTTTTTGTTTTTAGTGCTTATTTTTTGATTTAATGCTTTTTTTAATGAACGCGCGTCCCCCCCCCCGCCGTACCAAAGCCGAAACTAAATAAACAACTTTTCTTCCTTATATGGAACGTCAGATGGTGAATCATACTCCCGGAAATAGCTTCCCCCCTTTCTCTGCATTAGCGTAACCGATGGTGCGCGCGAGAGTACAGACAGGTGCACGTCGTTCTATTGGTCAGAGAATTGGGAAAACCGTCGACAATTCCGGTACATTCGGTATTCTTTTCCTCCCACCCAAATACTACACACGTTTGAATTTCTAACAAGATTTTAATAATTTACATTCTCGTTCTGTGTGGTCAGTTCATATTCGTGTTTATTATGATCGTTATGCTTATATTATAAATATGTATAATATAATAATATAGTTTGCAGTAGCTGCTGAAGGTTGATAAACTTCCAAAAATGGGTTTATTTTTTACACAGATTAGCTTTCTAAGGAATAATATTCGGAATGGCTTAATTAAAAGAAAAGTAATCGATTTTTTTTTTTTTTTTTGGTTAACACATTATACAATACGGAGGTTGGGAGGTTCTCCCCTTTCTCCACAAAATCTCTAATATTGAAGCAGCGAACTTTTTTTTTTTTTGTCACTGGCCAATCTGGATTGAATAGGACTAAAATTGCGGTATACCCAACTCTTTCTTTTCCTTTATTTAGTTCTTTATTCTCCGAATACCGGCAGCTGTTGATTCCGATTGCGTAATATCACGTACGGAAGATTACGCTGCACGTATTACGCAATAACGTTTGCGGTATTTTGCAGAGATAATTAATTTTGATGTTCAGTCTGAGATTTATTTATGAACACTTAAAAGAGTTTTACTGTTCTTTCTAAGCAGAATATTTCTCAGTTCCGTTGGTCTATTTTTATATGATGCACATATCGAAATGTCAAAATCATTTATTTAGCCGAGAAATCAAAAGAACGGCTACAATCTCCCCCCCTCCTCTTTTTCCAGTTACGCTCGACTATACGGAATATTCGGCAATTTCTGAGTATGCGGGTTAGTTAAGCTTTTACTGTTAAAGTATGACTTACATGAAGCAATTTCCCGTCTCCTGATTTCAGAAATGTTCTTCTTTTTTACTTAAATTACTTTGTGAATATAGAGGGAAAACTGTAGGCAATGAAAATTTAAAAAATGTTCAGAATTTTTATTTAAGTTAATTATTTAAATATTAATAGAGTGGGAAATAAATTGTATTATTATTGGTGCCAAGCGATACAATTATATGGCTTATTATTATTTTTCTATATTTTGAACTGAAATTTCATCATTAAATCTGTAATATAGTTTAGTTCTGCATTTTTTTTTTACTTCTCATTGTAACTAATTCTGTAATTGAACTGTCATTTAAATTAAAAAAAAAAAAAAAAAAAAAGTTAATTGTTTTCCATGGTTGAGGTAATGCTCATTCTCTTAATAAATATTGCATTGCTCATATTTTAAATTGCAAGTGTAATTTTTCTTTTAAGGTTTATGCAGTTGAGTATAATGTAATTAGACAGTTGCTTATTTTTTTCTTAAAATGTGCTTGAAAAGTGCTTATTTTTTTAACTAAAATGTGGCTATGAACCCTGTTCCCCTAGCTGTGACTTTTGGAACTAATTTGTTTTTTCGCGGAATCCTTCATCCCCCGTCTTGTTTAATCTTCCTACAAAATGTGGCGTCATTCTCGCAAATAGGACCGCACTACAGAACACTGTGAGCACTGTCTGTTTAATTATGGCCACCCGGTATTGTGCAAATCTGACATATGCACGAGTGAAACCGTCAATTTTTTTACTTTTACTGTAATATACTATTGCAGTTTTAAGTCATTAACTTTAATTTCTAATTTTAAGATGTAGAACAATGTGAAAATTTTAAATAAGTAACAGACAAAATGACAGCATCACGTGCAAAGCAAGGAAAATGAACGTTTATATTATAAAAAGAATGCATTGAAACGTTTTCGTTTTTTTCTTTGTCTGTATTGTCTTATCTTTATCTATTTTCAGATATATTGTGTAAAAAATATTTGGTAATTGTAAAATTATTATAATAAGTTAAAGAAATATCAAAACTGCTAAAATTTTTGCCTACCCACAGTTTAAGAAACTCTGCTATAAAAAGTAGTATATGTTGTTTTTAAAGTTAATAAGTTAATGCTTGTTTTTCTGTGAATGATTTTTTTATGTTACTTTCAGACGAGTTATTCTCCCTGAAGCATTTCTATCAGCAGATATTTTCTTGAATACTCTACAGAATGTTACAGATGGTTTGGTTGTTTATCCTAAAGTCATTGAGAGGCATATAAAACAAGAATTGCCTTTTATGGCAACTGAAAATATTCTCATGGCAATGGTAAAAGCTGGTGGTGATAGACAAGTAAGTATAAAAATGCAAAATGTATAATAATTTATGTAATTTGTTTAAAGTACTTTTGTTTGGGAGTAAATCAAATGTAATTTGAAATATTAATATTCATATGCAGGAAAACCTTGTTTATTTTGATTAATTAATCTAACAACTCATGCAAGCTAAGCAGGGTCACATTCATTGAGTACACTAAACAACAGGATCATAATTTGCCCACCAAAATGTAAAGAAAATCAAGTTGTTATAATTTTGAAAATGGAAAACGTTTTCAACTGAAATTTGAATGCAAGAGACGCCATACACCTCGACATTCAAGTCCATATCTGTGGCATTTGTCTCCAGTGCTCTGATAGCATCAAAATGTATTGCATTTGGTGGAAATTATTTCATGCCATTTTGCTTTGTTAAGTACAGTGATGAACAAGTATTGAGTGTGAGTTTATATTTCGAAATTACTATAATGCTGTCTCTTTTACATTTCGAAATTACTATAATGCTGTCTCTTTTACATGTGTCAGAAAGAGTTTAAAAAGAAATTTTCTTATTGAGAAACATCTATGAAGGGCATATTTCAAATCTTGTGAAGACTGAAAAGAGAATTTTTGATATGCATTCAGAAAAATGACCCACAAGCAGTTATTAGTGTGTGAAGCACATTGGTAAATGAAGTCCTTTTCTTTGAGTGAATTTACATAATGATTTCTTGGATCTTTTGAGTTTCTAAGGAAATTATTATGCAAACTGGGTTAAGAAACATGACTGTCTTGTTTTACCTACCAGAGGCTTTTAAAATGTAAATACCATATTCTCTTACAACTGCCTCATGAGGGTCATCATTTGGCATGCTAACATGAGTATATTAATGCTAGTGTTTTAAGAAATTCATAGTCAAAATACAGACTTATTAAACATTACATATTTTATGGACAAAGTCTGGCTTTACCCTTTAGACCATGAATTCACAGAAGCAGAATATCGATAAAGATTTCTATATCATTCACCAGGAAAGAATGTATTCCATGAAGACTGACATGGTTCACCATTTCATGAAACCAAAAATCAGTTCTGTTTTCTTTGAAACAACTATTCATGAACTAACTTGCTGCAGAATGGCTTTCTCTAACACTATGTAATTTCCCACCCTTTTAGTGTCAACATGGCCGAAATTTGAAGTTTCTTTGGTGATTGAATTGTTTGTAAAGGCTTGTAGTTGATGAGAGCATCAGATTTAATTCTACAGATTACTTTTCATGGAATTATTTGAAAGAGACTGTAATAACAATTGACCTAATACTATTTAACAGTTGGAAAAGATCTCACATGAAATAAAAGTAATAAATACAAACCTTCTGAAATATGACCATGTGAAACAATGAATTAATATCTCTGCTTGGATGTCAAAGATGGACTTACCCACCTCCCTCCCATTTTCTGTGATATTGATGTGATGAAGTAAATACAGTCAAAAGTCGTTAATTCGGACACCCATAATTTGGACCTCAAAGCTACAAACTTTCTGCGCATGCGGCGCGTTGACGCATGTGCGTAAGACCTTTATGGCTGCGCATATGCGTGTGCGCATAATACGTTTGCGCATGCACGTTTAATGTATAACGGATGGTATAAGCAAAAATTATCTAATTATCTATTTCAGTTAATGTTGCAGATTGCGTTGTTCCTTAATCTTCGAATTGGATTCAGCTTATTATTTTTTGCAGACTGTTAAAGCAATTTTATAAAAGTAAGCTTGAACTTTCAATTATGTCAAATAGAGTTCCCGATGCTGGAGCTCCCAAAGGATCTACAAAGAAAAAGTATGTTTTGATGTCCATCAAACAAAAAGTGGAATTGCTGCAAAAAATGGATAAAGGCATATCCTTTGTTTCTGTAACTATTCCGAAATCTGTTTATCAATTTCACGCTGCTCTACGGTAGGGGGGTTTCATAAATTTTACTAATTATAATTTTTCTTTGCTAGAAAATCAGTAAGTTGTTAGGTATCTTTGTTTTGTTTATTTCTGCTGCACAAAATTTTGATTATTTATGCCTTGTCTCCTCTAGAAGTATAATATTTGTGGCAGGTTCCTCGAATATTGTTTCAAGGGAATGTGTTTCATAAGAAATGCGGTATGAAAATAATCTTTCATAAAAAAGTTATGCAGAAGATAACTGAAATAATCTATGCCTATTCATATCTCAGCACCATAATTTACATGTTATTTTTCTGTTAAGGAATGTCATGAAGAAATCCGTGTACTTTCTCATCAAGCTGCCGAGGTTGTAAAAATTCAAGGTGGAGATAATGATTTAGTTGATCGCATCCGTAACAATGCCTATTTTGCTCCTATCCATGATCAGCTAGACTCATTATTAGATCCTGAAACATTTGTTGGCAGAGCTCCATACCAGGTATTATAATTTTATTTAAACTAAGAGTTATTGAATTATTTAACCTATGGCATGGCTAAAAGCATATAAAAGAATCTTTCTTAAGAGCCTATTCTTAATATTTTAAACAACAGTGTTAAGTGAAATTTAATGAATCATGTGGTGTTCTGAAATTGAGTCATGTAATCTGTTGATTCAGCATCCTCGTCATGCCAGTCATTGAATCTGATTTTTAAATTTAATGGTTGACGGTTAAATTTAAGGACAGGTTCAAAGGCAACTTTAGGTAAAATAATGGTTGTCCTTGCAAATAAAATGGTCAATGCATTAATATTTGAGATAGAGCTAAATAATATTCTGTAGAAATTAACATGTAATTCTGTGGGACAAGAAGTATTCAGAGCTGAGGGGGTACTCTGATACATAAGAATATAATTTTAATAATAAAGAATTTTGCTTTTTAAGAATATTACCTTCTGAAATTAACATATTTAAGCAACTGCTTACTTCGGATTAAAAAAAAAAGGATCATCAATGTATGTATCTATCATAATTTAATAACTTTCTGAAATTTATTGAAGACTTTTTATATTTGTGTGTATATACATATAAGCTCAATTTTCTACTTTAAATAATAGTTCACATGAATAATGGATGCATTACTTAGAATTTTAAATGTTGCATTTATAATATTTTGTATTTAAATGTTTACTCTATCTATTCATTATATTATAATGTTACTTTTAAGACATTACTCTGATTACTTAATACTTAAAAATGTACATACTGATTTTACATGCTAATTTTTAATAACATTACTGATACTGATTTTAACATAACTGAATTTTTTAAATAATCTTTTAGCTGACTTAATGTGAAATTTTATATAACTGATTTTAAAACTATACAGATAAACTAGACAGCATTTGTGTTGCTAAATTTATTTTCACAAATTTTGTGTATCATATTTTTTTAATGTAGGTTTATTTTCCTTCATAATAAAAAAAGCAAAAATTAAGACACCATGAGGTGTGGTTTGCGAGAATGCTTATATCTTCAAAACTAGAAATGTTACAATCAATCTAAATACATCATTAGACAGTTGAAAGAACACATTAGCAAACTGGATAAAAGGTACATGCGTAATAATACATCAAAAATAGCAAAATTTTTGTAATGTCTAAACTCCGTGTACATGCGCAGCCACGTGTAAATGGCAAGGCGGCCTGGTAAAATGTGTTATTTTTTTACTTATATTCTAATAATGTCTACAAACTTCATAATTAAATGCCTTATGCATTTCCATGTTTTTCAGGTAACGGAATTTTTAGAAGAAGAAGTTTACCCAGCACTTGAACAATACAAAGATCAGCTAGAATTAAAAGCTGTTCTAAGAGTTTGATATAATAAATTTATATGTTTATTATTGTAATTACATCAGCAACATTTATATATTTTTCAGAATATTTTTGCATAAGTATATACTACTTTATATAGAAATGTACCATATAAAAATATATAACATTTGCCAGTAAATAATACACTTTAAACAAAGTTTTTTTGTTAGTAGATAATTATATATATTTTATAAAATAATCAAAATTATATAATTGGACTTTTGGCTAATTTTTAAATTTAATGCTTCAGAAAAAGCACTGATTAATGATGATTTTATTACTTATCCTTATGTTTTAAAAAACTTGCAGCACATTAATATCATGGAAAGATCCAGTGAGAATTTTGTAAATTTCAAGATATTAAATTAGTACATGAAGAAATTAATTTGAAGGAATTTTGAAAAAATCTCAAAATTAATTTTTATTTGCTTTTACGATAAATATGTATATTTTATAATATTCTAAATAATTTTTATAAGATTAAGTTCATAAAATCAGAAACTAAATCTGTAAAATTCAATAAAATAGACAAATTTTATAAAACAAAATGGAAATCATTTAAATTCATTATAGCATTTAAGCTATATCTGATCTAGCAAATTAAATGTCAGCAGCCAAGTAAATAAGACTACTAAAGGTTGTTGGTACAATATAGCTAATCAGTTCCACAGTAGAATCTCTTTTAAACAGCAACAATGCCCTCAGTGATGCCAGATAATTGAATATATATTTCTAGAACTGTTCATGTTTTGTGATGCCATGTGTTAAAATTCTAATATGCAGAGACTGTTGGCTTGATATGTTAGACTATTAACCTTCCAGCACACGCATATGCGCAAAATTTATGACAAATTCAGTTTTTAATGCACATTTTTACTTCCTTGTACGAAGTAAAAAATAAGTATTGTAATCACGAAAAGTTTCAGGCAGCATATTTCAATGAAAATATCCATTTTGACCACTATTAAATGCAATTTAACGATGTTTTTGCGTGATATCTGTACGTAAGGACAGAATAAAAGACTCGTTTCCTCCAAAAAAGTTATAAAACTGCCTTAAAATTAATTCTGAAGAGAATTTTCGTGGTGTCTGTATGAACATATGTACATACGTATCTCACATAACTCAAAAACAAGTAGCCTCAGAACGTTGAAATTTTGTATATAGGACTGCTATAACATGTAGATGTGCACCTCGTATTTTGGTTGCAATCAGCCGCGCCAAACGTATATAAATATATTTATATATATATCCACTCTGTTACCTGGCTCAGTGATCTCAGTTTCTTCACTCTTATATGTTTGAAAATTGTAAATTTTTTGCTTTAAAAACGATTGAATTATGTTGTTTTTATATTCCGGTTAAGGTTTTGATGCCTTTAGTAAATCTGTGTGCAATATTTTTAGAATTATCAACAATTTTAAAGTTGTTTAAGTGCCGCTAAGCCTTTTTTGACGGCATCCATTGATTGTTTACATTTGAAACAGCAGACTAGTGGATTTGTTGCCAATCTAGAGAAACTTAGCTTCGCAACAATAAAGATAACGCCTTCATTTATTATTGCCAATTAAATCATGCTTAATCCTTTCTGGAATTTTTTCGAGGAAATAAGTGTTTAAGATTTACTTCATAGTTTTTAATATAGATATTTTGAGTTTTTATGTATTTTTGCATTCTCGCAAAGTGAGAACTGAATTAATTGAATGAGAAATACTCAATCGTCTGTGAAAAACTGTTTTCTTTTTGTTTTGTGTGCTTAATTTCTTTATACATCATTCTAGCTTTATTATAGTATTTGAATAGAACATGTGGCAACGATTAGATAATTCTATTCTTTAAATGATATAAATTTTGTGCATTATGAGTTTATAATATGAACGAAATATAATACTGTTAAGTGAATCTAGCGCCAGAGTGTCGCTATGGTAAACAAATACTAGAGTGAATTTTAAAGAATGCATTTATTCTGTTGTGGTTTATGCGTTGTCAGCGAAGTAGATTTAATTCAATCCAATCAGTTTAAATGAAATGCAATAAAAATGCGTATAATTTAATATTCCGTATCGTTTGTAAGTTATGTGGTGTACACATCAGATTTTTTGCATATCGAAACTGAGATGTCTGAAGGTCATTTCTATTCCTCCTTTCTACACTTCCCCACATCATGGAATGTGCCAACAGGAAGTCATTTGACTTTTTTTTTAACTGGGCTTTTATGTTACGTGACAGCTTTTTGATAAAAATTCGAAAAATATCTTTTTTCTCAAATATTTTGTAATTTTTTGTTATTAATTGGCGTGTATTATTTTAATTTGAATAAGTTTGGCTCTGTAAATTTTATATTGGTTTTCATGGCAAAAAAATATGTGCAACCAGCTGATTTTGCTCAGATTCTTCAAGAATTATCTGGAAAAAGACAAGAAAAGGAAGACAAGGAAACCTTTGGATGGGAGAACAATAGCGATTTCCATTCCTTATTTTCTTTTATTTCTATTTTTTAGAAATAAATAAAAACATTAAAGTTAGTTTAAAGTTTTGTAACCAGTAAGAAGTAAATTTCCTTGCAGAAGTAAGTAATGCTAAACTTTCTTTTTTTCCTTACCAAGGTGTTTTCCTTTTTTGTCTGTACTTGCCTTTGATGAATATTAAAATTAGCTTCGATTTTAAAATATAATTAATAAATTTAAAATTTTCTGTAATGAAATAACATCATTGCAGTTCCATCTCACTAACATAAGAACTTAAAAATAATGTACTTATATTCGAATGCAATATCATTTGTATTTTGCAATAATAAGATTAATATTTTATTTCTCAACAAATTTATGAATATTCACTCATTTCTGTCGTTTTTCGTGCCCAAAACGGTAAAATAATGGATGTCGTAAAAGAATAGGATGCGCGTGTGCTCATGTAAAAATGCCAAGTGCGCGTCCTGGAAGGTTAAAAGAATAATAATTAAAATTATACGGATTTTAAATTAAAATACTTTTATATTAAATAACATTGTAAAATTACCATATATATTTATGTGTTCCTTGTGTGATGACTAACGTTGAATGCCTGTCTGCTTATGAGATCATTGCCAGAGTTTTAAATATTCACTATGTGCACACTGAAACTACATAACATTATAATACTGACATAGATAACATTGTTCGACAAATATTATGGAAGTCTGCAGTTCCTTATGAGATTCCTTCCATGTGACTACATTTTCATTACCTTAAGAGTGTGTGACAGGAACAGAATTGTCTATATCCATCTAAACTTGCACCTCCTCTTTACTAACACTAATCAATTTCTCCAAACATGTAACTAAATTCAAGGTCGGGCTACGAATGCATTTAAAATCAAGAGAATCTTCATCTATGAACATGATCATAAGCCACATTCAAACAACAATGAAATGTAATGTCCGTGATATCTTTCCAGGCAAGAGCCAAAGTAAGTGAAGTGTCATTTAGTGCACATTGTTACTGGAAGTTGTTGACATTATCTTCAGAATTCACACATTGATATATTTTGTGTATCAGTAGATCATCTTTTTTAAAATTTAGATCTTTAAAAAGTATCAGTATTTGATATTGCCAGTTACAAGGGATTTTACTGTATTTTGAGCTCATGGCATCTAAACAGGCTAGCCATAGAAGGTTACCCATGTCAATTAGTTAAAAAAGCAAGCACACTTTTTTTTTAGTTATAAGTAGTCCTGGATTTGGTTACTTATATATTTATCATGAGAAGTATCTGTAATTAGTATACTCAATTATATACTACCCTACCTGAAAATGAAAATATTTTCAATAAATTAATACAAACATAATTTTATTAATACATAATCTACATCATATGGCAGAAAAACATCAGTATATTTAATACAAACTGAACATTCATTGTTTTATGTTTTTGATATTGCAGGCAAAGAATTTTCTTACTAAAATAATTAATATGAATGCTTATGAACTGTGGTTTTTCTTCATAATTCCAGAACTAACTAATAATGCATCAATGCAAGGATCACGACCTCTAAATTTACGAAACACTTCTCCAGGATTGCATCCCCCTCCGAGTGCCAAGAAAGTATCTCGAAACCTGCATAAAGATTTATCAACCTATGTATTTATAAACATTAACAGACAATAATAAAAAAACTATAATCAAATATATTACATATTCAAACAATATAGATTCTTGAAGATTAAAAGATGTTTTTCACAATTAGGATTTTCTGCTAAAAATATAGTATTTAACCGAGGAGGAAAATTAATTGATGCATTGAAGATCTGTTATAGTGAGAAATAGCAAAATCAGTACCAGGGAAAAAAAAATCTCACAGCATACTAGAGGACTCCTTAAGGTTTTTTATGCTTTCATTAAACCCTTTAACTGTCAAGTTATTTTGATGATTTGGGTACACAAATTGTAAAATTTTTTTATTGCAAAAATCAAATGTTTAGTACAAAATAAAATATACTTAAGTAGTTAAAAATTGATATTTTGACGTACATGGGTAAAATTTTTAAAGTTTTGTAGCCACTGCATATTTTGCTTTGAGGCGGCTGCCACTCAACATGGCAGTTGCAAAGTTCGCTTCTAGTGGAGCATTATTTTCTAAAAATGAAAAAAATTAATTATTTTCTAAAAATAAATAAATATAAGTGAATACCTATTAGTAGTTCAGTAATTCAGTCTTGTGTGGTACAACTGGAAACACTTTTCCAAGCACAAACCAACTCCACAATCACTACACCAGAATCGTGATTCCTTCCTTATCTTTTCCCCATTTTTATCCTTTTTCGAACAACACACTTTGCACTGTCTTGTTTTTTTTCGAATAGGAGGAAAAATGGGATATAAAATGTCGTTCAGTAAGACGGGCAGGGTTATCTATTGTAGGTGGTCTGCCAACATTCTTTTGTCCAGAAGCTGCATCATATTTATGTAAAAGCTCTTCTACAACTTGGATTCGAAATTCTAAAAATGTAATACGTTTCCCAACTACATTTTTATAGAGCAAATATGAGTTCCAGAGTACCTTGTCTAGTAAATGTAAAAATATCTTTTTATAATTTTTTTCTGACGTTTTCGGATTGTTGGATGAAAGGATATTTCCTGATCACAGCGATCTACACCACCCATAGTTAGACCGTAATTAGAAACAATCTTCGGCTTGAGTATATCTCCATTTTTTTTTATTTTTGAGGCTGACCATGGAAGTATCATGAATACTGCTCATCAAACACACATCCTTCATCTTCGGTTGAAGAATCTAAATCATCTATATAACGTTTCAAAGAACTGGACGCTATTTTACAACAAAAAGATCCCATGCACTTTGAACCAAAGAACTTATAACCTCTAACCTTTGAAATCTTCAGTAAAGTGCTGTCATCTATTGAACTGAGCGCACATTAACTTTTCCCGAGATACAGTCGGGTTTGACAAAGAGATGAAGCCGAAATAAACGTCTCCCGATATATATTCGGGTATAACAATACGATGCACTCAAAAAAAATTACCCCGAGTAATACTCGGGCGTGACATTTTCGAACACCAGTGCTGTGCCCGAGATTATCTCAAGCATGACAGTTAAAAGTTAAACACTAATCTCGGGCATGACAGTTAAAAGGTTAAACACTGCAGGTTACCAGTTTGCTCCTTGACTCATTCCTGTTAATATAATTGTTTGTTTTTATCTTTTTAGCTCTATTATTAAACATCACATTCTTTTCACTTACACCACATAAAATTCAAGAACAAATTTGCAAAATATTACTTAGAATTCTTGCTGGAGTGTTAGGTGTTGCTATATATTACTTCTTTGAAAATTAGCTCATCCAGTGGCTAATCGCCTTAAAGTGTTATCTTTAAAAAAGTTTATAATGATTTTAACAAGTCTAGCTAGTCATTTTATACAAAATTTAATATTTCTAATTAGACATCTCATGATTTAAATGAGATTAAAAAGTATGAGAAATATTTTTGAGAACTGTGCTTATTGCTTTTAAATGACTTTGCTTTCAGTAACAGAAAGATTTAAAAGTTAAATATCTCTGAAATACTGAACAGCAACATGCTGGTGAGTGAAGATAATAAATATTCTATTTGAGGCAGTGGCAACAAATTACTTTCAAACAGCCGAATTTGTGGATTAAAATTAAAAAAGATAAATACCCTACATTTTTCCAAATGGCGACAGTCGGGCATACTGGAGATAAAAAATGTTTTACTTCGAACAGTGCTGCCACTTCTTGCTTTTAAATCACCGCTTTTGTTAAATAAAAAAATTAGGCTTCGAAGTGCCCATGTTTGGGTGGAAGACTATGCATATTAAAATTCAGTGGCTTTTAGATGCTGTCGTTTTCCCACAATGCAAGGAACACGCACGAATACATATAAATTCTTCATTATTTAATTTTTTTATATATATTACATTGCAATAACATTTGGTAGCGAATATTTAAAAAGTGATTTGGACAAAAAGTGAGTTTCGATGCTAATATTTTCTTTAGTGCTAATTATTAAATTTTCATTAAGACAGAATGCATTTCAAACTGTTTGATTTACCAGCTATCTATAGAGCAAAGCTTCTCACTCCCCCCAAAGAAGATATGCTTCAATGTTGAGAGATAAAATAGACGAATGTAACTCGCATTGTCCATTAACAATTATGAAGTTTTTTAGTATTGAATAATGCAGAAGATTATATGGTCAATCAATAATAAAGTAACTAAAGCATTGAAATCCAGGTCTTAGGCTCTGCTCATGAGATTTTTCCCATGTATAATATAACCAGCCATTTTCGCAGAAAAGTTTACTCAATGAAGGGCTCTTTTCTCAAAAGTACGGATCTTTAGGCAGTTTTGTCATAATTAAATAATTCAACACAAAATTTATGAAAATTATATTTTCATTTTCTTAAGATATTTTAATAACATAATTATGAAAGAAAAATATCTGCAAATCAACAGAGATCTTGCCAATAATTACTTTGTTAATTAAATACTTCTTATTTCATTGATGTAAGTAATTCATGTGTTTGTGAATGAAATGTTATTTTGCATAACAACACAGCTGCGAAAACATATTTTTATTCTCAATATTGGAATTTTAGCTAAATTAGCATTAAAATAAAAATGTAAGTGGAGAAAAGGAGTCAGCATTAAAATTAATAATTTTTACTCTTGAAAGCAATATGAAAATTAGAACAAAAACACTACTGAAATAAATGCTAATCTGTTTTATAAACGAAAAGCTTAAAACTGTAATAAATACCTCCCCCCTTGGTAATGTGTTTTACATATGACTAGAAACATATATTTCAAACAAAAAAAAAATAATTTAGTAAGTAGCATAGAAATATATTCATACTTTTTTGTTGAAAGCGCATATTAATTAAAATTTATAAATCACATTCTTATTTCCATATATTTTTTTTTTACCTGTGTCCTATTTGCTGTATTTTGTTATTTTCATCTAATCCCACTTCCTCAAAGGCACTAAACACATCTGCAGCAATCATCTGCAAAAGTATTCTGAAGTGAATTCTGATATCAACAAATTTATAAGTTGGGAATACATAAGATTTTAAATTAAAGAAAACTTACTTTTGCCCATAAATTGGAAAAATATGCAGCAGGATACTGATCACAAAATATTTCAGGAAAGGAACAGGGCTGAAAAACAGTTTTGTCAAAAGGAAATGGCATGTACTGAAGCCACATTCTTTTGGTTACATTTGTCCAAAATTCTCTTCTAAATGGGAAAGAAAAGATATTTATGTTAAAATGTTATTTGTGCATTTTCTAATTATGTTTGTTTAGTTTTCTTTGTTAGGCATGTTTATTCTAATATATATTAAAAAACTGCTTTTGATTATTTTTCTCAAGAAAAACATATCTAACAGAGATAAAAAAACCTATTAAATAGTGATAAGTAAAATCTACCTTACTTTCCATTGTTATTATAGTTTTTACATATTTCTAACAATCAACAATATTTATTATAGCTCTCTTACCAAATCCTTTTTAAAACTCTTAAAGTGATTAATTATTTCAAGCACATAATACTGTAAGGTATTAAGAACAGAGAGAAATAGAGATTTCTTAAAACTTTTAAATTTTTTCAGAAAAAAGATATGTGATATTTTTTATTTATTTGCATCAACTTTTCCTTTTATGTTTATGCTAAGATGAATTTAAACCTATTTGGGTGGAGAGAAACGATTTGGGTATTTATTATATTACCTAATGAAGAATTAAGAAACTTACTTGGTGTAAAGTTCAAGATCAAGAGCTGATAAATAAAGTTCTTCCGTCAACCTCAGACCCATCATGTAATGATCTTCTAAAAAAAAAAAAAAAAAAAAAAAAAAAAATTAAATTCATTCTGATAGTTTTGATGCAATTTTTTATTAACTAAAAGCCTAACTGAATCCAGACATTAGTTAGTAGCTTGTCAGCTCTTGAATTTATGTATGGACATAATTTTTCATGCATTGCTGTATAACTGACATAAAAGTTTATAATCCATCTACCAAACTTTTAATGTAATTATAACATATCAGTTCACTTACTGAAATAAATGGATGTGTATTGCAATTGTATGGATGTGTATTGCAATTATCATTTATTGGTCAGTATTGCAATTATCATTTATTGGCCAAAAGATGAGGCAAATTAGTCCAGAAGTATGTAGTTTTTGCACAGTTTTCAAGTATTAATTTTCTTCAGTAATTTAAAATAAAATCCTAAAATCCTGAGAAGAAACTATATTTTTGAGTATACATAATATGAGTATGTGTGTGTGTATATATATAATTTATATGCATACTGTATATCATATATATGTAGTATGTTATAATAATAAAAATTAATGGAATAAGGCCTGAAAAATTATGCCCTAGGCAGTATCATGCAAAGAAAATTTATATGTAATGATATAGTTCACAGAGATTGCAGAAACTAAACTAGCTAGAACTAGAGTTAATAAAATGGAAAAAAAAGTGTATCAATAACATCTGTACATGAGAAATGAAAATTTTATTTTCACTAGTGAGCCATGCAAAACTTATGAGTACCTAACTTTTAATTTGCGGGGATTTGTGTTATAAAAACATTATTTCAAAAGCAAAATTTTTTTAAATAAAATTCATTTAGTATAAATAACTCAGAAAAGGGCTCATCAGCTGTGAAATGAAATTACAGTGCAAGTATGTTAAATTAAAGTTTATGATTCAAAAATTTAACATGACCTGGAGCTTCATACAGAAGATCAAACTTTCATTTCTTATGCACAGACTTCTTTTATATATGTTGTTGCATTTTCTACAAAGTGTACATTTTTGATTTTTTTAAAAATTCTTCATTTTTGCCAAATCAATTCACACAGTCTGTATATACTGTGCAAGATCATTAAAAATGCAAAAGCAGGTCAAGGAGTCTGAAATAAAGTAAATTTTTCAATGGAATTTGTATGCAGAAATGATACATTGAGATAGTATAGGCTGCTGTTGAGTGGTAGATTAAAGCGTTCTGCTAGTGTAAATCATATCTCATGCAAATTTTGAGTAATGTGCATCACTGTAAGAATATGATATTCATTAACATGTGTTTTATCCATGGGGCTGTGGATGGAAACAAAGCAGCTGCTCAAAGGGGGTATATGAAAAGTGCTCTCTGTACTTCTTTTGAGTAGCTGCCTATTTTCCTTACAGCTCCATATATAAAATGCATGCTGGTGAGCTCCACATTCATTTGGCAATACCAATCTATCTGAATTCACACAGGAAATAATGATTTGCACCATTGATGCTGTTCAGCAATGCACTCTACCATTCCCAAATGCAATTTCTGTGCATACAATCCATTACAAAATCTACTTGCTTCATTCTGAAAATTCTGGATGAACTATTATAATTAAAATGGTTCATCGGCTAATTCTGGATACAGAGAAGAAGGATTTTTGTAGAAGAGAGATTTCAATTGATTTCAATGTTCCTCTTCCCCCTGACAAAGTGGCACTGAAATTGATTGAATTCCTCTCTGTTATGTTCATTTTTCTTTAAATTTCATTAATTTTTTGAATTGGGGTATTGCTTATTTGAAAAGTTTTGGTTATAACATTTTTTAAATTCTTTGTAACATTTAATGGATTATTTGAAATTTATTAATTATGAATTTCAATTTTTGGTCTTTGTGAAAAATTAGTTCTGAATTTCTTACTTTATGTCCTCACTGTAATTTTTCAGCAGCTTAATATGCAAAAATACTAGGCATTGTTTACATTTTGTTTTTTAAAAAATATTTTGTAATTATGATATATATATGTTACATCTATGTCTGTATGTATACAAATTTGTCAATCATACAATAAAATGGAGTTATCAATAGGTTAAATAAAACTTGCTCTTACTTTTTACAAGGGTTTCATGCATCTCAGGTGAAATCATTTTTCCTGATTCTATATGGCTGCTAAGAGAGGAGATGGTTCCATAATGCTTTAGGAAAGAACTCATTACATATGGACACACATTAACAACATCCCATTCCAGATTTGTAAGACCAGATACATCAGCATATGGGATAGTAGTTAAGGAATGTTGAAGAAGATGGCCAAACTTGAATTAAAAAAAAAAAAAAAAAAAAAAAAAAAAAATTAATATATCTCTTGTAATAAGGAATGTTGAAGAAGATGGCCAAACTTGAATTTAAAAAAAAATTAAATATATCTCTTGTAATGGCAAACATATACTCATTGGTATAATCATATAGTTGATTTATATCACTCATTTTTATAAAGTATTCATTTACAAACTTTGATTTGTTTTTTAAACAGGATGAAGAAAACTGAAAAATTCAGTTATGACTGAACTTATGAAGATAGTTCTTTATCTACCTAAATTGCATTTTAATTTTAATTAAAAGAACTCCAAGCAATGGTTCTTAATTTTTTTTAGTTGTGGTCCTCTGAGAGTCCATTTTGTACAGTATAGTGACACAAATTATAGTTTTCAGATTAAATAATTGTGTGATAATCTTCAGGTGTTGATAAAACTGTCATTTTTGTTTAATAAATTATACAAAAAGAAAAGGCAAAAATAAATTTTAAAAACAAGAAAGAAAATTACACGAAACATTAAAAAATTCAAACTCGATACTCAGCATTTATCTAATATGTGTATGGTTTTAAATACACACACAAAAAAAAAATCTGTATTTAGTTTTATAAACACATGAAATTTATCTGAAAAATTAAACTTTTCAATAGGCTACATTCCTGCTCCTTTTCAGACCATCCCACCAACTCTTCAGGACATACACCACTTTCACTTTAGGACATAACCCAAGTTAATTCATTATATGTAATGAATGCAGTTTCTTTTATCCCATGATAACTCAAACTGACTTAACTGTATCAGTCTCATCAAACCTGTTTATGCTTGGGCAAAGATACACAATTTTTGTACATAAGTATACCCGAAAATACTTTTTTTGGGGGGAAGGGGGAGTTCTAGTGTTTGACAGAACATTTTAAACTATAATATCTGCTTTGATATGGCTAGAGAAACAATCATTTTTTCTCACAATCCTGAATTATTTAAAATTTTTGATTGATTTTAGTTAAGTTAATGGCCAATACGTAGCACCACTAAGCTACAAATATTTCTTAGGTTATGAGTATAATCTGATATGTCTTTACACAAATATGATTCCGTAAGTAAACTGTCTGTTCTATATCCTATAATTGTTCTGCCCAACTTAACAAGTTAACTCAGGTTATGGATTTTTTGAACTTCTGTTTAAATATTTTTTGCCAAATTTGGTCCTTATTGACAAAAATATTTTAAAATCATAATTAGGCACATGGGATTCTTTTCAAACTGACCATTAAAAAAAATATATATATATATATAGCAAATTTTTGGAAAAACATTAAAAAATAATTTGGTCCTTAAGCAGTTAAGAATGTTATAGAAGTTACAGAAGATGTCATCTGTTATAGAAGATGACATTCAAATATCTTGTGAACTTCTTTCCTTATTGCAAGCCTCTGAAGAACTCGAGCGTCATTAAATTTTAATTTTGGAAAGATTAATTTCTTCACTTTACAAGAATACTTTCTTCTCACCAGTTTTGATACAGATGATTTTTCATATTATCTTAATTTTCCATTTTATTTTCCTTCCATTTTCTTAATATCTTTGCTTTCCAATAATAATAATAATAATAATAATAATTTTCCTGACTATTCTTAACCACTAAGGGTTCTTACATTCTTCATTTTCATTATTTTCAGTCAGTTAGTTATTATTTCAAATGATTATACAAAAGATTTCTTTTCTTCCCTCGATACTTCTTACATCCCATGTTTTCAGTAGTAGTATATCATTTCTTCATACTCAGATATATTTTCAGAACTTTCCTTCACTTTCAATAAGTTTTCCTTCATTCATAATCTGTCTTTTCAATTAATATTTTATTTATTCGTACCTTGTCTTTGTATTTTTGTGTACCAATCTGGTTCTTAATTTCATTGGTCACTGGTTCATAATTTTTCAAATATTTTAGATTTGCAATGCAGACATATTTCTTACTAAATGAAGAATTCTTAAAATTAATTGTCACTGAATTAAATCCAAAAAATCTTTAAAATGGCAGTTTAACAGAAGATGTAATTAGAGTTTCAAAACGACATTAAGAGGATATACTCTGTAATTTTCTCATTTAGTTTAGAAATCATTTCAGACAACATTATATATTGTCATAAATGTGATATCTTATTTTTCATGTAAAAGAAAATAATTTTATTGCATTTAGATTTTCTAAAAGTTTGACATCTTCATTTTTTTTAAAGCCGATCTGCAACTCAGCAGTAAATGCCACTGAATATTGGTAGTTTGATCTCGGTTTGATTCCAGGTGAAGGTTATATTATATTAGGTTTTTTGAATATGGCAAAGCATACGAAAGCTATTTTCTTAGGAGAAAGGATGCTTTTATGAAGGACTACTTAAGGTTAGGCTATTTGAATATGGCAAAGCTACTGGAGCTATCTGCCTAAGAGGAGGGATGCCCTCATGAAGGGTTTTCTGAGGGAAGCTGGTTCATATCCACATTACACATGTAAAAAACCATGATAAGCAACCATTCAGCCAGTTTGTTTGCCTCGGTTTTTACGCAGGATGAATTACTAGCATTCTTTAACCACTAGGCCACTGGTGGCACTGATTTCAGGTGAAAGCACTGACTTATGTGGTTTTCCCCGTATGTAACATACACTGGTGTGCAAAAATTAAGGACGAAGTCGAAAAATTAGCATATCGGCTGAACGAAGAGGCAGAGCGGACAGAAAGACCAATCAGGAGATTAAGTAAGGTATTGTACGGTAGCACATGCGCAGATATGCAGGTAGACGTAATGGGGCAGTGTTTGAGTAGTATAAAGCATGTTGTCGGTGTAAGATCAGTATTTCTGGCAAAGAGATTGCACGCCGTATAGCAGTTAAAATCACACCGAGTTGCTGCCTCAGCAAGAAATGGTGAATAATCAATCTGTTAGACGACATCTGGATGCTTTTACCCGAGGTCGAATCATTGGGATAAAAGGGAGGAAGGCCGCAGTGTGATAAGTGTGGCTGCAGAGTTCGAAATTGCACACAGCATCGTTTCATGACTTTGGAGACAATTTCAAACTACAGGAACAGCTATCCGGGGGTTTAGTAGTGGTCGTCCACGAGGAACCACACCCGCAGATGACCAGTATATTGCTTTACAGGCCAGAAGAAACAGGCGGCAGACAGCGGGAGAGAAATCGCTAGACACACGACACAGGCGACTGGATGACCGATATCGCGTTTTACCGTGGTCAGAAGACTGCACGGTGGTGGTCTGTTTGCACGACGCCCTGTACGGTGTGTACCTCTAACGCCTGCCCATCGGAGAAGGCGTTCTCTGTGGTGCCGGGAACACCTGAATTGGAGAGACAATGAATGGGGATGAGTACTCTTTACAGATGAGAGCAGATTCAGTCTGAGTAGCGATTCTCATCGCGTACTCATCTGAAGAGAGTGGAGAAGTCGCAATCATCCCTCGAACATCATTGAAATTGACAGGTATGGAGGTGGCGGTGTTCTCGTTTGGGGAGGCATCATGCTTGGTAGTCGTACAGACCTTCACATCTTCGATGCAGGTTCAGTCAACGGGACCCGTTATTGTAACGAGATTCTTCGTCCATATGTACGTCTTTTTAGAGGTGCTATGGGTCCGCAGTTCCTTTTCATGGACGACAATGCACCATGTCATCGCACAGTAGCTTCCGAACAGCTCTTAGAGAGTGAGGATATTGAACGTGTGGATTGGCAGACACGATCTCCGGATCTCAATCTCATTGAACATGTATGGGATTTTCTAGGCAGATGCTTGGCAGCTCGTACCTTACCACCAGTAACGATTCCGGAGCTTCGATTGGCACTGCAAGACGAATGAGCAGCAATGCCTCAACAACTCATTGACACCCTCATTCTCAGCATGGGCAGACGCTGTGAAACCTGCCTAGCAGTCAGGGGAGATCATATCCCCTTTTAAAGACCGGATGTTTCTTGCTGGACACCCATCACAGTGATGTTTCGGCCTTCAGTCGCATCGGCTCAATGCTACTTTTTCAAATAAAGCTTCTTTTTATCCCACTGATTTCTCTTTTAGTAAGTGTTGCTTACATTACTCATGTCCTTATGTATTGGGGATCTTACGGTATTAAATGTGTTGATTTGGAAAGCTTTTGTACAAAGTTATATTGAAAAAACCATCTCGTCCTTAATTTTTCCACACCAGTGTATATATGAGCAGGTTTCCTTTAGGAATCCCTCCATGAAGACATCCCTGTCATTAGGCAGATAAATCTTGCATATTTTGCTATAATCAAAATAAATCAAACCAATCCCTTTTTTCCTTTAAGTTATTATCTTTAATTTATTATCTACAGATATAGCTCACTATATGTAGCTTTATAAGGGGGAAAAAAACCATGGGGAAAAACAAGATAGTTATTATGGTTCATGACATTACCTGAGTTACACCGGGCTTCAATGAAGCAGCCAAAAAAAAAAAATAAATAAATAAATAAATAAAAAACTAGCCAAAAGTAATATAAAACTGTAGTCAAGGTAATAATAGGTAATAAGAGCTAAAGTAAAAATCAAGCAAATACATTTTACGATCTATATATGTTATTGACAGTATGGTACAGTCTGAAACATGGTTGTAACACATAGTGGCACATCACAGTCTGCAACAGCATGATAACATGGTAATCTGCATCGACTAACAAAACAAACTGAATTTAAAGTTTATTTATAATGTAGCCGCGTCGAGGTCTGGAGCTCAGGATCATGGAGGAACCAATCACAAAAGCTGCTTGGACCTTTCCTACAGCTAAGAAAACATGTGCCTGGCAGAGTGGCGATGAAACAAACACAAAAGCCGCTTGGACCCCTCCCACAGCTAAGAAAACATGCGCATGGCAGAGTGTTGATTGCCACGCAATATTATGGCCGATGGCATTAAATATCTGTAAAATTTTCAGCGCCCGAGTTAACTCGTTCATAGGAAAATTGAAACGGCATCTATTCCCAAGATATCTTGGGCGCAGTCATTAAGCAGTTAAGATACCACTTCTGACAGTGATCAGCATAAATACTGATACTAAGCATCAACTCTCCAAACAGACTTAAATCATCTGGAACCATGAGCAGTCATCTTAGATAGGTTTCCTATATATAGCATATAGTTTCTTTGCAAACTCTGCACAAAAAAAAAAAAAAAAAAAAAAAAAAAAAAAAAAAAGTGGGGCGCAAATTTATATCTGCTATTCTACTAGACCAATTGACAAAATTTAATTTGCGTTATTCATGTCTCAAAAGTGTGACTTGATTGCTGCTCCAACTCATTATTGCTGCTCATTGACGACATTATATTTCCACACAGTTTTTTTCATTGTTATTTTTTAATTTTTGATTCCTTTATTACTTCCAAATGTTTAATAAATTCTCTTTGTAATGAAATTAACAAAATTACTTTCAAACTCTGTATAACAAAACTAAAGACCCCTGGCAAAATATAAAAATAAAAAATAAATAGTTTTCTCATACTCTAATAGCACTACATCTCAAATAACTACTAATGTTTTCTGTCAGTTATTGACAAACATTCAATAAGGTCTGAGATACTGTCTGTTCTACTTAAAATTCACAGCTAACATGTCACTAAAATTATAAATTATTAGAATTTAAATTATATTTAATAAACAATTAAAATTCTTCCTAAAGTACTCATGTACTTTATTCATTAATGATATATTTGAACTCTCCTATAGCCATCATCAGACAAAAATAAGGAAACATAACAACTGTAATAAGTGTCTTTGTACAAATGTTATGTTTAATAACTTATCTATAAACTAAGCTGCCAGTATTTTCTGTCAGAATATAAAATACTATCAAAGACAAAATAAAATTTCATCATAATTAGAAAAACTGGTTTCATATTTTAGGAAAATGACACATGCAAAATATAAGATAAGAATAATACATAACAATGACTATATGCAGTTTGAATCTCAATTGCATTTCTGCAATCTGCTTATCGGCAAATCTTGCAAATGGTATTTTATGTTATTTACAAGAAACATCCACTTATAAATCATCTGAAAAAGAATCCAGTTTTTAGTTAAAAAATAAACAAAATATATTACTTTTTGTAATAAGATCTTCAAATCTTCAAATGTTAACAAAGATGGTTGACTGGAAACTGGAGGATGAAAGTTGAAAATCATATATGCTAAAGGTTCAGAGCCTGTCACATCACTGTGATCTAAAAAATATTCCACTATTGAATATGCATTTTGACACATTTCATTTCATTTTAGAGCAAACGAAATGTTGGGGGAAAAACTGAATTCTTATAATTTGCAATGTTTCCTTATAAAAATATTTAATAATAAAAATTTGAGATATAACTAAGAACCACTGAATGAGTGTCAAAATTAAAAATTCAAAAATTATGAGATACTATAATTAAGAGTAATTGACAAGGTTTTTCTTAGACTACAGTCAAATATACCTTTTTTTAAAATTTAAATGAGGTTTAAAAATTATAGATATTTAATCGAATTTTAAGTGAATTTATATAAAAATGAATATATCATTAGAAATATTTTGCATCTAAAATACCTTTGAAAACATATATTAACTTCAGTTTAAAAGATGAGAAAAACAGAATGTGATAAAATGAAAATTTCAGATTTACTTTGACCAACTTCCATCCAAGATCCCAGACTTTTTTCATTGCCTCGGAAATATGGATCCATATAAAAGGAGGCTATTTGTTTTCCTAAAATAATATAATAAAAAATTATATGAAAGTTTATGATTCACAAATGTTTTTATAAACTGCATTTATGCAGTTCATTTCGTGTAAATTAAATACATTAAAATAAATTTAATGTATTTTGGCTAATATTTATTTTATAGATTTTCCAGAAGGCCACACAGAGATACATAGCAGGTAAACAACAAAATGTTTCTATACTTTAAGGAAAGCCTTAATATCAATAAGATAATATTTTAGAATAACAAAAAATGCTCATATAAATTTTTAAAATATAAAACCCAAATTAAAAACAAAAAAATGAAAAGAAAAAGAAAACTATCTAAAGAAAGAACTTTTGCAATGTGTAATTGCTCTTTTTGAATGTATTTTGTTTATTTGTTGCCTTAAAAGCCATACACTAATTGTTTAGTTTGCAATTATTAATCTGTAATCATGACCAACTCAGACACTTGCAGTGACCTGCAGTGCACTTTAAAGGAAAAAATGCAAATATAAGGTAAAACATTCATAAAAAGTTAATTTGCGTGTGTGTTATAAATTTTCTTTCAAAATAAAATAACATTAATATAACTAATAAAATGATAAAAAAGAATACCAGAGGCAGATGGATTTAAATAGAAGTTTTTGTATCTGTACTATCACAGCTGTGAGGACTCCAAATGGAAGCATTAAAGATAATTGCTAGGTGTTTGCAAATAAAGGGTGTCCCACCCGAGATGGGCCAAAGGAAGTGTGATAAAAATCTTATAACAAGAGGAAATGAAGCCAAATTTTTGCATAAAATACCTTTATGCTTGAGACATGGAGGTACACTGCGCATAATAAAGGGGGCAGTTCCATATCTCAATTCAACTTGCGTTTTTCATGTCTCAAAAGTGCAGCTTACGATATATATTGGACTAATATATAGCATTGTTTTAATATAAGTATTTTGACACAAAATCACACTTTTCCGGAAATAACCTGCCAATATTTTTCCATATTTTGATTCTATGACTCAGATTACGCCAAACTGCCAAGTTTTGTAAAAATCACATGAGTAGTTTTTAAAAAATTCGCTTTTAAAATTTTAGCTCCTCAATATTAATTGAGTTTCATATTTATTAATATTTCTTTTTTTATTAAACTTACTTGATTCCTTCTTCCAGAATTCGAAATTTAGGCTTAATCCAAACACAGTTCGTACATTGTTTTTATTTATTTTTAAATTGTTTTCATTTTTTTATACATTTTTGAAAAATGCTTGTTGTAACTATAAAATTTTACATCATCATAAGGTAGACGCATTTCTAGGACACCAGCACAAAAATATTATTATTTTTTTAAAAATTTCTGAGTTTATATACCGGTAGCTGGGGTGATACCCCTCTCCTCCAGCCGGCAGTTAGAAGATCTCTAAAAACTACCAATTCTTCACGTTTCCTTCCCTCCCTCCACTGCTCTTCCCCACCACCAGAACATTAATAAAGATAATAGAAGAACCCCCCCTTTCCTTCCCGGTACAGATTAGATTTAAATACACAACCGTTGCCGTGTGATACAATACAGCGATTTGCTCATAGACTTTTGTCAGTTTCTATAACTTAACACGATTAGTTGCCTAACTCGACTTGTGATTGATTATACAGTCAATTACTCACCTTAGCGTGAAAATCTATCAGCCTCCCTTATCTTCTACATTAACGTGTAAACAGAAATATGACCACTTCGCGCTTTTTTCTATGGTTGATAGCCAGCTCCAGACACACGACACAATTACAGCTCTCCGTATAATCCTCTCTTTCCCTCGCTCGATGGCGCATAGCTAGCTTGATCCTCTGGTGCGCCTTCTTTTCCCTCATTTTTTCCTGTGTGCCTGTCGCACCTCTTACAGATACTCATAATGAATCTTTTATCATATCCTATGCTACATTTTGTTTATTTGACCTCTTCTCCTTCTTTTTTTCCCTTTCACCTATATGATTGACGTGATAATAACACAAATCTTGCAGCTTAACCTGCATTTGTTAAAATTATTGAATTGTTCACCCAGTACTGAGCTTCCAAGAATTTTTTTCTTACTTGTTAACAATGATAAAATGTAAAGGAAGGAAAATAGTTTGCCATCTTAATTAAGATGGTCGGCCAGGAATCTATCTTGGTTGCAACTGAAAAAATATGCCTGCCAAGACAATATTTTTAACTTCAAGATCTGTAATTTGTTGCACTAAATCTTCGTACAAAAATTTATATATTGGTGGGTAGGAAAATCCAACTCTGGAATAAACTTGGCATGTCATTCAGAAACAGTCTGATTTTGTGTCAAAATACTATATTAGATTAAAATGCCCCTTTTACTACCTACTATAAGTCCAGATCTAAGTGTCGGCCTTTGCTTTTGAGATATCGCAAAAACGCTTTTCTTTTAAGTCATTTGAATAAGACACTCGGCCCCTCAGTTAGTTATTACGGCGAGACTCTATAGACATTTGTTTTACCCCACCTGTTTGTGAACACAGTGGTGTAATTTATTTCCACAGACCGGTCCGCCTGGAGTGACTCTACCCACTCGTATACAAAGCCTCTGCCATGGTTCGTGCATGCTCGCTGCCCCCCAATAATTAATCGCATGGGCACCCCACATTACTTGCTGGATGTTCAAAGCAGGCTGTTAGGACAAACCTCATCAATCCGAGCCATCATGATTTCGCTGCTTGTTACATAAGGTGACCGCACCCTGCCAGAATATAACCGCCTAGACGTGGATGATCCAGTTTGGTGATTCGGCACCGTTGTAGACCACTACTACTTTGAAAACTCACTTTTCAGTGTGAAAAGTGTATTTCCTCCGCCCATGGCGTATGTATAGCTGCCCCCCCTATGGCATGTTGCACTATCTTGCCTGGTACCGCCCCCTATCAAGCCCCACTTAGTGTCATTTCACCCCTTCTCCTGCAATCTAACTGCGTTCAAACCATTCCTGAAACCAAATACGGTTACTACGGCTTGCTCGGAAAAATTGCAAGTAAAAAAAAAGTTGGGCCCCGATGATGCACCGCCCCTTTCCGGTTTTCGTGATTTACATTGACACACGCACTCATGAATCTACAAAGTTCCTTTGTATCCAGCTTATTAACCAACCTTCGAATCCTCTCTTCCTACAAGTACAAGCTATGAAACGTACACGAAATCTCGCAAGCTTCCCCCCCCCCTGGGCCAAGAGGATGTGAAGATTTTACGCCTCCCCCTCCCCTCCCCCTCCCCCCCCCCTCCCCCCCCCCCTCCCCCTCCCCTTCCCCTCCTTCCCCCCCCCCCCCTTTTTCTCTCTCCCCCCCTTCTCCCCCCTCCCCCCCCTCCCCTTCCCTCCCCCCCCCTTCCCTCCTTCTTTTTCTTTTCTTTTTTCTCCTTTTCTTCTCCCTTCTTTTCCCCCCTCTTTTTCTCCCCCTCTCCCCGATTCTTGCCGCGTTCTTCAGGACGAAAGATAAAGTAATAATATCGGTTACCCTCTAAAGTGCAATTAAGAAAATAAGGCCTGTTATTAGTAGCATTTCAGTTATTAAATTTCATTATACACAGCTTGATGCATACTACATTGTTATATAGGCATAAATTATTATACATATAAATTTTTGATTATATATTCCTGTACACAGTTCTCGCACGGTTGTCCGATTTTCTGACACCTATGTAAAGATTCGCCTTTTTCGCCTTTTCTCTATTCTGTCACTCATTTAGAGTTGAATCACGTTGCTGTAAATCCTTTTTTATTTCAACAGGTTTTTTTTTTATTTTTCCGTGTTACCTCATTTACACATGTGTCAAAATTCCATACCATTCTGCTAGAAATCGAGGAGTAGCACCTGCCCTCAATATTTGCAGAATTTGACTCCCCTTTTTCCCCTCTCCCTCTTCCCTTCGTTCTTTTCTTCCCTTCCCTTCTCCCTTCCTTTCTCGCTTACGTCCAATATGGCAACGTGATTTTTGTTTTATGTTTTTCACCGTTGCAGCTAAAAATTATGAGTTGCGTTTTCTTATCTGTCATTGTATTAAAAAGGGCTGGAAATTTAAATATTCTTAATTTATCCACAAAATATCAGGATTTAAAAAAAAGGCAGCACTAATAATCTCGTGAATAACATAAATAAGCTCAAAATACAACAACGTGAATCGTGAACTTGAATGAAGAGTTGAGTGATGATCTGCTTTATTACCTCGATGCAGATTAGAGGGGGAAAACTTTTTTTATTTTTTTTTCATGATGTCAATAATTTGGTATTTCCATTACGATTTATTATTTTTCGGTAATAATGACGTCATTATTCGGTAAGTATTTCTTCATCGATATTTCATACTCAATGTTGCGGTTTCCGGAACCTATAAACTGAATGTTTATATTTTGAGAGGCAACGTGGATTTCAGGTCAGCGGATTTTCGGTATTTGACTGTATTTAGATACTTTGTGACAACCACGAAAACATTCCCAGTTGCAGCAAACAGTTGCTGATAATATCTTAAATGAACCACTTATCCAATACTGTTTCACAAGAAACACATGCTCTTCCATAGAATATTGATATCAAACAGCAGTAGAAGAAGCAAGTCACACAAAACACTACGAACAGTAAGCAGCACTATACTGAAACGTGCACAACTCATGGAATCCTATTGTTGCCACATTTCACAAACTTACCCAGCTGCCCCGTTGATGAGTTACGCCTGAACATCTGCCATGAAATCCAGTCAGTGACATCCTATACTCTGGTAACAGCATATGCGAACATGCAATGTCATGTTGAACTGTATATAGAAGTGGGGGAAAGTCCCTTCGAGAATTTCTTATCGCATACTTTCATTTCTCAAACAAAAAGGTATGTCATGAAAAAAATTTGGTTTCATTTCCTCTTGTTATAAGGCTTTTATCACACTTTTTCTGGGACACATTTCGAGTAGGACACCTTGAATATTCATTTTAAGGTCCTCTCTAATTATGCCAAGTTTCAGTGAAATTAATTAGTCCAATGTTGTATGCTCCTCTCACAAAAGGCTTGTTTTATATCTTATGTAGGATGCCCAGAACTTATTGGACACATTTCAAAATTACACTTAAAACAAATATAAGCACTTGTTTTCCTATTTTAAATATTACTAATGCATTGCTGCAAAAATTTGTTTAGTAGAATTGTTTTATCCAGAAACTGATAGATGACTTTATGTGTGATATAAGAACTGAATGAAACAATCATAATTAATAATCATGGAATTCATATACCAGAAGACTATACGTACATTATGACTAGCAGAATTAAAGTCTAAATTAAAGTGAAAAGGCAGTATCATGCAGAATAAGGTTCAATTCCTTTATCACCAAATTCAATTAAGTAGTAGATGAATCAGTTTAAAGGAAGTGGTAGTATGTTACACCATGAAAGAGCCAGTAGGTCTAATATGAACAGCAAAACAACTGATCATGTGCATATTTTCCATCAAATTCCAAGAAAATCCATTTCAAAATTGAAAGTTCACAATATTTTGCACAAGAAGTTACTAGCTGCACATGAAGTTTCATGTCTATAAAATCAAAATATAAACACCATAATGTGCAATATAAATTTGCTGTGGATATGCTGATCAAGTTGTATCTTTAGAGTTGAATTCACATTTCATGTATCAGATACTATGAATCATTACACTACAGATGCATAGGTAACTCTGAAATTTTTGAAACAAGGGCAAACAATATGAACTTGAAGAAAATTATTTGTTAGATTTGTAAATTTGAACTCTTTTATATCTGCATACAGTAAGTTGTGGCAGCAACTGAAATTTATCAATCATAGAATAAATTTTGAAAGAAAGGAAAATGGAGCTGATGCAAGAGCATTTTTGCACTATGATCTTAAAGTGGAGATACATAAAGAAGAATGCCTTCAATTAGCATATGGAAATAAAGCTCTATTTTTTGCCACTCACTGTATTCAAGTGGTTTAAAAAAATTTATAGAGATTGGAATTCTATCCTGGATGAAGAATGCACAGGGAAACATTTGACAGCTGTAGTCTCAGAAAATGTGTCAGTCATTTAAAAAGTGTTAATCAATGACAACAGGCAATACCTATCAAATGATACAGAAGAAACTTAACATACCCCACATCAAAAGTTAAGATTAACATCATCGTCTGTGAAATCGACATATATGGTAACATCTACTTGGAAATGTTAAGAATTTTCCCTGTATTTCAGAATATCGACTGGTGGGAATTTCCGGAACCGACCATTTATGGGAAGAGACCCGTGGTTCTCCCAGACTACTGGCTGGTGGCTGGACTTGTGTCCTGCCAGCTTCGATTTGTTGGGTATATAATCAGACTTCACAGGTCTAGAACCATAGGTCCATCCTATGGTAGGCGCGGGCTTGGCAGGGGCCGTACTGGTACTGTCGTGTCCGTTGCCTTCGCTGTGGGGATGCTCTCATGTAGATTTAAGCGCTGTGCCGGGGGGAAGGGGACGGCTCCCTGCCCAGCCCTCAGTGTGATGGATTGTGGCGATGAACATGAGAAGTCCCTGCGGGCTGTATGGTAGGTTGGCGCCCCACCGGCACAGTCAACTGAGGAAGGCCTCTGTATCATGTTAAGGCACTCTAGAAGCAGCCACATAATGTTGCCCGACTTGGAGTTAATGAATTAAAAAATAAGATAACACCATTTTCAGCAAGATAACACACATTCAGATTGGTGAATATACATACATGATTGTCTAAATTAGTACTTTCCTTACACATGGATCCATCATTGAGAGATAGGAGGCTCATTCTGAAGCTTCTTCACTCCTGCTCTCACTCCTAAGATATAACTCTAATGAATCTTCTCCCTTTGGGATTATTTTAAAGATTATGGTTATCAGAAACTTTGCATTAATTTACATAAACTGAAGCAATGTGTCATGGCTTTCATTCCATAACTCCTCACATGCTTGCCAATCCGGGCATGAAATCAAGTACCACTTAGACATGCTCAGAGTATTAACGAGATTTCACACTGAATTTTATTAACTTCTGTGACTATACTGTAAGTGAGTAAAAATATTTTTTTTTGAATCTAACTCTAGTTTTTTGGTAACATAATTTTGAAATGTGTTCCATAAAAACGGCTTTATCTTCAGATATTTCCTAATGACATGCATATTTTTGCACAGAATCATATCGCTTATTGTACATATTATTTAAAAAAAAAAAAAAAAAAAGAACAAAATAAACAGCTTCTTGGCAGCCACCTCTGAAAGTGACCATAAACATACTGGCATATAACATAATCTCTCTATGATTTCACAAAAAAATAAAATCATACAAAATGCAAGTAATAATTTTAGAAAAGATTCACTGTATAATCATAATGTAATGAAATACAGTAAACCCTCTCATGGTGACCACATCCTTAATATGACCACATATGAAAGTGACTAATATTTCAGAGAACATAAACAGACACTGATAATGAATATCACCTCTCTAAAAACAATTCCATAGAAAATCAAAATTGTCTAGAATAATATAAAAAAAATACCAGTATCTTTCTTTTTCTCAAAAACTAAACCTATAAAAACATATTATAATACATATTTTTACTTCTCAAAATTCTTTCCCCTTTTAATGCACACATAATTGTTTATTTTTAAGCATTTCAAATTAGACACCAGCCCACCAGCAGCCGAGCGGTAAAGTCGCTGAACACTGGTAGTTCGGTCCGAGGTTCGAATCCTGCGAACGGGCTGGCTGCATGGATGTTTTCGTGGTTTTCCCCATGTGTAACGTGTATACGAGCCAGTTTCCCTTAAAAAGTCCTCTACGAAGGCATCCCTCCCCTTAGGCAGATAGCCCTAGTGTGCTTTGCCATAATTAAATACACACACAAATTAGACAAAAAAGGAACCTCAGTTTGGCATAGATTTTTAATAAAACTCTAATGATTTCAAAAGTAATTTTTGAGAAAGTTATTGTGAATTTTTTTTCCTCCTGAAAAAGACAGACCTGTGACTAAGCACTTTCAAAATCTACATCAAAGTAAGTTTTTATTAAAAATCTACATCAAAGTAAGGTTAATTTTTTCTTCCCTTAATTTTTATACTGGAATGTTAATTTTTCATTTTATTTTTAAGTACTTTTAATAAAGGATGATTCTAAACAATTAACATGACTTATGAATGCCAATATTAATTACATTAATGGCTTTAATGAACTGTAGTTATAAGATATGTTCCAAATGATTAAAATATATATGAATAAATTTCTTTAGCTAACTATATATCAATATTGGCAGTATGAAAATTGCAAACTTTGATTCATTTGAAGAAATTGTTTTATTAGTGAAAATGATGAAATAACATATGAAAATCAAATGCATTCAAAGATCAAATATATGACAAATATATTAATGAAAATTCAGAGGAAAGGAAAAGGAAATGAGATAAAATTATAAATACTCTACAATGGATCACTCAAAAGATTTTTATATGCAATATGAATATAATTTGTAATATGATAACTTAGAACTAACTCATTTTCTCAAAATATAACACCTTGTAGAGATCTTAATAATGTCCACCAATACTGGGTAGAACAAATCTCAAGCCTTGTGCATTGTTAATCTACCATACTAATATAAATTTTTGTTGCATGTCATTAAAAAGCCTTTACTTCGGCCATACTCACAATATCTTGCAGCAAAATCAGAGCTGAAATAACCATGGGATCACCAAACTATTTTGAGTGCTTAAATATTTATTTTGCTCAATCTCTGCAGGAACTAATATGTTCCAATGAAATGTTCTAGAAATGAAGAAAAACTGAATATATAACAGTAAAGCTTCTTTAGAGAAAACAGAAACCAAGTTGTTCATTTCTGGATAAGTAATGACTCTTTCCTTTTCAAATAAACAGATTAAGTAAATTATAAAATATATAATGATATATAAAAAATTTCAGAAAGTGTCATATTGAGATATTCTATATTTTTTAGTTTAAGATAAGTAAATTCAAAACATAATTTAATTCTGTAACCAAAATTAATTTATGAAAATTTCTTAGATAAGTAAGGGAAATTACCATTTCCATCTAATATTTTATAATAAGTAACATCTGGATGCCAAGTATCCACATTAGAACTAGCTTCCTGAAAATGTATTAAATAATGATTATACAAGCAACAAAAGAAAAGTAATATTGCATTTGTTTCTAAATTTTACAATCCATGTATGAAGTTAACACGATTTATTCAGGAACAGAAATTTTGTCTCATCACATTTAAATAAATAAAATTTTATGAAAAATGATTTTGTGTATGTTAAAAAAGATACTAAAGTAACAAGAATTAGTGTAAGCTGCATAAAGTTATGCACAATTCTAAGTGTAAGGTGCATAGTTCTTGTTGCTTTGATATCTTCAACATTTGTTCTTCAGCATATTATTGTAGCAAATATTGCTTTCAGATCTATTACGCGTATATGCACACACACAGATACATATATCCATAATAAATATCAAATGAAAGTTTTATATTTAAATATCTTATATTTTTTCCTTTCAAGTACTAAAATATAAACAAAAATTTCAACTTGAAAATAAATAAATTCCATGATTTTTTTAAAAATTATTATTCAGTCCTGCAGTTAAAAAACACATAAAATTACCAATTATTAGATAATTACTTACATTATTTGACAAATACTAACAGAAGTAATAGCAAACACGTAAAAAACATACTTATAAATAATGCACAGTTTGCATCTCATAGTACAAATTAAAGTCTTGAACACAAATTCTTTTGAAATAAACACTATGAAAAAAACAAAAATTCAGAACTTCAGCATAATACATAGCATTTCATATTACATATAACTTTGTTTGAAGAAAGTTAGGAAAATTAAACTGCCATATTTCTTTTCTGTTGAACATCATAACCTAAAACTAAAGCCTATATTTTTAACATGTTCTATAAATTATTTTGATATACCAGTATTGCATATTATTTAAATAAATAAAAATCAATTATCTACCTGTATAGTTATCCCAAATAGTTTATGACAAAGATTGAATATGCCCTTTAAAACACAAGGAAGAGGGAAATATTGTCGAACAACAGCATCGTCAAGGCTACAAAGCAACAAACATATAATCAAGAAATTATTTAAAAGCAGATATTCATGACATACTGAAAAAATTCAGACAAAATTAATTTTAAAAACAACATTAAAATTAGTGGTACTACTCGGTTTTGAGGGCCGTAAAAAATCGCAAAATTATTGTTGATGCCAGTGCCGCCAAAAATAATTGCAGCAACCCTAACGCAAGAAAGGAAGTATAATAGTAAATAACCATCAAGATTGATGTTTTAATTTAGATGAAAGGTTAATTTCATATAATACATTTTTATTATTATAATTTATATAAAAATGGCTAAGCATGACTGAATGGAAGCATAAGATTAAATAACTATTTCAGATCATTATTATAATTTATATAAAAATTGCTAAACATTACTGAATGGATGTCTGCATCGCTATTTCGTTACTGAGTTATCGCTAAAGCATAATTTCATCTCGTTGGCTGTTCAAACATAATTTTCTATAATGAATGATGCCTTTTCTTTGAAAAAATTTTCGGTAAAGTGCATAATCGCCCACTTATTTGTTTGGCGCTTTTACAGGGGTAAAAACAATTAGATTTTTGTCAATTTTCATTTACTTTTTAAGTGAAAATAGGTCGATGTGTACGTAGATAAAGTCAAGGGTGTGCGCAGTCCCATTTTTGTGCAAATCTGGGATTTTTCTTAAAAGTGAAAATAGGCTGATGTGTACATGGATACCGAGTATGTGCAATTCTTAAAAACGCGTCAAGCAGTGGGTGATTCTGCACTTTACCCAAAATTCTATTGCAAACTATTCGTCATGGGCAATTCCCAAACTGTTAAATCCATAGGATATCAAAAAAGGATGTAAAATCAAAAGAGGATTTAAAAATTAAACTAGTATTTCAATGGCGTCTTAAGAAATGTAGAACTATATAAACTTATGCAATCTGAAATCAGCGCGTATGCTAGATTTGGCACGCTATTAAATGGGCACTTTTGCGCATACATTTTCGCTGCAATTTTTTTACAGTCCTCAAAATGGAATAGTACCAAATTAGCTTATGTTTCAACATAAAAGTATTAATTTATAATCTAGTTCTTCAAATTATATTAAATGATCCCCTATACAAAATAAATTATGAATGATACTTCTATCTGATTATAAACATTGGTACTTATGACCTAGTAATACAACCCCAGTAAAATATGGCAATTTTTCACAGAAGTTAAAAGCTACTTTTTGGATGCAAGTTGATGATTTTCATGACATTTTTTTAAACATTTTAAAACTATCAATATTTATTGTCAGTCAGCAAACCTTATCAACATATCAAAAGAAACCACATTAAGTAATTTAAAGTATTAATTTTGATTTGTAAATAAGGATTACAAGATACATTAAAAAATAAATTACTTCCGTTTTTCTAAAATTCTGTATTTTTTCCTAGTGTTCTTTCCATGTACACAAGGATCTGTTTTCCCTCAAAAACACCAGAGAATTGCATAAACTTGAAATATAACACAATTCAGCTTTGCACACCAGCTCTCTACCAAATGCATCTCATTAATATTTTTTTTAGCAATTTTGCAGCAAATTCTTCCATTGCCGGAAAATTCCACAAGTGCATGTTTTAAAACTCAATTTAAGGGGAAGAAAATTGCATTTTGTCAATAAAAACCATTGAAACTTGGAATAGGACAATAAAATACACATACGACATTTCAATTTTTTATTTATCTGAATTGCGTTAGCAATTTTGCTTGATTGAAGGATTGTTATAAGCATGGCTGCCTGAAGAATGGTTATGTACACTGCTCAAAAAAAAAAAAAAAAAAAAAAAAAAAGGACAGTCCTATATCTCCCGATCTACTGGCCGATTGACAAATTCAAACTTGCGTTTTCTTCATGTCTCGAAAGCGCGACTTAGGATATATATTAGATTTATATATAGCACTATTCTAACATAGGTATTTTGACACAAAATCGGACTTTTTCTGAAATAACATACCAATTTTTTTTACATATTTTCGATTCTACGACTGAAATTACGCCTAAATATGAAATTTTGTAAAATTTGGAGCGAAATTTACGGAGAAATTCACAAATTTATGTTGGCACTTTTTTGTCAGTTTGCGCCAAGAATAGTTCACTTGGCGAACTTCTTAATATATGGCAACCTAGTTTCCTTTCCCATGAGAGGGAAAAAAGTCACCATCGTTCCTTTTTTCCAAATAATATTCTTTTATTGTATTTTTTTAATTATAACTTATTATTTTAAGTAATTTTTTCTTTTTCGAATTTCATTTTAATTGTTTAAGTTGCATGGTTTTTTCGAATAACTGTTTTAAAAATTTCTATTTACCAATTCAAACTGCGTAATAAAGGTGCAGCAGCATTTTTATTTTTTTTTCAAATAGTTTTCTTTATATATATTTTTCTGTCATAGTTATTATTTTAGGTAATTTAAAATTCTTATACTTTTATTTTAATTGTTTGTGTTGCATTGTCTCTTCAGAAAATTGTTTTAAAATTTTCTATTTATTCCTTCGAACTGAGCATTTTAAATAAATTTTCCAGAATTTGATTTTATTTATTTGAATTGCGTTTCTTTCGGAGGAATACTTTGTAACCCAGATTACGATGCGTTTAAAAACTGCATATATTAAAAGTGCAAATACAGTAAAGCATAGTTAACACGCCTTTCAATGTTCTGTTCAGAAAAGATATATATAAATAAGAGAGATGTATAACCGACATTTTAACTTAGGATGACTTGCATACACTGCTTTAAACAGTTTTTATCATTGTGCCCATTGCTTTACACAATTTTTATCCTACATTTGGTTTCTTAATGTTATTCATATTTTAGTCAAATATTTTATTTTTGAAATCGTAAGAATCAAATATCATAAGATTAAAAAGTTTTAAATTTAAAAAAAAACACAAATACTAAATTTTACTCAAAAAATTTATTTTTTCTTCTCTTTTTCTTCAGGCATTCTACTTTATTCTTGCCCTTTTCCTTTAGGTATTTCGCAAGTATATTAAAAAGTATCCAACTTTTCGAAATATCTTGATATTTCTGACAACCATTTTAAATAAAGTTATCGCCTTCCATTTCATAAAGGCCCACAAACGGCCGAGCGGTAAAGTCGCTGAACACTGGTAGTTCACTCCAGGGTTCGAATCCCGGTAAACGGGCTGGTTGCATGGGTGTTTTCGTGGATTTTCTCATGTATACTGTGTATGCCAGCTGGTTTTCCTTTGAAAGTTCTTCACAAAGGCATCCTTCCTTTTAGGCAGATAACCCTGCTTTGACGTAATCCAATTCAATCCATTTCATCAATATTTGGTCAAAAGCCTTTATCAGTCTTTAGAGGCTAAACATTTTGAAGGTATGAGATGAAAGAAAAGACTGGTTTCATCAAGAGGTTTTGGTTTATTTAATTATGACAAAGCACACTAGGGCTATCTGCCTGAGGGATGCCTTCGTGGAGGACTTTCTAAGGAAAACTAGCTCGTATACACATTACACATGGGGAAAACCACGAAAACGCCCATGCAGCCAGCCTGTTCGCGGGATTTGAACCTCGGACCGAACTACCAGAGTTCAGCGACTTTACCGCTCGGCCGCTGTTTCATCAGAAGGGGAAAAAAAATGCCTTTAGGTGACATTCACATACAATACTGGATAAACTCCTGAATCTTCAAATAATTCGACTGAGAAAATTATGGATTCTCCATTTATGATACGATATGATGTTCTATAATGTAATTTAAATTTATACAACCATATAGTCTAAAAACAGTCGCTCTTCACTTTAATCTGCAATGATATAGTTTTTGTCTTTTCTGATTACACAAGCTCAATTGATGGTATTTGCTGGTGTACACGCCCAAGTGTTTTCTCTTTGAACGCCTAAATTCTTTGAAGTAACCTGAAAGTATATTCAAAAGCGTCCAACTTTTTGAAACATCTTGGTATGTCTAAGAGCAAAATTTTCCCTGCAAATTTTTGCTTGCTTTTTTTCCCCTAATTTTCTTCTTTCCTTCTACAGTTATTTTAAGTGCTCTCGCACAAAAAAATTAAGATTTTTCGATTGCTAGATTTTCATAAATTTTGCATTCTTGTCAATTTTTTAAAATATCAATTGCATCAACTGTGTTTCAGCTGAAGACAGCTTTTCATTTTCTAGACATTTTAACTATAAACAAAGTATAGAGTCCAAAGGATAAATATTTTAATTAAAAGATTTTTGCTAAATGACAAAGAAATAAAACAGTCCAGCAGTGTTTATTCTTCTTCACGACCGAGACCCGAATTCTTATATCGGCTGAAACAATCTAAATCATATTAAAGATCATGTTTTTTTATACAATCTATAACGTGAGGGAAAAATTAGCTTCTTAAACATTTTTTCTAAGAAGATTAATATAAAAGATTATATTTATATATATTTTTAAAGCTGGGACTTGAAACCAAACTGTCAAACTTTTAAAGTTTAATTTACATGGTAGTTATAATTAAAGTTCCAATTTGAAATGGTCATAAAAGGAAAACTACCGGACCAAATGTTATCAAACTTGGGAATCGTGTAAAGGAGGTTATGATAATTTATTTTCCGCGGAAAAAAAAAAAAAAAAAGAAAAAGAAAAGAGTTCAAAAAGTCACGACCAGGGGAAAAATGGCGCTGTATACAATATTGTTAAATGAAATAAGACACGAAAACATCTGTTTAAAATGCGTTTAATATTTTCCGAAACATGTTACAAAGCAGGTTCAATGTAGCGTCCAGCATTTTCCAAAAGTAAGTTAAATCCTGTTACTGCATTCTCGACAGCAGCTCTTAGCATATCAGGAGGAATGTTATGGACATGTCAGTGTATCATATTTTTCATTTCTGCCAAATTGTGTAGATTATCACCATAAACAGTGCTTTTGAGATAACCCCATAGCCAAAAGTCACAGAGGTTGAGGTCTGGTGGGAAGAGGGGAAGTGTTGGCCTATAAGACTTTCATTCGTGAAATGTTGCCTAAGTAACTGTGCGACACACGTGAGGTGGGGCCCAGCGCTGCATAAAAATCGTAGTATCTAAAAGGCCACATTACTGCAGTTCATGTATCACGAAACATTTTAACATTGACTCTAAGTGAGCTGCAATCACAGTATTCCAGCTGTAGACTGCTCTTCAGAGAAAAATGGTTCAGTTATAATACTAGCTGTCATTCAACACTAAACGGTGTGGAATGACTGCTATGCAATCGAATGCAGTAGGAGAACGCAATGGAACTAGATAGATAACATGAGAGATTTCTTTGGCCCAAATCGATTAAAAGCGTTTTGAATCAGTATCTTCATGTTTTAGTGCCGAATTCAGACTTCAAAAATTACTAATTAGCGATCTGTAAGAAAACGATTTCCAAATTGTACGCACTTGTGCGAGTGATTTGCGATCTCACATTTTCTAATCGCTAATTCGTGGTTTTCACGGACGAATTTCTCACTTACACGGATGGCGCACTCGACTTTTATCGAATTTAACGCCTTTAAATGGTAATTTGCCTACTTCAAAGTTTCTTAAGGGTATACAACATATTAAACCCGTGTAACAAAAGGTTAAGTTAGATTCTGACCCATATTTCGTTTAACAATATTGCATACAGCGCCATTTTTCCCTGGTGGTGAGGTTTCCAACTTTCTTTTTTTCACGGAAAATAAATTCCCACGACATCCTTTACACGGTTACAAAGTTTGATAACATTTGATCCAGTAGTTTTCCTTTTATGACCTTTTCAAAGTGAAATTTTAATTATAACCACCCTGTATATTATTAAATTTTAATTTGAAGCTATGCGTTATATGTATACCATGCGTAAGATTTTCGCTTTTATAAAAAAATAAAGAATCGAAGCAAATATACTTAGGATATTACACCAAAACTAAAAAAATTCCCCTCCCTCCGAAAATAAAATATTGAAACTTCGACCATGAATTTATTGAATTATCGAAATATTCAATTTGACTTATCTTCTAAGTCCTAGTTCCGACAACAATTTCGTCAAAAATTCTGAATTACTGAAGCTGAAGTAAAAGGTTTAGTATATATTCACTCTATGTTAATGAACTGTATGTTAATCTTCAAATGCTAGGCAACTGGTGAGGCTCCAATTAAATCTCCAATTTAATATTTTATTTGTAAATATTTAAAATATTGTTGTATTCTTAGACACAAAAAGCAGAATTTAAGTTTTGCTAACTTGTTAGTAAACTACCAAGAGTGTAACAAAAAATAGATTATAGAATTTACGCTGATGCAACTATTTGTTTGAATGCACAACATGTAATGGAAGAGAAGGCTTGTAGAGATCTGTTTTTGACATGCCTCTAAAAGTAGATGTCATACTCCTTTTGTCTCTTCAATGTCAAAAAACTTTCCTTTGAGAGGCCTTTAGTTTTGGGGAGGAAAAAAATCATAAGAAGACAAATTTGAAGAACATGCAGGACAATTGAGTACACATACTTGTTTTCGGAGCATAAGCGGTTCTCCGATTGGTTATTGAATAATGAAAAGATGCATTGTCATGCAATACAAAACATTTGGAATACGTTTTCTGACCGAAAGATTAAAAGTCATCTGCTTAATTCACAGCCATTTACAAGTTAACTACTCGGGCAATTGCAGAATCGTTTTGATCCTAAGCTTGTAAGACAAATGTAATATCACTGGATTTAAACACTTCTTTAATCTTCCGAGAACATTCCTTCTTTAGCTCATATTCCAAGAATATTAAGTGACAATTATTACAAAAGAAATTGAATATTCATTTGCACTACCGCTTGGTAGTTTACTAACAAGTTAGCAAAACTTAAATTTTGCTTTTTGTGTCTAAGAATACAACAATATTTTAAATATTTACAAATAAAATATTAAATTGGAGATTTAATTGGAGCCTCACCAGTTGCCTAGCATTTGAAGATTGTTAAATAGTAATTGTTTGTTGCGAAGTCTAACCCAGGCTGCATGGTTGGTTTTCGTAGTTTTCTAGGTTCTCTTTACAAAGGTTCTCTATGAAAGCATCTTGATCAAATAGCTCTCATGTTCTTTCTATGTTCAAATCAACCAACTAACCTAGTTTAAGCGCGATTTCCAAGGGAAGTTACTAGCAAAACCCGAATACTCATTAAAAATCATGTAGCTTGCCAATCGGGAGTAATATGAAAGATACGGCGCCAATAATTGAATTGCTGCTACGGTACGCTGTTTCTAAACTTAGATGGTCATTCCTTTATTAAATAGCCCACCAGCGGCCGAGCGGTAAAGTCGCTGATCATTGGTAGTTCGGTCCGAGGTTCGAATCTCGCGAAAGGGCTGGCCGCATTGGCGTTTTCGTGGTTTTCCCCATGTATTACGTGTATACAAGCCAGTTTACCTTAGAAAGTCCTCCACGAAGGCATCCCTCCCTTTAGGCAGATAGCCCTCGTGTGCTTTGCCATAATTAAATAATCCAATCCAATCCTTAATTAAATATAATTCATTTCTACTGGAACTGACGGTAAGAATTGAAGTGCAAATAAATAATATCATGTGGAATCTTGATTAATATAAAATTTAAAATATTTGCATAGAAAAAATATTTGCATTCAGACAGAAAGTTTTTTGAAATATTTGCAATTACTTTATAAGAAGGATTTATTAATAACCGTAATAATTACTTATTATATTCCTGATGATTAGAATTCAGTTCTTGACAATTACATTCTAAATTAGAATTTTAAGGATATAATGAAAATACGCTACGCACAAAAATACATTTTAGGATAAAAATGAGTTGGTTTTTTATGTTTTAAAATTTCTTAAATTCATTTAATAAACATCGTATCCTCGTTGTTAATTGAATCCTGAATGTTGGGTGGCGTTTATAGAATTATTCTTACTTGTCCACAGAATCTGCTGACTTATCCAGCCATTAAGTAGCTGCAGATCATTTCTACATAACCATTGAACTTCCATTAATTCAGTCTCTAGAGGGCTGTATGTTTATATCATAATTTGACTTTTATTAAAATGATTATTCTAAATATTATGTTTCTATAAAAATATACTCTGCTTTAAAAATGTGGATGATAGTATCAGCCGCTCTTTCAGCCACTTCAAAAGCAACAGTTTGTTTAGAAATAAATTATGCAGTTAATGTCATAAAATTCAAATAAATATCAAACGAAAATTCTCAGTTTTAGACAATTCGATTTAAACAAAGGTAAAGTAAAGTAGCAGACGATAAAACGCCAAAGGTAAAAATTTACTCTTATTTCTTTTTAAAAAAAGGAAGAAAGAGAGAAATTTAAAAAAATAGTTAAAAATTTGAATAATATTATCTATAATTTAAAAAAAAATAGCTTTCCATATAGTATTAATAAATATTTATTTTTGCATCATTCAGGGAAAAAATGTCATATAATTAATTCTCCGTAAAATCTTACTTGGAATTTAAGGTTAAATATAGCTGTGGCAATTCACTGTAACAAAAATCCATAGACCACATTTGGCGTTATTATCGCTCAAAAAAAAAAAGATGCCAAATTTCAAAACTCGAAAATATGTAAATTCGTGTATATCTTAGAAAATTTTGAATAAAAAAGTCTAATTTTTTGCAGATATGTTTAAAAATACACCTACTTTAACATGATGGTAAAAATTTTATAGGTTATAATTCAAAATTTTTTTCGAAAAAATTTATAAAATTATTTACAAATAGAAATTTAAAAAATAAAACACAAAAAAATGGATAAATTTTTATTTGCAATGAACCTAAATTTCGAAATGTGAGAGAAAAAATCAAAAACGTTTAATAAAAAAGAGATATTAATAAATATTTGCCAAATTCAATTAACATTGAGGAGCTAAAATTTTGAGAGCTAATATTTTAAAAACTACTCGTACGATTTTTACAAAACTTGGTATTCTGGCATAATTTGAGTCGTAGAATCAAAATATGGAAAAAAATTGGTATGTTATTTCAGAAAAAGTCCGATTTTGTGTCACAATACCTATGTTACAATAGTGCTATATATAAATCTAATATATATCCTAAGTCGCGCTTTTGAGACATGAAAAACGCAATTTGAATTTTGTCAATCCGCCCAGTAGAACGGGAGATATAGCACTGTCCCATTTTTTTTATTTTTTTTTTTTTAGCAGTGTACATGGTTGCCAGTATTTGGCACATTCTGAAAATTTGGCGACTTCTACTAAAGTCATTATAATAATACATAACTACACAGATACGCTGTATGATTCTGAGGCAATATGATAATTATGAAACATAGTAGCAAAGCTTTAAAATGAATAAACAAATCAGAAACTGAACAAAATATTAAAAGCTTACTTGAATAGCTCTTCCTTGTGTAACCTTTGCCAATAAGGGATGTCCCACAATTCAAGTTTTTCCTCAAACCCATTTTGTTTTGCAAAATCTTGTAATTCCTGAATTTCTTTTAAAGTTGTTGCTTGACTTTTAACATGAAGCCTAAATTTTTCAAAAAATAGCAAAATTCAGATTTTCTTCTGAGTTTCTCAATATTAGTACAAATTATGCATGCAAGATTTAAAAAAAAATATGTAAATCAACTTTATAATTTAATTTAGTAATAGCCTCTTTGTTCCTCATTTTTAATTTGGGTATTTCTTGTTTTCTAAAAATAGTAATAACTTTTCTAACTGTGTCATTTCTAGATCACTCTATGTCACATGGCTTGTGTAATGCTGATGATGTAGCTAATTTGAAACCCTAACTCAAAATTTTGAGAATGGAAACTTTTTCTTTTAATAAGCAACTCTTTATACTACCACTAATTCACACTTACTACTGTGTTCTGTAAAAATAATTTGCTATCTTAAAATCATCCTTACAAGCTGAAACTTAAAATAAATATTAAAACTATATATTATGCCATATAAAAATATTTTACAAGTGACTTAAAAAGATAAAGAAATTCAAGCTGATTCAGAAGTCAAACAACAAAAATCAGCGTTAATTCACAAAATTTTCACAGGACTAGTTTCGATGGTTTTACCGAACCATCATCTTCAGCTGCAAAACCGCAAATGAACAAGATAGGAAATAATGTTTAGATAAGATAAGAAAGCCTGGACAAGAATAAGCAAGTGGCGCCATCTGTTGGCGAAACCAGAACTAAAACATAATTTCTCTAAAAGCCGAAGGCAAATTTGGATTGGAATTAGGATCGTTAACTAGAACAGAAAGATTTTTATGAATGTGAAATGCCTCTAGAAAATCCAGTTCTCCAATGGAAGATGTTTTTTGAATAATTTTGGCAGCAGAAAAATTGAAAGTGTGATTTTCGGACCAACAATGTTGAGCAACAGAAGACTTCTGTGTTTCCTTTTTTCTAACATATGCCTCATGTTCTTTGACGCGAAATTTTAAGGCTCTCTTAGTTGGCCAATGTAAATTAAACCACACTGGCAAGGAATCCTATAAATACCCCAGGAATTCATATCCGGAATGGGGTCCTTGAGTATAGAAGTTGGAATTTTATTGATGGGAGAGTAAACAACCCGAAAGTTAAATTTCTGCAAAATATGTGCAACTTTATAGCTAATTGATGGAAAGAAGGGAATGACAACAGAATTTTTATAATCTCCTAAAATAAGAGTGTGGCTTTTAGTGTGTTGAGATGAGAATTTTTTAACTGCTTGATCAATAATGTTGGGCGAAAAGCCCCTGTCAATAGCTATTGCTTTTAAATAATTTAGTTCTTCATCAAGGGCTAGTTTGGAGGAGCAAACTTGAAGAGCACGGAAAACATAGGAATAAAATGAAGCTAACTTTTGTTTAGTCGGATGACATGATTTAAAGTGTGGTGGAAGGCAAACCGATGAAGGTTTACGGTAAACTGTAGTACTGAAGTTGGATGTGTTACGTGTGACCAGAATGTCGAGAAACGGAAGAGAATTGCAAGTCTCAAGTTCAAAAGTGAACTGAATAGCAGGATCAATAGAATTCATTGTTGAAAGAACTCTGTTTAAATCATCTTTATTACCTTCAAACAGGGTAAAAGTATCGTCTACGTAGCGGAACCATGCCGGGAAGTTTAAAGTTTCAAACAATTTTGATTCATAATAATGCATGTAGATATCAGCCAGGATGGGACTGAGGGGGCTTCCCATGGCTAATCCCTCAGTTTGCTTGTAATATTTATTTTGGAAAACAAAATGTGTTTGTTTCAAACAGAGTTGAGTGAGAGAAATTAGCTCATCAATTTCGATGCAAGAGAAATGAAATTCGCGAAGTCTGGTTTCTAGACATCTTAATGCACCCTCCACTGGGACATTGGTGAATAATGATTTTACATCAAAAGAAACCATGAGTAAATTACGAGGAGAAATGTTTTTAACCTTTTTTACAAACTCTATTGAATTTTTTATGGTGTAAATGTTATTGTCTAATAGAGTGGAAAATCTAGAAACTAAATATTTAGCTAATGGATACGAGGCAGTACCTAAATTTGATACAATAGGGCGGAAAGGAATACCACTTTTATGAATTTTGGGAAGAGCATATAATCTGGCACAATTCGCAACAGATGGGATAAGCGAATGTTTTAAGTTGCTTGAAATGATTTGCGAAGATTTGATCGCAGTTTTTATTTTGGATAAGTCCGATTTGGAAAACTGCGATCAAATCTTCGCAAATCATTTCAAGCAACTTAAAACATTCGCTTATCCCATCTGTTGCGAATTGTGCCAGATTATATGCTCTTCCCAAAATTCATAAAAGTGGTATTCCTTTCCGCCCTATTGTATCAAATTTAGGTACTGCCTCGTATCCATTAGCTAAATATTTAGTTTCTAGATTTTCCACTCTATTAGACAATAACATTTACACCATAAAAAATTCAATAGAGTTTGTAAAAAAGGTTAAAAACATTTCTCCTCGTAATTTACTCATGGTTTCTTTTGATGTAAAATTATTATTCACCAATGTCCCAGTAGAGGGTGCATTAAGATGTCTAGAAACCAGACTTCGCGAATTTCATTTCTCTTGCATCGAAATTGATGAGCTAATTTCTCTCACTCGACTCTGTTTGAAACAAACACATTTTGTTTTCCAAATAAATATTACAAGCAAACTGAGGGATTAGCCATGGGAAGCCCCCTCAGTCCCATCCTGGCTGATATCTACATGCATTATTATGAATCAAAATTGTTTTGAAACTTTAAACTTCCCGGCATGGTTCCGCTACGTAGACGATACTTTTACCCTGTTTGAAGGTAATAAAGATGATTTAAACAGAGTTCTTTCAACAATGAATTCTATTGATCCTGCTATTCAGTTCACTTTTGAACTTGAGACTTGCAATTCTCTTCCGTTTCTCGACATTCTGGTCACACGTAACACATCCAACTTCAGTACTACAGTTTACCGTAAACCTTCATCGGTTTGCCTTCCACCACACTTTAAATCATGTCATCCGACTAAACAAAAGTTAGCTTCATTTTATTCCTATGTTTTCCGTGCTCTTCAAGTTTGCTCCTCCAAACTAGCCCTTGATGAAGAACTAAATTATTTAAAAGCAATAGCTATTGACAGGGGCTTTTCGCCCAACATTATTGATCAAGCAGTTAAAAAATTCTCATCTCAACACACTAAAAGCCACACTCTTATTTTAGGAGATTATAAAAATTCTGTTGTCATTCCCTCTTTCCATCAATTAGCTATAAAGTTGCACATATTTTTGCAGAAATTTAACTTTCGGGTTGTTTACTCTCCCATCAATAAAATTCCAACTTCTATACTCAAGGACCCCATTCCGGATATGAATTCCTGGGGTATTTATAGGATTCCTTGCCAGTGTGGTTTAATTTACATTGGCCAAACTAAGAGAGCCTTAAAATTTCGCGTCAAAGAACATGAGGCATATGTTAGAAAAAAGGAAACACAGAAGTCTTCTGTTGCTCAACATTGTTGGTCCGAAAATCACACTTTCAATTTTTCTGCTGCCAAAATTATTCAAAAAACATCTTCCATTGGAGAACTGGATTTTCTAGAGGCATTTCACATTCATAAAAATCTTTCTGTTCTAGTTAACGATCCTAATTCCAATCCAAATTTGCCTTCGGCTTTTAGAGAAATTATGTTTTAGTTCTGGTTTCGCCAACAGATGGCGCCACTTGCTTATTCTTGTCCAGGCTTTCTTATCTTATCTAAACATTATTTCCTATCTTGTTCATTTGCGGTTTTGCAGCTGAAGATGATGGTTCGGTAAAACCATCGAAACTAGTCCTGTGAAAATTTTGTGAATTAACGCTGATTTTTGTTGTTTGACTTCTGAATCAGTATTTATTCGGCGTGTTATTGTGTCTTAAATTCAAGCTATTAACAGAGCAGATGAAAAAACACAAAGAGGGATACCTGTAATATTAGACAACCCAAAACACAATAAAGAATTCATGATGCATGCATTCACACAATCTTAATAAAAATAAGTTTTATTTTGGCTTCCCCACTCACTAACATAAGTCATCAGCATCTGAATCATATTAGAATTTTTGTTTCTGGCATAGGAACTCAGGCAAGAAAATTGACAACATCAGTTCTGTTTAATCTAGTTTAAGAAAGGTATTTTTCCATCTTTAAAATCTTAAAAAAAAAAAAAAAAAAAAAAAAAAGCACAGACTATCACAAAAATTACGTAAAATACATTATTTTGCATGATTGCAAAATTACATTCATTATTATATACATTATTTGCTACACATTATTTTTTTCTTTATTCACATGAATCTATCTTCTGAGACGCTTTAAGGTGCTGATATTTCAAAATAGCTTCTATATAAGCTATTAGATTCTTTTAAAGATTTCTCACTTGAGGAGATTGTCATTAAATCTTAAATATGGTTGGCAGTCAAAAAAGATTTTCATCTTTTAATGAAAAACTAAAAAATCATGCTTTGATCTATCATCTTGATATTAAACAATTTGACACCTGATAAATTTATTGAAAACAGATGGCATTTTCCAGCACTTATTTGAATTTTAGGCTATTTATAGCACACTTGACTAAATTTAAATAAAACCAGATAAGATCCTTATTTTCTGGAAGAGAAAAACTAACATTTGATTCCATATGATTATGACATGCAAAACATATTTTTCTGGAATAAATAAACAAACAAACAGAAAGAACTAGAGACAAATTTAATAAAGGGCTTGTATAAGCCCCTACAACTTACCACTAAGTACTGCGGGTGACATACTGGCAGGAGTAGCTTCAAACATGTAAATTAAACTTTTTGTCTATCATGGCTTTTTATTTTACCATAATTCACATGATATTAGATAGTCTTAGTTTTCTTTCATAAGTAATCTATAAAAACAATAAGCAACACTAGCCTAAAATCATGTTTTGGGGTGCAAATATTACACTGCAATATATTGTGAAATATTTTAGGAATCACAGAAAACTGGCAAAAATATGCTGTAAAGTAGACTGCAGAAATCAGTAAAATATCAGACATTTTCCATCTGAATCAGACAATGTTTAATTAATTATGTGGTTATTTAAGTTTCTGCTTTGTATCTCGTACATAATTTTTTAAAATGTAAATTTCAATCTTCAACAGAAAAATATTCATGAAAATTCAAAATTTGCACTGCAATCTAACTGTATTTTCCCTTTCTTTCCTGCAATAAAATTACTTACCTACTTATCATTGAACAATTTTAAATATCTAAATGAATTTAAACTTGCATAATATTTTATAAACATAGAATTGGAAAAAAAAAAGTAATAATATGCCTTACGTAGTTATCATTTCCAAGACATTTTCAACACTGCCAGCCATTTTTGTTTTCATTGAAAGATCTGCATAAGATTTAAAGCCTAGAACTTTAGCAAGTTCACTCCTAATAAGAAAATTATTTCACACAGACTTCAACAATTTTTGCATTGATTAAAACCTTGTAAATTAATATTTCATACATACATTAATTATATACTTATTCAACAACAAAAATAAAGAACATATTTTATTAGAAAACATTCAAAATCAAAATCATATACTATAAGAAAACCTGCCTTAAGTGCAGATTTGACAAAATATATTGGATGGTTCTCTTCTAACAGACAAAAATGAGTTTTGTATCATGCAAAAAAAAGGCTTCAGTATCTCATTAATATACTATGCTTTTGAAAATAATTTTAATATTTTTAACCATTAATTAAAATTTCATTATTTATAGGAATTACTCTCCTATCTTCAGTAACTTACAAAAAATTCTCATCTGATTATTTTAGAAGTCAAACAACAAAAATCAGCATTATATTTGCAAATTTTCCAGGACTAGTTTCAATGATTTAACTACTGATCCATTTGCGTCAGCTGCCAAAATGCAAATGGACTGTCCCATTTGCATTTTGGCAGCTGAAGAAGAGAGTTCAGTAGTGAAACCATCAAAAATAGTCCTGAAAAATTTACAAATATAATGCTGATTTTTGTTGTTTGACTGGAATGCCTTCCAAGTCTTAAGATGAGGGGTATAATATTGGTCAAATAATTTCCAGAAATATTATAAATGAACTTTTGCATAAAGATATTATCTCACAAACAAACTTTTACATTTTCCTATTAAAATTCTGTGAACATATTCACTTAAACATTTCTTCTTATTTATATTAAATTTGTTTAATTCCATTAATGTTTTGAAAGATATTTTTCCTCATTTTTCAGTGTTATCAAAATAGTGGCACCTACTTGAAAATACACTAGTTATCATAAATTAAGGAAAAATCACAAAAATGACGTTTACTGAAAAAGTTACATGCAGAATTTAATGAAACTTACCCACAATATACAACACATAGTAAGGTATCAAATAACATAAAAAGAAATTACCAGACAAATATGATAGTACAGAAATTAGCACATGTATAAAATGAACAAATCGAAGGTGTCAGTTTGCTATAGGAAAAGTACCTTCAATATGGAATACGATCGCCTCTAGAAGCAATACAGTACATGCTGCGATGCTTTCAATTACGCGGCCTATCAGTTCCATAGGAAATGAGAGCTACTGCTCTTTCAAAGCAGTTGCAAGCGCTACAAGGGTTTGAGGGGGCAGATTGAGAGCAGCTAGACGTCTCCTTAAAGCATCCCTAACGTGCTCAATAGGATTCAAGTCCAGGGATCAAGCTGGCCACTCCATGCGCATAATTGTTTCCTGTTGAAGATAATCATCTACGATGCAAGCCCTGTGTGGTCTTGTGTTGTCGTCCTGTAACAGGAAAGCATCACCTATTGCCCAGCATATGGGCGCACATAAACATCAAGGATGTCATCTCTATAAATCTGAGCATTCACAGTTTCCCTTGGAAAGACATGGAGGTCTGTGCGTCCACCCAAAGAGATGCCCCCCAAACACAGACACTGCCCCTTCCGTATGCATCTCTTTCACGGATGTTTGACGGATGATAACGGGTTCTACGTTCTCTCCATATCAAATAACACCTACTATCGCTTTCTAGACTAAACCTGGACTCATCCGTAAAGATAACCACCCTCCATTGATCAGGCATCCAGTGGACATGTTGTCGTGCCCACTGAAAACGGTCCCGCCAATGGCGTGACTTGAGAGGCACACAAATGGCTGGTTGCCTCGCATACATACACCTTAGTGAAGCCTTCTACGCACAGTTGACGTTGACATGAACCTTCCAGTGGCTGCAGCAAGGGAGGATCAAAGAAGAGTCGGAGTAGCGGTTCTATTCCTGCATGCACATAATGTCAAATATCGGTCATTGGTGCTCATTGTAGCAGTTGGCCGTCCTTGGCTGAACCTCCTAGATGCCAAATTTGTTGTTTGAAATTGCCTCCAAAGTCTATGAACCACAGAAGGACTCACGTTTAGCCATCTGGCCACTTCTGTTTGACTTTGTCCTGCCTCTTCTAGTCTCCCAATGGCTCTCCATCGTAGTTCTGCAGGCAAATGATGCCTGGAGGTCATTGTTACGAATTGGCTATCTCAGATTTCTGATGTCACTGTCACAGTTAACTATGTGGGCTTGCTCTCAAACATGGACTTTTATACTCCTCGCAGATGACGTATTCCGAAAGCAGTGCCACTAATTTGCATATCGCCGTTTTACTCAGCTACTCTTCTTTGGCAGCATATTCAAATTTTACCCGGTTTGGCTTATTTTTGAGGGAGTTATCGCTATTTTTGTGATTTTTCCTTAATTTATGATAACCAGTGTACACAATTTAAAAATAAATTGAAAAGTGTACATGAACTGCCGAAATTTTCATGATAATAATTCATAATAATTTCTCCACTCAAAAAAGTTATTATTATTTAAAATTTGACATATCTGGGTACCTTTGTTTTTTTACAATGCGAGAAACAGATACATTCATGCAGATTCTTCATTATTTTATTTCTTTAAATATATGCGAAAACGAAATTAATAGCCCTTCTGAGCTAATGCTCCTTTGGGCTAAAAACTTTTAGGCAAGCTCGCAAAAACTCTAATTGGAAGAGAAACACAAAAAAATTTAAATTAGGCAGGAAAGAAAAAAAAAAAAAAAAAAAGACAGCAGCTTTACACTGGCAAAGATTCTTGAATAAAACCTTGTCAGTTTAAAGAGCATTTAAGCATAGGTCCCTCTTTTTGAGGAACAAAAAATTTTTTGCATAAAAATCATTTATAAAATTGGCCATTAATTTAATAATTTAAAGACTCAGAAAATCATATCAACACATTCACAAGCATGATTTACAACTAGAAAAAAAAATTCTAGTATTTTTTTACTAGTTACCATATATTTAAAATTTTACTACTTAACTTATAATTCTATGTTCTCCAATTTTTTTTAATTACACTTAAAATTCTAATTTGCTATTACAGATACTCAATTTTTAATAACACTGAAAGCTATTGTCATACCCATATTTCTTATAAATACTATATTTCTATTTATTTGCTTTCAAGTCTTGAATCTGTATACATACCTTGTTTTTACTATAACAACTTTGCAGTATCAATTATTTTAATTTAAACTTCTTTAATCAGACAGATACTGTCTACATATAATTAAAATATTGATATTTGCATATTAATGCTATTTCTCCCGCCTTTTTAGCGTGCCTTCGTGGTGTAGTGGTTCTGCATGCTGGGCTGGTATTCGAGAGGTCTGCAGTTCAATTTCCAGAGAAGGCGGTTGCTAATTTTTCATCTTGCCTGCATCCAAAAATACCTCATGTCTCTAGTGGCACCTGAACTAAAAGGGTGTTGGATGATGATTCTCCTTACTCAGGATTTGGCGTGGGTCCCCTAAGAATCCCAGGTATATATAAATAAGGCATTTAAAATAAATATATAAGGCATTTCTCCTGCCTTCTTAACGTGCCTTCGTGATGTAGTGGTTTTACACGCTGCGCTGGTATTCCAGAGGTCTGCAGTTTGATTTCCGGCGAAGGCGTTGCTAATTTTTCATCTTGCCTGCTTCCAAAAATACCTAATGTCTCTACAATGTAACTACTTTGGCCTATTTTGGTGACTTTTTTCAGCTGAAAAGTTACTTATCCAGTGTTCGCATCTTTTTTTAAAAAACAATTTCCACTCTATAGGCAAATATTCTCAGTGTATCAAAAGAAAACATATTTTAGCCATTCAAAATAAAAATTTTAATGATTAATTAAAAATTATGTGATGCATTAAAAAATAAAGTAATTTTTTACAAAATCCTTCTGAAATTTGTTTTGGCATTGTTCTTTTTTCCATGTATAACACAATCTTTTATTGCTTCAAAACATATCAGAGAATTGCATAAACTTGGCACGATGCACAGTCTCAGCATTGCATATCGGATAACTAAACACTTCTCATCAGTGCTCTTTACTATAAAATACTGCATCAACCCAGAAATTTTATCTCAGTTTCTTCCACCGCTGACAAATTACATAAGCACATGTTTTAAAATAGAGTTCACGGAAAACAATGCCAAAATTTGTTTATAAAAACCATTGGAACTCGAATACAACAAACAACAACACAAAAAAAAAAAAAAAAAAAAAAAAAAAAAAAAAAAAAAAAAAAAAATTGCAATCAAAAATGGCAACATTGCATGACTGAAGGAATGTTATGAACATAGCTGCCTGAAAAATGGTTATGCCCATAGTTTCCAGCATTTGAAACATTCTGAAAACCAAACATTCCATTTGGCGACTCAAATACTAAAGTCTACTAATGACATATAAGTAGCAGAACATTTAATAACATAAAACTAATAACAAATTAGCTAATTGGGAGAAAAGAATTGCACTGATGAGTGAAAAACATTACCGCATTTAATTCAAATTTCCAAAACAAAATCTTGATACACTTTTATATGAGAATCTGATGCTTGTACATAGACCAATTAATAAACTTACTTTTATATATAAAAAATTAATAATTAAACTAATATTTATAACATACTAATATACATGTTATACTAATACATATGATAAATCAATAAGCTGATTGTCCTGAGAAAATGAGGAAACACCATTAATTTATATTTACCAGAACCAATGAAATAAAAAAAAAAAAAAAAAAAAAAAAAAGTATTTTGAATACATCATACAGCTAATAATAATTGTAAATTTAATTTTAAATGATGAAAATAAAATTTTTAAAAAGCGGTATACCTTTGATATCTTAGTTCTTCAATTTCTATACTGTTATTTAAACTTTGACCAGATGTTGATGAAGCTCTAACATTATATGCATACCAGGCATTCCATCTTAATAATCTAACATTACAATATTCTAAAAAATATTGATAAATATGAGGTTCTAGAATCAAACGCCATGGACCATTTGAAATTCTAGCCCTGTAATTAGAAGAAAACTAATAATTAAGTTTTAATGATAATACACAAAAAAATAATAATTAACAAGTTATAATTTTTCTTTTCTTTTCTTTTTTTTTTTTTTTTTTTTTGTTTCTTAAGCATTTGCAGCATCTGTTCTTTCACACACCATAATTTTTAATTATCACAATACACACTTAAATAATGGGAAAAGTGATTAAAGGATTAACTATAAAATGAAAAACTTAACACCACAATTCCATACTTAAATGTATCAAAAGCTGAAATCTTACTGAAAGAAAGTTCTCAATAAAACATCAAAAATTTGAAATTTTCTTATCACCAGTTTTACAAAATCGTAGGCATCATTTATGATGCTTTTCATAAATTTCACAAGTATATATATCTAAAGGGAAAAATTTATCACTACATTTTAAAATTTGGTTTTCATAAGTATCATAAAACCACATATTATTTTTTCACGTCAAGAAAGTATGAAACATACAGGTGTAATTCTGTACATGAAAAAATTTAAAGAAAGAAACAAACAAGGACAGAAAATTTTATCTACAGGCAACTTCTGGATTTATGAATCTATGAATCACACACAGATATAAAATATAATAAATAATTTGGATCTTTTCAAATAAAGGAATTTTCACAAGAATTCATCATTTGAAAGCAACAACAAAAGAAAGATGGTTGCAACAACCTTGTTTTATCTAAGGCCCGCAGCACCTGTTAGCTAGAGGATGAGAAAGAAATTACATCTGACTAATGTGTGAAAATTTTTCTTCTACAGATATTTCAAATCTGATAAAAAGCAGTAAAACATGACCATTAAAAATAAAAAAAAATTAGAGTGTTTTTGGATTATGATAACATTTCAGACATACAGCTTAAAAAAATGCATATGAGAGAGAGTTCCATCATCTCCACATTCATTTAATTTTGGAAACTGCACAGCCCTTATCCAAAGACACTGTACACACAGACGATGATCCATACTTTTCAAAACTCATTTGTAATGTTTGGAAGTAACAAGTGCATATATTTATTTATATATATTATATATATATAGAGAGAGAGAGAGAGAGAGAGATGCCTTGTAAATTTTTTATGGAATAAAAAAATAATAAATATAACATTTTTGTATATAAGAAATTTGGTACTTAAGTATTACTTCACAGACTATGAAGTTGACACCAAGCAGTGCACTTTAGTAGTATCAGTTAGGGGTAAGCATGAGATAACAGCAATACACTTTTGTTTGATGTAACCTGGCCGATTCTCGATAAGCCACCTTTTGTTTTTATGAACAAGAACATTTTGATCTCCATATTTTTTCCTAGCATTTTGATGGAAATGATTAAAATTTGTGACCTGCCTTTAACAGAACAGCAAGCAGTGGATTTTTTTCAAAGGTATGAGATACCACAATAAAAAAAGTGTATATAACACGATATAATCATATAGTAACATGATATATACATGATATAATCAGCTGCATATGGTCAACAAAAAAGTAACAGATTGGAACAATTACCTGCGGAAAGTTTGAACTCATAGCATTCTATACAGAGCTTGTTGCAAAATCAGAGGCTAATAAAATAGTAGAAAATGATGAAAGCCTTTTTACGAAGATAAAAAAGGAAGCAGGTTGAACATTGATTGTTTATTAAATTAAGAAACACCAGTTCCTTCAGAATTCCACAGGAAGAGCTTTGGTGGTATGTTCACCAACTTTATAGAGGCTGTTCACACATTTTTTAGACGATGTATGTTGTATTCACAAAACTAAATTACATAAAATTCTTGTGTCTTAAATGTTCTGTTTGACATCCCTTATTCTGAACTATATTTTGACACCGCAATTTCCAGGATAATAATGCCTTTTGAAGTGGCAGAAGAGGTATTCTATCCCATTTCTCCCAAACAGCTTTCTATAGTCCTGTTAGGGTTTTGGGACAACGTTTGGATAATGCAGTTTTTAAAAGTCCAACGCACAAAAATCCATAGGTGACACATCGGGAGATTTAGTAGGGATATCAGTGAAGGGTATGGCCTTGATACCAATTTTTTGTTCCATTTCTTTTAGGAAACTTACAGTGGATTTTGATGTGTGACTGCTAGCTTTGTCCTGATGGAGTCTCACAGATTGATGGCACTGTGGGTAAAGTGATGGTATTTCATTCAGAAAAATTGGTGATAAAATACGTTCCTGATAGTATTTGGAGTTAATCTTGACATTTTTTTTGCACTCTCTTTATTAACATTTTTTTGCACTCTCTTTTAACATTAAACATCGTACCTTTGCAACAGTCGAAGATGTCCGTTTTTTCCTTAGATACTCGTTTGGAATTTTTGTCCCACTTGAGGCTCCAATTTGACATTTTTTCCCTTTCTTGTTGATGATATTACCTATAGACACTTTAGATATCACAAAACCATGACTCTCACATCGTTTTGGATAACGGAGTATGCATATTTCTCTTTGGAAAGAGCGTAAATGTAGCCTTCGAACCACTGCTTTGTTAAATTCTCCATTTTGAATAAAAACAAGACTTTCAAGCCACAGACGATAATATTGACTTTTAAAAACATAGTACAATTGCAATTACTTCTTTTGCAGCAAACGATTTTTTATTACCGCTTACCAAAATCGTCTAAAAAATGTGCGAACAGCCTCTGTATTGGTTCAATGACAGCCAACTTCACAGTTGATGGGATTATGTGTAAGTACCAGAAATTTTAATAATATCAAAAGGGAATTTATAAGCAAAACTACAGTAACTTCAAGACTTTATTTAAAAAACAATTTTATATCCCCACATAGAAATTAATTAATGAAAGTACAACTTACGAGTCTACAGCAAACAACTTTAAAATCTCTCTTGGGAAATGTTTTACGTGGTCAAATTCTAAATCATGATAAAATGAAGATGTTGAATTCTTTAACTTCATCCTGGAAAAGAGGATAAAAAGATGAATAAAATCTTAAGAAAACTATCCAATAAATCATAATAATAGCAAAAAAATTAAGATTAAATACACTTCAAAAATATTTAACAAACTTCCCAAATGATAATGATGAATTTAATAAGTTAAAATTTACCATTCATCAAACATATTTATATTTATGAACAAACAAAAAAATTGTAAAATTTATATATTTATTTTCCTAGAATAATTAAGAATCTAAGAACTTAGCACATGTATATGAGCTCAGTCCCTTTATACAGGGGCCACATATTAATCATTTTGCCCAAGAATTAAATGCCGATTTTCCAATGTAATACGTTATATGTATGAATATGATATATGTCCAATGCAATATATCATAGAAAGGTTTCAAAAAACATTAAATTGTAATTTTTTAACATATTTTAACGTAACATATTAAAATTATTTTACTTTTGAGACTCACTTTGTACATCTGATTTAAATAGGAGTAGGAAAAATTATTCTGCAAACAAAGATTTCTAAAGAAATTTTGCTCAAAATAAAAATTAACACTGATTTAAGTATTTAATACAATATTAATTAATCATGAAAATACAATTTTTGGCATTAAATTTTCTGAAATAGGGAAAATAGCATTCGTTAAATGTGCTACTTGAAAAATTGCTTTGAGTTCTTTGCTAAATCCAGTTACCTTAATGTAAGTGATTTCCAAAGTATGGATCAGACTGTACTTTTAGGAAGTCAAAGTTTTGAAACATTTTGTGTGTGTGTGTGTGTATTGTATAATTATACAGGATGAATCTCAAAAAGTGGGCAAAACTTTATATAACGCAGCTCTACAAGCAATATTCCTCATAGAATGTATGGTTGTAATACAAGCAGAAATTGAAAGGTAGTTTTTCACTGTCACACTTAAAGAATTAACACAAAAATGAAAACATTTTATTAACAGGAATGTAAATTATGCACATATTAAAACATTTTATTAACAGGAATGTAACTGATATACATGCTCAAAGAAATTGCTCAAAAGACTGCTGTAGTGTAAGCTTCACATCTGCATGATACGGTGTGATGCACATTTGTGCAAACACCAAGAATTTCCCGACTACCGTTGGCAACAATGGCAAACCTTACAACTAAATTCCTATTCATTTCAATGGGGCGTTCATAGATCAGGCTTTCCATATGGCCTCACAGGAAAAAATCCAAAAATGAGTTATTCAGTAACATTGGTGGCAAAGCTACGAGACCACCTTAAAAACCAAGCACAGCCATCGTACCGGCAATCCACAGTAGAAAATGGCATTGGGTGTGAGGTTTGAGCCTTTTTATACCATTTATAATGCCACCTAGCAGCTCACTGTTTGCATTCCACCCAGACTTTCTATGACAAATACTGCTTGTACATCTGCATTCCATCACCCCATAAAGTTCTGGCCACTTTTTCAGATTCACCCCATATATCATAATCTCTGATTAATTTATAATTATCATAATCTCTGATTAATTATTAATTGTTTATATTTTCAAAGATTATCTGCTATTACAATGTTAAGTCTCAGATTCTCTAACGATATGAATACATAAATGCGTGAAGCTTGCTATGCTATGAAGTATGAATTGCATGGGAATGAGAGAATGTGAGAATTAAAAGTAGAGAATCAATCCAACTTTAAAGTTCTGTATGCATTTTGAGACTTGACAATAAGATTAAATGAAATAAATAATAAATAAAGAATAAACAAAGAGGAATCCATTATTTATTTTACAACCTAACTCTAACTTTGCACATTGTAGAGCAGTTAATAAAACAATCCAATTCATAAAATTAATCAAAAACTTCAATGTTTCATGCAAAAGCATTGCTACACATTTTTAAATACTATTGCACATATAATACACATATACTTTAAGTTAAATGTAAACTTGGCAGCAGAAAACTTGCTTTTCTTTAAATAAAGCATAATAATTAATTGAAATACAATGAGTGCTAAACAACCAACACTCACTATCTTTCATAGATAGGGGTAAAATTTGTCCATGCTTTCACGCTGTGGAAGACAAGGAGGGAAAAGAAATCCCTTTTAACCTTGATCAGCTGATTGCATCTATGGCACCTAAATTCACTTCTAAGATTTTCTTTCAGGAACCTCTTTTCCCCCTTTTTAGACTACGCAAGTAACTCATGATAAATCACAACTATTTGCAAGAAGGTCTCTAGTGTAAAAAGTTCCCAAAACAACAGCTTTTATAAATAATTATCTTCACATATATAATTTACTCTACAGTTATTTTAACATTTTGCTAAATATTTTTTTCTTTTAATTTATGAAGCATTTATGTGTATGATCACTGCCATTACTTATAATTTATTCTGTGTTGGTCAAGTTTCTTCATGACACTTTGGAAATGCTTGTAAGCATTGTCTGTCAAATCCATGCCAGAAAGGTGAGATTCCAGTAGATGTTTATCAGTTATTCTTCGCACTGGTTCTGTTAATTGTTTTTCATTTTCTTTCAGTTCCTATAAATATTACATGCATATAATATTTAAAATCATTAGAAAATAATACATATACAGCTGAATGCATAAATAAATTAAATAAAAGTTAAAACTAAACTTAGTGGCGCAACAGCCCTAGTGGGCCAAGGCAAGCAGTGTTCTGAAATCTGCTTTCTTGACTGTGGGTACTAGGGTGCGTAAGCATATGCCCTGAACATGTGGTCAGCTTGTTGCAGAACCCTCAATGTTTAGTCCCCAAGAGAACTTGGTACTCATTTTATCGATCGAAGGAATGGAAATCAAGGGATGGAAGGCCGAGTCAACCTTGCCCAGCCTGGGGATTGAACCCCAGAATTGTGGTGTACAAATTAAAAAAAAAAAAAAAATAAATAAAAATAAAAATAAATAGAGATCATTTTCAACCAGCTACAAACTTCAAGAAAAATACCAGATTTCAAATCAAAAAGGACAAATAGGGTTGCCAGTCTGGCTCATTGGTGAAACAGATTCAAGTATTTCTGCGCAATATGATGGCAAAGAAGAAAACTTCTAAATGGTGATTTTAATTTTTTTTTAAAGAGAAAAGGGAGAGAAAAAATAAGTTAGTTTAACGTCATGGGCTTATATGATGACTAAAAACAAAGTAAGCCCTTCGTTAATAAAAGTAAAGTAAAGAAAAATTGTAGTAAAAAAAATAAAATTATACATACAAAATGAAATATTATAAAACTTGCAAAATAACCTTCTTTATCCTTCTCTATTTGAGCTTTCAGATAAAAAATACATAATTAAAAAAAAATTTATAGTATGTTGACTGACTATTCCAACTTCTTTTAAAAGATTGTTAATGAAGTTAATTTAAAAATTTTAGTAAGTAACAACAATTTTATTTTAATTCCGATTTCAGTTACAAGTGTCTAAGTAAAACTTCAATTGCTTTATTGGACTTCAAATTTTTACTTTGAAAATTTTACTTTTGAAAAGTACTGAAAAAACTGCCATGGGGAAGATTTCAAACATTTTCAGTTGAACTGTTATAATTAAATACTTTAGAATGGTTCATCAGCTAATTATGTATAATGAAACACAGTGGTTGTCAATTGGAAGGGGGATGCAATTGAGTCTGATCAATCTTCTTCTTGATAATGTTATACCAGAGTTGATTGAATACCTTTTTTTTTTTTTTTTTTTTTTGGTTCAGTCTGTTTTTAATATTTTTATGGTTTTGGTAATTTTTTTTTTTTTTTTTTATTTTTTAGTATTTCACATTTCTTTAATTCTTATTTTACATATTTATAGGGTATTTTGAAATTTAGTGGTATTGAATTTCTCTTTTTTGGGGGCCTTTGTGAAACTGGTTCTAAGTTTCTTACTTCTAAGTCAATACTGATTAATTTTCAGCAGCATATTGCGCAGAAATACTTGAAATAATTTTGTTTTTAAATAAAAAAAATTTGTGATATTTTTTGGTGTATGTATGTATATATATATATACACATACACTATTATATATATATAGACGAAACATCTTCGTATTTACGTATTTTCATCAATCATTGTTCATTGAACAGGAGTTGGTTTGTTCCCCTTGAAAAGTCAACTAATTTCCGATCAATGACAATGATTACATGTTTTTAATTTTTCTTTTTACAATTGAAATTTTATTCTTTATGATGATTTAACTCCAGTCCCCATTGAAACACTAATTAACATTTTGCTTTCAAATTACTTCAAAACATCTTTCAAAATATAACTTACCAGTATGGATTCACTCTTTTAAAATAATTCTACTTTAATTAAACTTAGGAGATAATATAATCAATTAATCAATATTGTTTAGGAAATAAATTATATATATATATATGTTGTATGATCTTAAATTCACTTAGTGTGAAATCGAGTTATTCTACTACTTGCACAATTGCTGCAAAGTATGTTAATAATAATTTATTTACTAAAGAAATATTGATTATATTATCTCCTAAGATTAATTTTAGTAGAATTATCTTAAAAGAGTGAATCCATAGTTAGTAAGTTCAATTTCTAAAATTGTTTTAAAATAACTTGAATGTAAATTGTTAAAAATGTTTACGGGGACTTAAATTAAATCAAGAATAACAAAATTTCAATTGTAAAAAGAAATAAATTAAAAGCAAGTAATTAAATTAAATGCAAGTAATCATTGCCATTGATCGGAAATTAGTAGACTTTTCAAAGGGAACAAACCAACTCCCTTTCAATGAACAATAATTAAGAAATAAATATGAAGGTGTTTCGTCCTTTACTCGAGTAATAAGGCGATGCCAAACCAGCAATTCAAGCTATGCCAAGTATTTCCGTGAATAGAAGGGATCAAGAACATATGCAGAGAAACAAAGAATTCATTCCAATTAAGCATTTTAGCTAATTCAATTTTGAGTGAAAAGCAGTTTCTGCTGTAAAATTGATATTGCTCGAGTAATTGTCCCCCGATACCCTCGTGTTTATGTTCATTGAACGGGAGTTGGTTTGTTCCCCTTGAAAAGTCAACTAATTTTCGATTAATGACAATGATTACTTGCATTTAATTTATTTTTTTCCACAATTGAAATTTTGTTATTCATGATTTAATTCAAGTCCCTGTTAAACATTTTTAACAATTTACATTCAAGTTACTTTAAAACAATTTTAGAAATTGAACTTACTAACTATGGATTCACTCTTTTAAGATAATTCTACTAAAATTAATCTTAGGAGATAATATTATCAATATTTCTTTAGTAAATAAATTATTATATATATATATACATATATATTCATATACAAAAAGAAAGAAATGTAGAATCAAATCCACAGACATGAAAGAAATTAAATTAATAACAATAAATCTGATATATTTCTATAACTGATTAATTTTCAGCAGCATTTGCACGGAAATGGTATTGGGATAATTTGTTTTGAACCTCAAAATTTGCAATACTGTTATACAGTCAAAAGTCGTTAATCCAGACTCATCGGGACTTCAGCGATTCCGGATTACAGATCATCAGTTTAAACCTGGTAAGATGACATGCAGAAATTATAAAATTAAAATATGAAACCATAATTTATGAAATAAAGAACAATTATGATCTAAAGGGTATAAAATTTACAAAAAACACAAGCTTAATATTTATTTGTTTACTTTATTAAACATTTCTTTCAATGTAATAAGTTGCTTCATTTTTTATGAGATAATACATTCTCTTTAATTCTATTTAACAGACATAATTTCTTGTTCAGTTACAAAGTTCTGCTGTTCAAGTTTTATAATTGCTGTGTCGAGAATACCGACTAATTTGTCAATCAAAATTTTTTCGTTTTCAATAACCTCTGTCACTTTCTTCGCTATCGAAAGCGAATTATAATGACAAGGAATTTGGTTTAAATCATATCAAAGACGGAGTACATCGAGATGAAATACTACATTTAGTAAGGAATTATAAGCCAAATAAAATAAAAACATCTGCCCGGAAGATAAGGATAGTGCTGACAGATCAATTTCCAATTCATTGCGCGCCGCAACGTTAAAGATAAACAAACGTTAAAGTTTAGATAAACAAAGGATATGCCTTTATCCATTTTTTGCAGCAATTCCACTTTTTTGTTTAATGGACTTCGAAACATACTTTCGCTTTGTAGATCCTTTACATATTAGTAAATATATATCAGAAATTCTATTTGACATAATCAAAAGTTCAAGCTTACTTTTATAAAATTGCTCTAAAAGTCTGCAAAAAATAATAAGCCGAATCCAATTCGAAGATTAAAGAACAACGCAATCTGCAACATTAACTGAATTAGATAATTTTAGCTTAGCTTATACCGTCCGTTATACATTAAACGCGCATTCGTAAATGTATTTTGCGCACGCGCACACGCATATTCGCAGCCGTAAAGGTATTGCGTGAATGCGTCAACGCGACGCATGCGCAGAAAGTTTGTAGCTTTGAGATCTGGATTATAGATCATTCCAGATTATGGGTGTCCGATATAATGACTTTCGACTGCATATATATATGTGTGTGTGCGTGAGATAATTTCACACAATCGTGTGGTTGAGTTGTAGGACGAGAGGAAGAAGTTGATATGAAACTAAGATCAGCTAATTATGATTTTTATTCCCAGATTTCCAGGCACACTTGAATAATTCCTCATGGACAACATACTCTTTAATCATACATTTACAATAATTTCTTATTGGTTTTCTAAAAAGAATGACGCAGGCATTTTAAAGAAGTGAAGCGAGGAGATATTAGAAATGTAGAAACTAGCAGAAGAATGATGCAGGATTAAGACATAGTTAGCTTACCAGAGGTATTTATACCAGATTAGATGCAATTCTAGAAACAAGCTAAGATTAGTTAATATTAGTTTTAGTTGCCCTTTTCCAGTAGCGTTACATAAAGTAGAAAAATCTCAAATTTGGGAGAACAGATGAATTTAGGAAGAGAGCACCAAATCTAGAATAATTAATTCTGAGGTCGCCAATTATTTTTTAAAGCAGCTATCATATTTTATTATATCTTACATATACATATTTGTAATATGATGAAAAGAAATGTAGAGAAGTACTAACGTAGGAACACTGAGATGCAGAAAAGATGAAATGGTTTTTTGGCATAGAATGTAGATTCATACTGAAGAGGAAGAATTTTGATTGTGTAGAATGCTAATCCATGATAAATAGGAAATTTGACAGTCAAGGCAGACTTAATTCCATTTTCATTTAAATTCACATTCATGGCCACAGTTCACTTGCCATTCTAATTGTGCCTATTTCCAGAATATTTACATTTTTTAATACTACTGCAATAGGAAGAGAGCAGAGCGAAATGACATCCAAGCAGCAACACATATGCAAGCAAAGTGTGCATTAATCCAATATGGAAGATCACCAAGAGGAAAGTTTTGGTTTAGGTTCCGAATCAACTATGTCATTAAGCATTATGCAAGCTCTGGCACAGATTCATCTAGAAATGACGCAGTCCAGAAATTTGATTATTATTTTTAAAATAGAGAGACGAAATATCCAGATTAAAAATGAGGAATTAAAAGCTTACTGCTAAATTGAATTATAAAGTTGATTTACATAATTTTTATCATACATATTCTTGGATACACAAATACTTCCTCTTCAGTGTGGGTCTACATTCTATGCTAAACAACATTTCTATGTTTCTGCATCTCAGTGTTCCTACATCAGTACTTCTCTAAATTTGTTTTTAGCATATATATATATATATATATATATATATGTATGTATAATGTTTAATGTGCATACTGCCGAAGCTTTGCACAATACTGAATTGGTGCAGTTCTCTGATGTTAAGTGAAAATAGATTACTGTGTACATGGAAACAACAGCAATGTATAATATAATTCTCATTTCCCAATTCAAATTTGTATTTTAAACCATTTTTTAATTTTTTTCTTTTAATATGCTGATAATGTTTGTTGATAAATATTTATGTGGTGGCAAATGCAGGATGAGGAAAAAAGGTACTCTGTTCTTCTCATGTACACAATAATCCATTTTTACCAGAAGTTTGGCATTATGCACAAATCTGGCATTGAATGCATTAAACATTATATATTATATTACATGCTTGCGAGTTTTTTTAAGGTTGTCACAGTGTTTTCTAATTTTTGACAAGTTAATTTTAAATGCAGCCAAGTTTCGTCAAGGTACTTTGCTGTGGCCATTTTAACAACAAGGAAGTACCTTAATTTTTATGTTAGATTTAAGAAATTATATGTTTTTACAAGAAAGAGCACAGCATAAGTACTTTTTCTATAACAAGCATAAAAACAAAACATTTTGTCTATAAATAACAAAACAGAACACAACTGAAAATTATAATACAAATGTCACAGACGACCCATACCTTGAAAGCTCCATAAATTGAAGCACTTAAGTACTTTTCTCGTTTTGCTTTCAGAAGCCTTGGATGGAGCTAAAAAGTAATGAATAAACCATACCTAAATTATGCATCTAATTAAAATGTTTCATTAGAGATAATGTTACTTAGTCAATTAACTAATAATAAAATTTTAAAAAAATCAAGGAATTTTGCTAATAAAATCTTAAGATATATTAATAATGTATTATCTACATTTGAAACTTTTAAATATTAAATTATAATGAAAAAGAACAATATAAATGATTGAACTCATCATCTCATATGAAATCCAAAAGTGTTAAGCGGTATAATTACCCCAATATTTCATACAGTTATTGCTTTTTTATTTTAGTCCCATTTTCAAAGTGTCGTAATATACAAATAAACCATTCCGTCTGGATACTATAATTTGTATTTTTTTTTTCTGGTTATTAGATCATCTAATTTAACTAAAGTAAAGTAAGTTTGGAAGAAATTATCGCAATATGGTATGGTTCTAAAAAAGAATGGCATAAAGAAATTATGAATAAAGAACAATTATGATGAAAGGGTATCAAATTTACAAAAAAAAAAAAAAAAAAAAAAAAAAAAAAAAAAAAAAGCTTAATATTTTTATTGTATTGTTTTATTAAACATTTCTTTCAATGTAAGTGTTTGTTTTTTTGTGCTAATACTTTCTCTTTAATTCTCTCTTCTATAAACAGACATAATTTCTTCTTCAGTTCAAATCCTGTAATTGCTGTGTCGAGAATACTGACTAACTTGTCAACTGAAATTTTTGGTTTTCAATAACCTCTCTGTCACTTTCTTCACTATCTGAAGCACGCATGTGTAAATGCTTTACTGGCTTTATGCGAATGCGTAGTGGACGCACGCATCAAACGCACATGCGTAAACATTTTACGCGCATGCGTAAGTTTGTGGCTTTGAGGTCCGGATTACGGACTTTGTACTGTAATTATTGTTTTATCAACTGCATCATAATACGGTTAAAAACATTGTAGCTGCTATCAAACATCATTAAATTCCTTTCTTATATATTAAAGCCTCATTTTTCTCTGAAGAAGTGACTTTCATACATATTGCAATTACTTTATCTTTGCTTTCAAAAGTGGATGATCCTCCATCCAATGTCTTTTCATCATAAATTTCTTTAATAGTTTGAGACTCACAAACTATAACTTGTGACTTTATGAAAATTTATGTAATCTGTAATATCTTTTGGTACCACTTTGCACCATGTAGCTAATTCAGAAACTTTCGATTCTTAACCTTGCCACAGTGTCTTCTTTTTGTTGTCAATCTCTAAACTTGGTTTGGTCATTTTTGCATGGTATAAATCCTGCTTTGTGAAAGTAATGTACAATTTTCAATCTGCCAAAATACCTCATCTCTTACAAATAAATTTCAATGATTTTAGAACTTTAGAATTTAGCTTTTTGGTGTCATTTACAGATGATTGCATAAGACATTGAATTTTAAAATCTACATATGTTTTAGAAGAAAGTGACTTATCCTTAAATTACAAAAATCCATTATTAAATCAGAAACAGTTTGATACTGGTTGCATCTGTTTCAGATTGGATTGCTGAAAGCATGAATTAAATCAAGGATATATTAAATCAAATGTTGTTAAATCAGAGATGCTAAATCAGGTATTTATGATAAAACATTTAGTTACATATTAGCACAACTACCTGGGCACAATTTGGTTATTTTTTACAAGAGAAAAAAGATGATGATTGATAATTGCAAAAAGTTCTTTATTATATACCTATTTTAGATTTTAATAAGGTATTTATGCTGAAAATCAATCAATCAACCTACATACAAGCTGATTTTTTTTCTTTTGTTCCTGTAGAAATTTTGTGGTGATCGCTTTAAGACTGAATTCAAAACTATTGTTTAGCTTAGTGATTTTGTAGCAAAATACTGTATTGCACCAAAACTTTTATGGTAATTCATTAACATGCAAGTATCAAAATTTGATCGAAAAACAATATATAGAGTCAAAAGGCTTTAATACGGACTCGTAGGGACTTCGGCAATTCTGAATTATCGGTTTTTCCAGATTATAGATCATCAGTTTAAATCTGGTAAGATGGCATGCAGAAATTATAAAATTAAAAATATGAAACCATAATTTATGAAATAAAGAGCAATTATGATCTAAAGGGTATCAAAACTTAAAAAAAAAAGCTTATTATTTATTTGTTTACTACTTTATTAAACATTTCTTTCAACGTGCGCATGCGTAAAGCATACATTACGCATAGTCAAAGTTAGAAAATTTCAACCAGAAAACTATTTGATGTGCATTTGTGATATTTATAATGACGAGGAATTTGATTTAAATCATATCAAAGACGGAGTACATCGAGATGACATACTACATTTAATAAGGAATTATAAGCTGAATAAAATAAAAACATCTGCCCTGAAGATAAGGATAGTGCTGACAGATCAACTTCCAGTTCATTGCGCGCTGCGACATCCCCCCCACTCCTGCAGAGCAGCGTGAAATGGATAAACAGATTTCGGAATGGTTACAGAAACAAAGGATATGCCTTTATCCATTTTTTTCAGCAATTCCACTTTTTTTTTAATGAACATCTAAACATGCTTTCGCTTTGTAGATCATTTGGTAGCTCCAGAAACGGAAATTCTTTTTGACATAATCGAAAGTTCAAGCTTACTTTTATAAAATTGCTCTAACAGTCTGCCAAAAATAATAAGCCGGATTCAATTAGAAGATTAAGGAACAACGCAATCTGCAACATTAACTGAAATAGATAATTAGATAATTTTAGCTTAGCTTATACCGTCCGTTATACATCAAACATGTATATGTAAACGTATTATGCGCATGCATAGACACATACGTGCATGTGTTAACACATGCGCAGAAAGTTTGTAGCTTTGAGGTCCGGATTATGGACGTCCGGATTAAAGACTTTTGACTGTGTATATATATATATATACTTATTAATAAACATTTGATTTGGAAACAACTGTATACTTTGATAGGAAAATATATAACAGATATTTATTATAGTTCTGTTGTTAGGTGTATTAATTTTCCATCATAAAATGCAATAAAAAATATAAAATTCAATTTACCTTAAAATTATTAATCTGAAAATAATTAGCTAAATTATAAGAGAGATAAAATATTTCAGTATAATGAAAATGGATCATTAAAAATTAAATTATTACAGTCAAAAGTCATTAATCCGGACTTGTTGGGACTTCGGCGATTCCGGATTATCGATTTTTCCGGATTATAGATCATCAGTTTAAATCTGGTAAGATGGCATGCAGAAATTACAAAATTAAAAATATGAAATCGTAATTTCTGAAACAAAGAATTAACGACTTTTGACTGTATATGATTAGGCATTTAGCACATTTAAAAAAATGAGAAAACGGATATCATCTCAACATACATAATACAGTACAAAATCTGATAAATAGCAGTATTCAGACCTCCAAATGACCACCACCAATTTTTTTTTCTTTTTTTTTAAATTTAAGAATGGAGAATGTAATAATCGAGAAGAAGCAAGTTTTCTCCTGACTAATTGAGATTCCTGTACCTCATTTCCAAACACCTGCTGGCTAGGAAATCACACCGTGGTCAATGACAATATATTGATTGATGCGAACACCCGAGTGCTCTTGAGCAGTTGTGGAAGTGGAGGCAGTATATTTCTGCCCAAAAACAATAAGTAAAACCCCAAGAAATATTTGTTTGGATTGGGGTGTTGCTCATACTTCTCTTGGCATAACAGTGGGAAGAGAAAGAATAAGATTCTGAAGAAATTGCATTTGCACTCTTCCTTATCTAATGTAATCCAACTTATTATTTTTTGCACACTATTATTATTATAGCTATCTTATCAAAATTAAAACTGAGATTTTTGATTGTGTCTAATATATTTTCTAGGGCTGTAGCAAGATCTCTGCAAAGTGAATGCATGTTTACTTGGTAATTGCTTTCAATAGCAGCCTTGAGATGAGAAAATGGTCACTGCCACAATTCAGGTTTAAGAAACTGTGATTTCAGAATTAGATAAAATAACAAACCTATTTTGGCATAGATTTAAATGCTACAGAAGGTGAATTTTCTAAGTAATGGAATTTTTAAAGAAATGTGCAGAAGTGATAATAAATGAAGTTGATATAACAGAAGTTTTCCACTGGGACAGCAATGCTCTACGCAGCAATCAACTAATGGATAGTAAAATCTGTAGCATGGTTTTAAATCCAGAGAATATCACTATCAGTAGAGATAATGAAATTTTTGAGAATGAAAGGATATTGACTGACAGCTTAGTGGAAATTTTCGACACAGTAATTACATGACTTGAACAAAGGTGACTAAACAAGAAAATAATGCCTATATATAAAATTAAAGAGAAAGTATTAGCACAAGAATAAAACAGTTTAAACAACTTACGCTGGTAAGTTTAAACAACTTACGCTGGAAGAAATATTTAATCAAACGAATACTGAGCTTAATTATTTGCTTAATTTGATACTTAATTATTTCATATGCAACTATTTCATATTTTTAACTTTTTTAATTCTATATGTAATCTTACTACATTTACACTTAATGATTTAAAATCTGGAAATTTCCAGTTCCAGAATTCCCAAAAGTCCCAATGATTTCAGATTTTGACTTTGTACTGAATCCAAATTTGTGCTTTTTTATACAAAATACACAAATAATAAAATGTTAAACATACACATAGACTCTGAATATTGTAAAAAAAAAAAAAAATTACCTTAACATATGCATCTGCTAGATTGTCATTTCTGCGAACAGTATAAAGTAACTTAAAGGCACCCCAAGCAAAATCTAAAGGGCCTGAGAGCCTGTCTAAAGGCAATATCACATTCTGAACATTTCTTTGGAAGTCAGCATCTTAAAAGAACAAAATTTCAAAAAATTATACCTTATTTATTTATTTAACAAAATACACTTGCCAAAAATGTTAAAATTATTTTTACATTAGAACTAAACATTTCCTGAAACTGCCTAATTGTAAGACAGAATTCGTTCTTCTACATTCCTCCCCCCCCAAAAAAAAAGCTTAGGAAATTTTGTATTAATTAGCAAAGAAGCAGGGCCAATGCTAGGCTTCTTCCTGCCCAGTGCAAGACTCTAAAATAAAGCTGTCTGGTTCTTTCCTAAATCCTAAAAATTAAGCCATTTGGTGTGGCTAAACTGGCTCTGGAGAAAAAATTACTATTTTTATAATGGTTAACATGAATGGATTTTAGGAAATGTTTCAAACAATAAAGAAAAAAATTTTGCTTTAGAAATATTACAATTATAAAAAATTAGAAGTCTTATTGTAAATTTCTGCAAATGAAAATGGGATAGTTATTAACTCAAAATAGAGTAATGTTAGATGCTTTACATGCCCTTGCTATTTTCAAAAGTTAATTTAAATTTTCAGTAACATATTTGTATATTAAAATTAATGCTCAAACAGAAAAAGTTAAAGAATTAAAAGGAAATAAAACATTTAGGTACTTTCTAATTATTCTCTCCTCCACCAAAAACTTGCAGAAAAGTATTCACTAAGCAATGTACTATGTCAGCAAAATAATTAAGTGGCAACATATGACACAAAAACATGTATGTGGCAACCTAGTTATGCACGAAGTAAATATGTTTTTGTCACTTTGTGCAGTTCTCTGATTTTTGTTTTTCAACGAAAACAGTTTGCTATGTTCATAGAGAGAACAACAGTGTATGAAAATTACAGAAAGATTTCTTTAAAAAAAAAAAAGTATGTGTTTTATTACTGATATTTCTGTTTTTTTTCTTTTTAAATTGCATTCATTTCATTGATTGATCATTTTATATAATTCTCAGTGCACCAACATTTTGAAAATGGTTCTTACTTTTGGCACATTAGCTTGGCAGAAAATTCTGAATGTCGCCGGTATTATATTAAGAAAATGTAATATTTATATGGAAATTTATACCATAGAGTTTTTGATCCAACTGATGAATTCCAGACTCATATTCAATGACTAATCTTCCAATAGCATTGACACAATTCTGAGTGGTTATCTGACTAAACTGAGGAAGAATATTTGAACGAAGAAGCGGATTATTTTCAGGAGTATCTGATGGTATTTCTGGCAATCTAAAATTTTACAAAATTATATTAAATACAACAAAAAATTGCACAGGTAAACATACAAAAATTTGCCCTAGAAGTATAAACAATTAAATTTCTCTGCAATACATACAAACACTACTAGCAGTTCTCAACCTTTTTCACCCATGCACTCCTTTTCCCACTGCTAGATTATCCTTCCCCCCAGCCTATTTTTCAAAACTCTCGAAAAATACATACACATTTATTTAAATTTTATTATATTTTAATGCACTTAATAAATTAAATAAGAAAAGTATAGAAAATGGTGATAAATTCTGATTGATAAAAACTTAATATGGTTTTTTATATTCAGAAACTAAGACTGAATACTTAACAGGTAAATAAAAGGCTGACCCCATTCTGTCCGGAACTATGAAATTCTCCTCTGAACCTGACTGAGAACCCCTACACCATACATTATTATTTTTATGCATCAGAATTATGAATATATGTATTAAATATACTAACAACTGAACAGTTCCAGCTACTTTAATTTATATCTACAGTAAAAGACAAACCGGTACTTACGGAAAATCCCGTCAATCATTTTTGCCTATTAAAAGAAAAACGGCAAACTATGTGCTTTTTTGCCAAAAATGGAAAAGTCTTCTTCAAACATGCTAGGTTTGGTGTAACCTTGATTACATGTGTTAGTTATTATTGAGTAAAGACTCGTTCCCCCCCTCTAACACACATTTTCGAAAAAAAAAAAAAAAAAAAAAATTAAAATTTGTGATCTGCCTACTACAGAAGAGCATGCTATTGAATATTTTCTTCAGCGAAAATAATTGCTTTTACAGTATATCTCCTTAATATAAAATAATGGAAATTTTTAATGAAAAATTAAATATAAATAAATGAATTTTTATTTGTCAAATGCCAGTTACATTGGGTGTTAGGCCATTAAACTCCTTCCTAGCCAATAGCGCTGAAATCTACAAGAAAAATTTGCCAGTGCTTCACACTTGTCCAAATGTTCCACCATCATTGGCTGTCCACTATTTCATAAAACAAACAACGGCGAATCAGCTAGTCCAATGCGAAATAAATGATTCTGTAGACAGTCATGTCCCATCAATAGTCTAAAAGATGCAACCGCAACTGTTCGTGGTTGGTCAGGACTAAAAGCTGGCTTAATTGAGAGAAACACTTCAAGGCTTGCCCTCACAAGCCATAGTGGCAAAATCTCTAAAGTCTTTTGATATGTTAGCGATGTCAGAAGCTTAATAAAATGGAGGCTTGCACTTGTTTTTGGGTTTTCGAGAATTGTAGCCTTCTTTTTCGCAAGCATATCAGCCATCTTATTTCCCTAAATACCGCAATGTGAAGGTACCCATTGAAAAGATATCTTGTGGGAAAGTTCTTTTATGACTTCCTGACACTGTTTTGGCTTGGCGCCATCTCTTGTGGTCGACAGGATTTTCCGTAAGTACCGACAAGCCATCTGGCATCCAACTAATCAGAAAGATCAAATAACTGGAACATTTTAGAACCTTTTTTCCATTAAAAAAAATTAAGCAAATGAGAGACTTGTAAAGCTATTATTACAAAGCATGTACCATACTCTTGCCAAACAGTGTGATTTAGCACTAGTAATGTATAAATGAGATGCCACATCACAATAATAAGATCTTTGTCTTGGTTTTACCAAAATGTGAATAATTCTAAAAAAAAAAAAAAGGGTTTATTTTTTTGCAAAGAATATACGTTAACTGCCATATATTTGTTTATCCCTCTCACATTTTGAAAAAATTACTAAAATTTAGAATCCGCTTTCTACAAAGCAGTATACAGTGAAGTGTTTTCAAAGTTATGAGACCCTGGCACCAAGAGAAGTGTGCAACTTTATTGGAAAACATATAAGCAATGACAATATAATGTGAAAAATTATGATAAGCAATTTAAGTTTTAATACTTCCTTATCTTTATCGCCTTCAGCATAATGGTGTCAAGATTATCACAAACTTCATGTTTACTTCTTACATACATTTCCATGACTGCTTTTAGTATAGCATCAAAAGCATTTTGTCCCAAGGAATTTCACTTCATGAATTCTGCAAGATTGCACCACATGTTACGAAGCGATTAACTATACGAATGCGTAGTTCGAAAGGTGAGTAATAACTTGACGATTCTTGTTCAAACGCTAATTTTGTTTCGACGAGTTTGCATCAGTGGACGATTTGACAAAAATACATGATGATATCTTTCATTTATATTTAATGAAAGCACCAAAATATATCACAGTAATACACATACATCGCAATGGCAAACTACAGTTACATAATGTAAAAACACAGAAGAATTCGTTTGGTGCAACAGCACCCTCTATACTATGAAAAGTTCTAACAGGACTCAAGAAGGTAAACCGTGCTTCATTTTTTTTTTACTTTGCCACTTAGAACAGCTCCACAGTCTTTTAACATTTTATGTATTTGTATGAAGTGAATTTTTATGCCCATCAACAAACAGAAAATATCAACAAGCTCTTTTCTAAGTGATCTGCAATTACTACTAAGAGTGTGGTTGGCTCTCTATTTGGAACCTGAACAAAAAAGAACTCATCTGTCTCTCAGGATAACCTGTCAAATAAATAAGTTGTTGTGAAAAAACCTTGCTTGTTTTTTAACCTACCTTGCTTGCTTGTTTTGCTGAGTGAACAGACCTTCTATTTCCACAATTTTTTCAGGCCCACCTAATTACTTATTTGGTTGTTAGGTTAAATGTAGAAAATATTCCTCTCTCCTAAAAGTGTCCCAGTCAATAATCATAACTTTGCAAAAGACAGCATAATGGTTAGTGTCACCAACTGCTGTACTGAAGGGCCTTGGTTCGAATCCTGGAAAAGGCACATTTGTTTGTCAAGTGTATAAAGTCTCTGTGACAAGAAGGTACTCAAAACACACAGTAAATCAAAATGCTTTCAGGTTAGTGTATGGGAAAGAAGGGTGGGAAACCCTTGGATCCCTCTCCCGCCAGGGTATTCTGCCTTGGTATTCTATCTGGGGCAAAACCTTAACAATTAGGAAGTTAGCAGTTATAATTCATATATCAAAATGGATATACACCTTGCTTCAGCTTGAAACTGTACCTGCAAAGGTTGAGTTGTTTCCCATACCAATTAATCGATGCCAGTTTCTATGCTCATGAGTAAATAAATAACAGTGGTGTTACAAATGATATGGAGCCACTGAACCAGTTGTCAAAATGCTTCCTTTTCTTCCACTAGCAACTTTTCATGCATCATCTCCAAATGCTTTCATTGATATATATCATTTCACTTTGTGGCTATTTTCACATATTGAAATGTGAGGTAAAATGCTTCTTTCCTGAAAGAATGATATAATATCTCCTTCAACAATCAAAAAAAATTCTTAGCATTTTTTGGAGAAAAGAAAATACATGGCCTACTCACAGCTACTATCTTATTCAGTCATCAGTAAATCAAAAATTATTTATATATTCTTGGAAAAAAAATACACTAACATGCAGCTTAGTCACAGCTCTTCTTGTGACAGATGAATTAGTTAAGTGATCATTATTGAGACTGCAATTTATTGCTATTCTTGATGGCCATATAAATAAGGAAGTACATTTTTTTTTAAAATGCTAAATCCATAGATGCTGATTATCTAACTAGATAAAGAAGGATCTGTTCCTTTAAACTTCCTTTGGAGTGACTGGCACAAGTTTTGAAAAACTCCACCACCAATTATTGTGATTCCATAATTGGATAACATATTTCACTTTCATATCTTTAAGGCCTATGAAAGAGATCAGCTTTTATGCCTGAAATGCATATGTTTTTATTTTAAATCTGATATAATTTTAAATATTAGCTTTTGAAATTTAAGTTGATTATTTTTATAATTTTACCCCAAAAATTTCTTTTATTCATTTGGCTTTTCTGCCATGAATTGCAATTTTTATATGCTCAGTTTTCCTGTAACTTTCACATATCCAGCATTCTCCAAACTTTTTGGATAGTTGAGCTTTTACTGTATAATACTTATTACAATGAAACCACTTGTAAAGACTACATCTGAAATTGAATATTTTCAAAAAATTTTCATTCCAGGACAATTAAGAGAAAGAGGAATTTAATGATTACATAAAATACAGCATTTAAAATTAAAATACTGAAAAAGATGCAGATTTAGTAAATAATGAAAATACTAGCAATTCAGCTAATTTTGTGCAAAGATGGTATCAGGTTCGAAAAGCAGATATGTTTAGGAAAAAAATTTAACTTGTGAGGAAAATACAATTCAGCATTTTCCATTGAAAAAGCAAGAAATAGCTATGGAATTTCCGATACCCTTTTTTAAAAAACATTTATATAAAAACTGCAAATAAAGTTAGCACAGTAATTTTTGCATTATGCAAATGCTTAATATTTTAATTGTTAGCCGGCATCACTGCCACCAAAAAGAAAAACACATTAAATCTTATAATGTATATAAAAGAATACCATTACAAAAAATTCACAGCAATTAATTTTTTATAATACGAAATACTCTTCATTATTATAGCAATACGAAATACTATAAATGAAAACATGTCTCTGATTCTCGTACTTTGTGAGATTTTAAAAAAATATATTACAGCTAAGTCTATAAAATATGAATTAATGAGATATAAAAAGCAAAATGATGAAGTATAAGTTTTAGATACAAAAAAAAAAAAAAAAACAGAAACATTAAATGACGAAACTATAGCTCATTTTTAGATTAGAAGTCTGGGATACCGACAGTTTTCAGTTACTCTTATTTTCACTTATGAAATTTGCAGATGTAGTCATTTCATTAATAAAAAGTGCACAAAAAAGAAGAGATAAGAATGGAAAATTTAACATTTTATAGTGACATAATGCATACAAAACTATATATTTATTTCGCTTTGTTATTATTCTGTGATGCACTCTCGATATTTGGAGTAATTTCTTCGTAAGCACTATCATGTTTAAACTTCAAACACGACACTTTTCACGGCTACGGATAGAGTTACCACTTAATGTAAGTAACACGCTAAGAAATTACAGCTGTTATAAAATTAAATGAATACACAATTTTTTCCTTTGATATCAGGGGCAATTTCATAATTAACACTAAGCTAGTAAATACACAAGTCAAACGAATTTTGAACCTGAGTATAACATGATAGAGAGAAGCAAATTTGTTATAGACGGAATTCTGCAAATTGTTACCGGCATCGCTGTCAGGTGCTCGGTATTGTCAAAATGGCTGGTGTATGTTTACGGTGTCCGTGTTTTGAACGTTTAAAATATGGTCCTGACGAAATAGAGCAGTTCCAGAGGAGCAGAAAAATTGACAAAATGTTAGAACTCGATAAACGAGCACGACGTAAGCTAGTTAAACTTTTATTACTAGGTGCTGGTGAAAGTGGTAAAAGCACGTTTCTAAAACAAATGAGAATAATACATGGTTTAAATTTTGATGACGAAACTATAGCTGAGTATAGAGTTACTATTTATCAGAATATTGTTAAGGGCATGAAAGTATTAGTTGATGCCAGGAACAAACTGGAGATTCCATGGCAGGATCCATCTCGTAGCGAGCATGGAGATCTCATTATGACATACGAAAACTCTTATCTGGATAAAACTTCATTTTCACATTATGCTCCGTCAGTTAAAGAATTATGGAAGGATCACAGTATCAAAATAGCATTTCACAGAAGAAGAGAATTTCAGTTAGTGAGTATTCCTGCTTTTCGTATTACTTAAGTAGTTTTCAATCAAATATATTTTATATCATACTTTGATTCATTAGCAAAACTTTAAACTGATATATTTACTGATTTTTACATTGAATTTTAATTCATATTATTTCTTGTACTAATTAAGGTAACATAATAAACTAATCGGCGTGAAATTTATTTCTAGAGTGTTAAATATAAACAATATGCTTTGTAGTTGAATTTTATCAAGATGATACATTAGGATCAAATTTAGATATTTTAAAAAGTATGTCAAGGAAGATTAATGTTGAGTGGAAAAGTTAAATCAAAATGCAAAATGCTACGGAAGAACTTAAGTGGGAGGCTATCTTCGATGCTCCCTTTAAGTGTACAAGAACTGTTACTTGCACTTAGACGTCTTAAAATGAAGAAATCTCCTGGTGTGCATTATATCCATAGAGAGTTTCTTATCCATTTGGGCTGTGAGTTAAGAAAAACAGTATTGAATGTCTTTAATCAAGTGTGGGAATCGGATCAGATTCTGGCACATTGGAGAAGAGCTAGTCCTAAAGAAAAATAAGAACCCTGGACAGCTATTTCCGAAGGAATAGGTCAATGTGTGACCAGGTGGCAAAATTCAGCCAGTTTATTAAGGATGCTTTGGATGACAGAAACATATTGACAGCTATTTATGTTGACTTTAAGGGATCTTATGATTCTGTCTGGTGGGCAGCTCTACCAGAAGCTCCTGAGTATTGTTATTTCATCAAAATTCTTTAATTGGATAGTAAAGTTTGAGTATACCCATGTTTTAGATTCATTATATTAGATTTGTTTTAATTATCAAACTGGGCTTCCTCAGAGAGCAGTTAGTAGCTGCACATCATTTGATATATATATTAGATTTGTTTTAATTAACAAACTAGGCTTTCTCAGAGAGCAGTTAGTAGCTGCACATTGTTTAATATTTGTATCAGTGATCTAGTTTCTTCTTTTAAATCAACACCTTGTATTAATTGTCTACTATTTGCTGATGATTTGATTACTTGGACAAGGCTCCCAAACATGGTGCACAAAAAAAAAAAAAAAAAAAAAAAAAAAAAAAAACTTATTGAAAGCCGATTAAATAAGTCCCCTTAGGTACTTTAAATTGGTGTGAAGAAAATAATATGACTGTAAATTTGGAAAAGGCGATTTCACAGTCTTTTTCTCTAACCCATGAAATTTTTTGGTCATAGTTAAAGCCCAGAGAGAAATATTTTTTCTTTCTATGCCCCTGTAGGATACAATGGTACCTCCTTTGATGGGGAAGTAGCAGCCATCTGTATAGCCCTAAAGTAATTATAAGCTATTCATTACAAGTTTGCAAAGGCAGTCATTTTTTCTGATTTTGATGCAATCATTCAATCAATTAGCCTTGTTAAACACCCATTAACACCTGAAATTTTGCAATGTCAAAGATTCCTGAGAACTCTCACTTTAAAGGGGGAATTAAATCATTCTCCAGTGGGTGCCTGACCATTGTGACAATGAACAAGCAGACTTACTTGTAAAAAGAGATACCAGCTTACTACAACATCCTAATACAGCCATTTCTTATTGGAGGATTAAACTGTTTTTAAAAAGTTTATCCATGTCTGATATCTTGCGAGATCTTTAGATAGCCTTAAAAAGTTGGAGAATGATAAGTTCTCTTACTCCTGATTGTCCAAGACGCAGTGCATTTGCAGTTTTCCATCTGTCTACAGGACATGATTGCCTTGCCGCCCACCTGCACCACATAAATATTTCAAGTGATCCTATTTGCCCACTTTGTGATTCTGGAGAAGAAATGGGCAGGGGCCACCTGGTTTGATGTGGGGCTGTTCGCAGTCTTACAGAAGAGTCGAGATACTGGGAGGCAAGAGCGCTTAGGCAATGACTTCAGTCTTTTTGTTTTTAGTTCTGTTGTTTGTAAGATTTTAGTTCTTTGTAACATTTTGCCTTGCCATTGAGGGGGGGGGGACACATTTAAAAAGTAACAAAAGTTTCATAATGTTTTGTACATTTATATATTAATGATATATGTTAGATTTCACTGATTTTGTGAGATAAAGCCTTATCAGTCACTTTATCAGTATTTTGAAATGCAGAATTCTGGATGAGATTTGTGAGAAATTAGAAACCTATTTCTTTCTTGTTTTCTAGTGGTGTAGGATTTGCATATTAGTCTAGCACACTTAGTTTCGATTTCTAGCAAGAGTGTGGTAAATTTTTTTAGAAGTCTTAATTCCTGATGTCTCAAAAAAAAAAAAAAAAAAAAAAAAAAAAAAATCTTAGTTCTAGACTTATTGGTGACTCTAGAATGATACTCAAACTAATGTGGGAGACAATAATTTATCAGCAATTTGGGTTGGTTGGATTTCTCATCATTCAATTTGTAGGGAAGGATGGAAAATACAAGAAAGAAATTTCTTCCATTTAATTTTATGGTATAATAGAAGGACATAATAGTTTGGTAACCTAAAAACTCAGGTTCGATTTTCTGCTAGATCAGAGTGAATTTTCAGTTGTTTCAATGAGAAGTAAATGTTCCAATTGAAATTTAATTTATTTGAAGATGTGTAATGTTCAAAATTGATAACAGCAAAAAAATAATAATAAAATAGGGTAAAAGTATATTTTAGGCTTTTCCCTTGACATTTTTTGGCGGTACATGGATACCGAGTTTGTGCAATGCTTGTTATTTTGGCCTGTGTAGCGTCGATTTTTGGTGAAAAAATTGCTACTACGCAAGCCAAAATAACAAGTCAAAGAATTGCACAAACTCGGTATCCATATACACATCGACCTATTTTCACTTAAAAAAAAAAAAAATCCCCAAATTGCACAAAAATGGCATTGTGCACACCTTTGACTTTATCCATGTACCCATTGATCTATTTTCACTTTAAAAAAAGTCGCCGAATTGCACAAACTATGCTTTACGCACTCCCTTGAGTTTGTCCGTGTACACATCGATATATTTTCGCTTAAAAAGTCGAAGGAACACCCAATTCTACAGTAGAGGCAAACAAAAAATACATAATCTCAATAAACTACATTTTAAACCAAACAATAAAATAACACAAAAAAAGGAAAAACCTGTTATGTATTTTAGCACTACACCAAAGCAAAAATCCCCTTACCTTATTTAGAAATTTGTTCGTCTTCAATCTGTGGCACACAAAATTCCTTAACAGCATCCAAAAACTTCCTAAAATGATCAGAACTACAATCCGTATATCGGCGACGCCACAGAAAATTCTCAAAAATCTACTATGTAGTTCTGGACTATGGCTACTAAGTAAACTTTCATTTACACAATTAATTCACTCAATTAATGGACTTTCCCTTTTTCATTCCAAATCGTACAGAAACTTCAAATTAATCGTACTACATTCAGCCATAGTACCGTCTAAACAATGAAACAAGCAATGTACACTGCTCAAAAAAAAAAAAAAAAAATGGGACAGTGCTATATCTCCCGTTCTACTGGGCCGATTGACAAAATTCAAACTGCGTTTTTCATGTCTCGAAAGCACGACTTAGGATATATATATTAGATTTATATATAGCACTATTCTAACATAGGTATTTGACACAAAATCGGACTTTTTCTGAAATAGCATACCAATTTTTCCATATTTGATTCTACGACGTTTGTAAAAATCATACGAGTAGTTTTTAAAATATAGCTCTCAAAATTTAGCTCCTCAATGTTAATTGAATTTGGCAAAATTATTAATTCTTTTTATTAAACATTTTTGATTTTTTCTCTCACATTTCAAAATTTAGTTCATTCCAAATAAATTTACCCATTTTTTGTGTTGTTTTTTAAATTCTATTTTAAATAATTTTATAAATTTTTTGAAAAAAAAATTGGAATTATAACCTATAAAATTTTTACCATCATCTTAAAGTAGTGTATTTTAAACATATTGCAAAAAATTAGCTTTTATTTTTTTAAATCCGAATTCAATTTGGTTTGTTTGATTTTTTTGTTTACAGTCAATCAGTTCTTAATCACCTAGTTTCTTTTCAGTGTTTTCAGAATAATCTTTTTGTGGATAAAAAGTTTAATAATACGAGGGCCATCCAGGAAGTAGATTACGTTTCCGTCTGTGTCCGCTAGGGGCGGGGCTAGCGCGGCCATCTTGGGGTCAGAGCGTTGCGCAGCTCAGTCTGCATCTAGCCGTGCTAGTGAGAGGTTCGTGCTGTGCTCCGTTCAGATACTGTGACGGTTTGAAATGTCTGCGTTAATTGAAAATCCCGCGAGCTGCGAGGTGCGCTCAGTAATAAGGTTTCTGACTGCAAAAAACTGTAAACCGATAGAAATCTATCGGCAGCTTCGTGAAGTGTATGGGGACAACATTATCACTGAAGGTGGAGTGCGTCAGTGGGTCATAAGATTTCAAAATGGCCGAACCAATGTTCACGACGAAGATCGAAGTGGGAGACCCAGCATAGTGACCGCCGAACTTCTCGAAAAAGTCGATGCTAAAGTCCGTGAAAATCGAAATTTCACAATAACGGAACTTTCTTTGAGTTTTCCACAAATTTCGCGAAGTTTGTTGCACGAAATCATCAGCGAAAAGCTTGGTTACCACAAGTTTTGTGCAAGATGGATTCCAAAAATCTTGACAGAGGACCACAAAAATCAGCGAATGGCTGCAGCGTTGAACTTTTTGGACGCTTACCATAAGGATGGTGACTCTTTACTCGATCGCATCGTTACTGGTGACGAAACATGGGTGAAACATGTGAACTGTGAAACGAAATTGCAATCAATGCAGTGGGGGCACACAAGTTCTCCCCAAAAACCCAAGAAATGCATGCAAACAATGTCGGCAAGGAAGATGATGGCGACTGTTTTTTGGGACAGAAAAGGTGTAATTTTGGTGGACTTCCTGGAAAGAGGCACTACAATAAACTCTCAAAGGTATTGCCAAACTCTCCAAAAACTCAGAAGAGCAATTCAAAACAAGCGCGCAGAGGAATGTTGAGCTCTAAGATCTTGTTGATTCACGACAACGCCCCGGCCCCACACGGCAAATGTCACTCGTAAAGTTCTTGAATCTTTTAAGTGGGAGTTGTTTCCTCATCCGCCGTACAGTCCCGACCTGGCACCGAGCGACTTCCACCTATTCCCAGCAATGAAGAAGTGGCTGGCTATGCAGCGTTTTGATGACGACGCACAGCTGCAAGAAGAGGTAACGAAGTGGTTGAAGGCGCAGGCGGCCGAATTTTTCGACGAAGGAATTTCCAAGCTCGTACATCGCTACGATAAATGCCTTAATTTGTATGGTGACTATGTAGAAAAGTAGTATTTGAGTGTGGCTTTCATCTGTATATAATAAAATTTGTTTCCTATACTTTGTTTATTTTTTTTATTCCAAAACGTAATCTACTTTCTGGATAGCCCTCCGTATATGAAGCATTTTTTTAAATTATAGAATTTATTCAAATTTAACTATTTTTTTTTAATTTCTCTTACTCCTTTTTTAAAAAGAAATAAAGAAATTTTACCTGACGTTTATCGTCTGTATTTATTACCTTGTTTAAATGAGTGCTAAAACGAGAATCGGTTGAATTATTGACTTTATGACATTAACTGCATATTTATTCTAAACAAACTGTGCTTTTGAATGGCTGAAAGAGCGGCTGATACTATCATCCACATTTTTAAAGCAGAGTATATTTTTATAGAAACATAATATTTAGAATAATCATTTTTATAAAAGTAAAATATGATATAAACATACAGCCCATAGAGACTGAATTAATGGAAGTTCAATGGTTATGTAGAAATGATCTGCAGCTACTTACTGGCTGGCTAAGGTCAGCAGATTCTGTGGACAAGTAAGAATAATTCTATAACGCCACCCAACATCAGGATTCAATTAACAACGAGGATACGATGTTTATTAAATGAATTAAGAAATTTAGAACATAAAAAACCTACTCATTTTATCCTAAATGTATTTTGTGCGTAGCGTTTTTCATTATATCCTTAAAATTCTAATTTAGAATGAATTGTCAAGAACTGAATCTAATCATCAGTAATATAATAAGTAATTATTACGTTATTAATAAATCCTTTTATAAAGTAATTGCAATATTTTCAAAAAACTTTCTGTCTGAATGCAATATTTTCTATGCAAATATTTTAAATTTTTATTATCAGATGCACACGAATTATTTATTTGCCTTCAATTCTTACTATCAGTTCCAGTAGAAATCAATTTATATTTAATTAATGATTGGATTGGATATTTAATTATGGCAAAGCACACGAGGGCTATCTGCCTAAAGGAGGGATGCCTTCTGGAGGACTTTCTAAGGTAAACTGGCTTGTATACACGTCATACATGGGGAAACCATGAAAACGCCCATGCATCCAGCCCGTTCGCGGGTTTCGAACCTCAGACTGAACTACCAGTGTTAAGCGTCTTTACCGCTCGGCCGCTGATGGGCTATTTAATTAAGGAACGACCATCTAAGTTTAGAAACAGCGTACCGTAACAGCAATTTAATTACTGGCGTCGTATCTTTCATGTTACTCCCGATTGGCAACCTACATGATTTTAATAGTATTCGGGTTTGCTAGTAACTTCCCTTGGAATCGCGCTTCTAACTAACAAGTTGGTTGATTTGAACATGAAAGAACATGAGAGCTATTGATCAAGAGCTTTTCATAGAGAACCTTTGTAAAGAGAACCTAGAAAACTACGAAAACCAACCATGCAGCCTGGGTAGACTTCACAACAAACAATTAGTATTTAACAATCTTCAAATGCTGGCAATTGGCGAGGTTCCAATTAATCTCCATTTAATATTTTATTTGTAAATATTGAAAATATTGTTGTATTCTTAGACACAAAAAGCAGAATTTAAGTTTTGTTAAAGTTAGTAAACTACAAGCCGTAGTGCAAATGAATATTCAATTTCTTTTGCAATAATTGTATTCACTTAATATTTTTGGAATATGAGCTAAAGACGGAACGTTCTCGGAAGATTAAAGAAGTGTTTAAATCCAGTGATACAGCCAAAAGTTGTTAATTCGGTCACCCATATTCCGGAATGATCTATAATCCGGACCTCAAAGCTAAAAACTTCCTGCGCATGCACCGCTTTGACACATGCACATAGGCGTTCACGCATGCGCATAAGACCTTTTGTGTGTGCGCAAGTGCAGAATACGTTTTTGCGTGAGCGTTTTATGTATAACGGACGGTATAAGCTAAAATTATCTATTTCAGTTAATGTTGATGATGCTGTTCCTTAATTTTCAA